GATCCGATGAGTCAATCGCCTTAGAACTCTCTATTATCTAAATCAGAGTTTGCACCGGCACGTGGTCAGAGACGCGCGCCATGATAACAGCAGATATCCCCCAGAATTCGCATAACAATTCACAAGACGCGGAATAAAGCCGCGCACAATACAGCCGCGAGATGTACCCCTCCGAATTCCATGTCGATTGTTGCCGACTGTCCCGATCAGAGAATCGTGGAAAACCTCTCGATCTGTCTTCGCGATGATCGCTTCTTGTCGGCAAGTAAAACGCGTCGAACTCGCGTACGCACGTGCGATTTGTATAACTCGTAATTTTTGCCCGTCGCGATCTGGCCGCGGCTCGCGGCGGTGGCGCAGAGAAGGGTGTCAGCCAGCGTGAATTATCATCCCCCGGGGGCTCGCGCGGCTGGGCGGACGAGCTGTCCGTCGACGCGAGAACACGTGCGCGAGACGTCGACCAGCGACGACGATTGGCCGACAGGCGGAGCCCCAGATCTCGCGATCCTCGTAGGGGTTGAACGAGCACAACCCCTCGACTAAGCAGCAAGGAATATCCTCTCTTCCACCCTGTTGTAAACGGCGGTGAGCGAGTCGAAGCGCGAAAGTCAATTCGCGCGCGGTTCTTACCGCCTCTCCCTCCGGCTAATCGGGAAGAACCACCGGCGGCGTTATTGAGCGAACCGCGAGAGGGGTGTGAGGGAAAGCGAGCGAGGGGGGGGGGGGGATTGTGTGAAAAGGAAATTTATTTTATACTTGGTTGAACCCTTTTCAGCATTCAATAATAACACGTAATAAAAAAGAGGAAAAAAGAAGCAAAAATGAGTGAGAATGTAAGGAAGACTAAAGCATGTGTAAACTTAATATTAATAAATTAATGAACAATTGTGTTGTACAATATTATATAAACGAATTAAAGATTTGAAGATTTTCCATTAATAAAATATTTAATTGTAGATCCAAGATTTAAAAAATTTTGTGAATTAAACTCTAGAAATAAAATTTAGAACCGTAAATTTTATTTTTATAGAATTTTTAAGTATAACAAATGAATCTATTTTTGTGAATTATAAAAATATTTAAAATTGAACATTAAAAAATAAAATTAAATTTTCGTTAAGAAAGCATCACCTTCGAATGACAATCCTGAAGCATTCTGCATATTTTTAAATAGATTTTTATTTCAAACGTTATTCGAATCTTACCTTATGATCACGCTGCGTAGTTTCTAGATCGATTTACATAGATCGACTTCGGCAATGATTGATCCTTAAATAAAGATCTGACAGGCCTCGTTGGAATACATTCCTGTTACCGTACTCTGGGAGTGACTGTGACATCTGGTAGTTTCTCACGGCGCTGCGACGTTACGGTTACGCAAGACAAGCGTAATGGCATACACTATTATGTATATTTCATTTATTATTTCCCTGGAAATCAATGATCGCCATCTCGAGAGTATACGTGTATACGATCAGGCCACCGTTTTATCCATTAGATATTTTATGCACGACGTATGAAACTCGCGAGGTTGATCAGCACAGAAGTAAGCCTGAAGAAAAAAAATTTTGTTTGTTGAAAAATATTTTTAAAGATTAACAAGAGAGACAGGAATTTATTTTGAAATATATAACATATATAAATTAAAATTTGATATCTTGACAAACTTGAAATTTATTTCTTCTAGAAAAAAAACATTCCTATAATCTATATAATTTTTTTTAATTTTATTGCGAAAAATTTAATGATTGACAGGATTGCGCCTTAATTTTATTATAAGCCATTCATCATCTCCGGACGCCTCCTAAAAACGTAAAATAAATAAAGAAACGAAGGAAAGACATCATGATCACTTTGACGGAAATTAAAGGTCGAGTTAACGGCGACAGTCTCGAGGGTACCGAGCCACCGAGCTCTCCCGTTAATTTCAACATATCGAAGTTATCCTTGGAGGGTGGTGAAAGGCAGGTCTGCGTTTGATAGCTCGTAGGATCCGCAAGATCCTCGAGTGCCTCCTCGACGCGATAGCGGGAGCAGAAAATCGCGCTGAAGTGGTAACGGTCGGGCTAATGGCTCGGAGACGATATTTTGTTAAACAAGGAAACCTTTTATCCCTCCTACCGCGTTTCGCTGAAAAAGACGCTCGACGCCTGCAGGGACGCCGTCTCCTACAATAGGACTATCACCGCCGTTTTATCGTGACAATTCGTTGACTCATTGTATTTACTACGAACAGAATACTTTAAAAATATTCTTGAGATAGCAAACCAACAATATTTAGACACATACAATGTATCTTCGAAGAGTTATATTATAGAAAAGAAGGAAAATTTTTAAACTTGCTTATGTCGATTCTAAAATCTACAGACCTTCGTTAATTAATTTTATGTTTTTACAATATATTTTCATGCTTTTACAAGTAATATATATTTGCTATGATATATCTCAATATATTTTTTAAAATATATAAAATTCTTCTCTATTGTTTATTTCTTTACAATACGATTTAAAGTTCGCTCCCTTAACTTCGCTAGATTTAGCACGACTGAGTGCTTTCCACTTTCTCAATTCCACGCTGAAAGCGGCCCTGCACCGTTACTTCGGTTGTCTTGTCACCAGAAAAAGGACGAAAGAAACCGAAGTGTGAACCGCCGACCGCCATGACAAGGTGTCACCTGCGGTTTCTCACGGTTCGCCCACGCATATCTCGCCATTCTCGCGGATTCCTTTCGATCCACCCTATCTCTCACTCGAATCTTTTCATACTTTCGCCCCCTCGCCCGGGAGTCGATAAGTGTGACGTCGGCTAGCAGCACTCGATGAAGCGCTCGACAGTTTTCTCGCAGATAAGTTTAGCTTCATTCACTTCCTAGAGACTAATTACTCAAAAAAATTACCGAATTGATTTCTTCTTATTTTTCTGGTTGAACTCAGTTCCACAGATGTATGCTTGAAATATAGTAAATATAGAATAAATGTATTAATAAATGGTCCTCAACGAATGTGACAATTATTTCTGCAATCTAGTCTATTATTTTAACAATCACAATTATTAAATAATATAAGATACCTTTGGAATATATCACCAAACACTTCGTAATACATTTTATGCTTCGATAAAAGAAAATTATGAAAAAATGTAATATCTCAATTTTTTCTATCAATATCTGTAACACTATGCAGTGGTAAAAGTGAATTGTATACATTCTCTCTTTCTCATTCCTTGTTTTATCATTTATAAAAATATTAAATGGCATGTTTTCTTGAATATTTCATACTAAAGTAATAAAAGTATAAGAAAAAAAAAAGTGGTTCCGGCCGGGATCGAACTGGCGACCTTCTGCGTGTAAAGCAGACGTGATAACCGCTACACCACGGAACCTGACGGCAATACCTTTCTTAAATAAGACTATTCATTACGTCATGTACAAAATATTAATATACATTAAAAATAAATAATGAAATAATGAGTTAATAATGTATAGCATTATTGTATGTGTACTTAGAGATAAGCAAAAATCCGTACATATTAATAAATAATTAAATACATAATAATCGAAAATTAAAATGTAAAATTTACTTTAGCATTATCCGAATTTAATTAATTTTAACAATCAATGATATTAATTAGTATACGTTTAAAATAATTAATTAAGAATTATTAACAGCTGGAATATGTGTTTGAGAGTAAATTGAGAGACAGTCAATAATTAAAAGGCCGTTTTAATTCTTAAATAATAAGATTTTTAATTTAGCTTCATCAAGTTTACTTTATCTTTAACACTGTGCATTCATTCCTAACTCAATTTCATTAAAAAGCAATTTTATAGCTATAAATAAATATAAAATAATAATATGTACTAAAATCTTTAAGTGTCCGCTGATATATGTAACTTGTTTCTGATTACATCCGATAAAAATAGATCAATCTATAGAGGCCCACCACCACCCCCGCCGATTCCGATCGGCGGTCCTCTTTTATTCTCGCTTAATAGAAGTGTAATTACTGAAAGGAATTAAAAATTATTCTCTACATTATTTTTTTTTTTTTTTTTTTACGTGGTGGAAATTTTCAAAAAACCCCCCGCCCTGGGATAGGGAGGGGGAGTGTCGGATTCTACGCGCACGCGTACCACCGTTACGAGGGGCGCTTCAGAGGACCGAAATCCCCTGAGCCTCCCTCAGCGTGGCATCGCGCGCCCATAGCCTACCGACTAAAACCACCACGAGCGACCCTAACACCGCGACTTCCTAAATGCCCTGACTTAATTAATTTATACATATATAAGCGCGGCGCGTGGCATGATGGGTCTCCCGCTGGCGGCGTTCCCGCAGAAGACCGGTAAACGTCTTACAAACTACAGAGCTGAAAGAACTAATTTGTTTTTTGCACATCAATACGCCTGCGGTCAGAATAATATGCACTAGATACTAGTGCATCAATTCAATATCAAGTATCTTTTTATACTTTTCTGAAGCATGTCAAAAGCGCCGAAATCACTAAATGAAACAAACTGATCAGGAAAAAAATGCGAAAATCAGTATAATATCTACAGCTAAACGGATTTAATCAACTGTTGATATGACCGCAGGTAATGGACAAATAATAGATGTAATAGATGTAAGTTCAAAATTAACTATGAATGTGATCTGAAGCACTGCTTATGGACTCGACGGAAACATGTTCGAAGATTCATGTTTCAGCGAATTTGGCAAAAGAATGTTAGAAGATAATTATAATCGCGGCTATAAGATGCTCCACATGTTCTTTCTTCCAAACGTAATTAGTTTACTTAAACTAAAAATGTTCGATAAAGATGCCACCGTTCTTCTGCGCAAAATTTTCTCGTTGATAATGACGAGGCGCATAAAGTCTGGCGAGAAGAGAAACGACCTCACCAATATTCTGATCGAGCTCAAGAGGAACAGTAGTTATGAAGAAAGGATTGAAGACTTTAGTAAGCGAAATAATTACGTTTATTTTATTTATACTTATATATAAGTTTATATATAAGTATAAATATAGATGTGTAACATAACGGCTTACGGTGACAAAATCAAAGTAACCGTCAAGTTTGATTAATAATAATGGTAATCAAATTTAATTGCGATAAGTATCGAGAGCTTTCAAAACTCTAAAGATGTATTAAATTTCAGCATTCGATGACGATGATCTTTTGGCACAAGCAGCTAGTTTCTTCTTATTTGGTTTTGAAACCTGTTCAACGACTACGGCCTTCGCGTTGTATCAACTCGCGGTTCAACCTGAGATTCAAAAAACTCTGCGAAAAGAACTTCTCAAACCACTCGAGAAATCTAATGGAAAATTACATTATGACATGGTATGTGACTATCATCCACTATTTTCCTCTCGTAAATTTTTTATTTTATTTTTATAAACTATTTTTATTAATATATATATTTTTAAATATAATTTTATACATATTTATAATTTATAATGCAAAGACAATATATTTTAAGTCAGAGAAAGTGAACTAAAAATTAAAAGAAAACCTTAAAATTTGACTGTGCAATTCTAATTTAAATAAAAAATTATTTTTATGCATTATTTATTATTACTAGATACAAACGTCATTACCGTATCTCGATATGGTGGTATCAAAAACTTTGAGAATGTACCCGCCATTGGGGTTCCTAAATTGCATAGCTATGAAAAATTATAAAGTGCCGGAGTACGATCTTGTAATTGAGGAGGATATACCGGTTTACATCTCGATACTTGGCCTACACTATGATTCGGAATATTTCCCCAATCCCGATATATTCGATCCAGAGCGATTTAAGAAAAGGAACAAACGTGAGAGACCGTCAGGCGTCTATTTACCATTTGGAGGAGGCTCACATGAATGTATAGATAAGAAAATCAATTTTAATATAGCTCTTTATATATTAAGATAGTAATATACATTTCTTTAGTTCTTCTTCGTTAAAATAATATAGAATATTATACTGTTATATGTTCTGTAGGTCAACGCTTCGAGCTTTTACAAATAAAGTTAGCACTGCTTATGGATCTTGAGCAAATACGAAGTGGAATCGTGCGAGGAAACTTCGGTAAAAATTGATCCAAGGGTACCCATGACATTGCCGTTAAACAATGTATTATATCTGTGTCCGAAAACTTAATATTAATGCTATTTAAAATAAATGAAATAAATGACGTGAGATCCAAGAAAAAGAAACTTTTCCTACAATTATAATTAATAAATAATCGCGTTGTTATAAATAATATATGCAAATCTTTATAAACTTTTATATTGATATAAATATATCTCGTTATATTTTTCATTTTATACCAAAATTATTTTTAATATATTCATATATATTACTGCATGCAAAATTGAATATATAATTGTATTATACGATCAATTCTAAAATAATAAATTCTAAAATTTAAAAAGTTCAGCGTTTCTCGACAAAATATTTAGAATCTCACGTTACATATTACTTGACCGGTATAAAGCCACGTTCTCAATCAAAAATAGATGGATAGGTTACAAAAAATTAGGGTAAAATCAATGCTTCATTGAAATAAATTTTAGTTAATTAATTAAAAACAATTATCATGTTTTCTATAAAATAACTTGCATAATAAGACCAACATATTTCTTGTCCTTTTTATACATGCATATGTATTTATATTTATGCATATTCTACGCTTTTCTTTATGCATACCGATATTCTAAATATATCTATTTGTTGCTTCCTTGCATCGATTTATATAATATTTAATCTTGGCTAAACATGTGGAAAGGAACAAATAAAGGGTATGAATGAAACACATCCTAACTACCATGATTTTTCCCTATCTACAGATATTTTTTTTATAACATCTAACACGATATCTTATTCCTTATCTCTTTTGTTTGAGAAAAATAGTGCCAAAAATAATTCTTTAAAGGAATCTAAATAAAATATTTATATTACAAAAATCATTACTTTAATTGTCAGAAGATTATTTTACTTTTTGTTTTTTGTATTTCTAAAATATTTATTACTCAAAGTAGAGAATTAATATATGTAACAAAATTTGGAAAATTTAATTTATTTACTTAAAAATTTTACTCAAAAGCTATTATTTATACCTACAGAACGCGGCAGACCGTCAACATAGTTTGATGAACGATAATGAGCTCTTCGCGAGCTCCGTGCGTGCAAAGTGTGCGAGTATTTCCTCAAGCACACGTGCACAATAAATCAATAAAGAACTGACACCAAGATTAAATATTTTTCCGTAATTAGTTTTAGCCCATCCATTTTAAGACAACAAATCTACGAGATGTAATATTTTTAGAGTACGTTATTGTCGTACGTCGATATGTTCCGAGATACAATGGCTCTATATCTGACTAATCGTAGATTTGTTACCTCAATAAAAAAAATTCTGACTCACCACGCCGATGTGCAACGGGCGGAGTTGTTCAGCCACATAGCTACGGTGATACTGTAACATACAAACATAAGATTCAAATTAAAGAAGCGTTCAAAATGATCAACATTTCAAGATATAATTTTTACGCGCAACTAATTTGTCTTTCAATAAAATATTTAGCAACACACGTATCTGTGTTCACCGAAAACGATCTTTACAAGAGTAAAATTTTAGATAACCCGTTTCTCTAATTACTTTTAATTTATCGAGATAAAACACGTCGAATAAATAAAAAAGAACTATTAATTTTACGCAGATATAAGAGATGATACTCACCCCAAGGTTGCTCCGCCGGTGCCCGATGCCTCTCCCAGGCCTCCTCCTCCTCTCAGAACACTTAGGCTTCCTCGTCTCACCGCACAGGACACTCGCGAGAAACACTCGCGGATGATAAATTACACGCGCGCGCGGACTACGTTCTGTTAAAAGTCTTTCTCGCGCGATATTGTACGGCACTCCCGTTTAAAAAAGTCCTTTAATCCGATTACTTATGAGCGGCACTCCCGATGCAAACGCGCGACGAACCGGCTGCGGTTCGTTCATTCAATTAAATCGGCGAACGAGGGTACGTTAGCTTCCCCGTCTTTGAATTTTTATCCAAGCAGAACAAGAGTTTTGCTTGGGTAAAATCCTCGTACTGGGTACTGAGCCTTCCCACCTCGCCAAGGTCGTACCCGTGGGAAGGAAGTACTTTACTCTGTAATATAAAATCGGGTAACGTGAATTTTTCATGCAAATTTGAAGGAGTCGCGACGCCGCGTGCTCCGCGTCGTTCCACGTTCATCACCGCGTTACCGGCGATACTACGCAAGTCGAGCGAACGGTTAATAAAGACACGCACTTCGTTAATCAGAGATACGCTGTTGAAATTAAATATCGCACTCATGCACAGTACCTACGGTATCAAACTCGTAAATCTCGCGAAAGTATAACTACATTATTAATATGCACAACGAAGATGCGTGACTGCCGGCCGCTAATCTTACGCGACGCGAGATATACGAGAATCCGAGATTGTGAAGCATTCACGAACGGGCGATGTATCGCGGCGTTCCGTTATCACCGATCGAATCACCGGAATCACTTGACACGATCAATATCACTCAGCCCTTTTTCCTTACGGAGAGAATCGGAGCTAAATCACACGACACGTCCGGCACGTCAGCGTTCAAAGCACGACACGAGATAAATAAATGCCACGCACTTCGCGAATCCAGACATGGCGGGAGGAGCGACTATCACTCGCGAATATCACAGCGCGAAACTGCAAAGCAAGTCGTTCATACATACCTCCGCCTCGACGTCTCGAGTGAGCGCGTCGCGCGACACGTTCATTCCGATAAACACCTCATACACTCGTAAATTGTTTTACACACACGGCACACGGCGCGCGGTACTCGATCGCGTAGCGCGTATTCCCGCGGCCCGCGAAACGAGGAAGCAGGAATGCCAATTACCGAAACGAGCGCGTTCCGAAAACAGCACGAAGCACGGTGACGTCGGTGACGAGCGCGCGCGAAGCACAAACACTTCCTACCGGTGCGAGATTCCTCGGAAGAATGATAACTGAGTCACTCACGCAGGTAACACTACTCCGAGCGTTGACGGAAACAAGTGACAAGTCCGCTCATCGCCAGAAACAAAGGTCGAAAACGCGCCGATCGAGGTACGGAGCTTTCGAGTTCAACGGTCGCGTCGCTAGTACGAACTGCGCAGGTGCCTACACTGCTTACTACGTCACCGTCATCGTATCGATCCGCGCGGCGCGGCGGCGCGGAGCGGCGCATGACGTCACGGCCTACGCGCGCGGCCGCGGCCGGTTCAAAAATACCGAAAACTTTCAACGAACAATAAAAGATCAACGTATGCCGAATCTTTCGTTAACTTTCACAGGTTTAACTGGCTGTATTCTACGTTCTGCGTTCTGTCTCGGTGGTGTCTGGTCGACGTAGCTGTCTCTCGAAACGCGAGTGTTATCAGATGCAACTCCCGGGCCGGCCGAGCGCGGCCGCCGCGGCCAGAATAATAATATCCCCTCCAGCCTCCAGCTGGCTAGTTCGGACACGAACCATTAGCACGGACGCAAACCATGTGCGGTTACCGAGCGACGTACTGGCGGTAGTGTGCTTCTCTCTGGCTGGAAACGTGTGTTCAGTCGTTCAGTGTTGAAACTGTTGAATGAGATAAACACGTGGAGTTGCCGAGAACACAGATTAGAGTTTCGGACGGAATAGAATAACATTTACAGTTCACAGTGAATGAAGAAAAATAAATGACTATGGCTAACAAGAAGAAAGTAAAGGCTTATGTGAAGAAGAAACGCACGCCGGAGAGTAAAATAATCGAGGGGTTACGGTCCAAGTACAACACTGTAAATATATATAACCTCGATAATGTCGTATAACAATGTATGTAAAGGGACATGAAACTAATTACAATGCGTAATTGTAGATAGACGTTACGAAAGCAACCAAGTTCAACGACCTCCCTCTATCGCGACCTACTCTGAAGGGTTTAGCGGAGAACGACTACGTTGAGATGACGGATATTCAGAGGCAGAGCATCGGCTTGGCTTTGCAGGGCAACGATATCTTGGGGGCTGCGAAAACCGGCAGCGGCAAGACGCTGGCATTTCTCATACCGGTGTGAATCTTTACGAACCTTGCAGCCCTAGCTGACTACGATGTATGATTGATAAATCGTTGTTTCAGGTATTGGAAATTTTGTATTGCAAACAATGGACAAGATTGGATGGCCTAGGTGCATTAATTATTACGCCAACGAGAGAGCTGGCGTATCAGATATACGAGACGTTGCGGAAAGTGGGTCACTACCACGATATTTCAGCAGGCTTGATCATAGGGGGGAAGGATTTGAAATTCGAGAAGAAACGTATGGACCAGTGCAATGTAGTTATATGTACACCGGGACGTTTGCTCCAGCATATGGACGAGAATCCATTATTCAATTGTGTAAATATGCAGGTAATTTGTTAAATAACATTTTCTTACTCCTGATTAAATAAATTACATGCCTTTGAAGAGAAAAAGGTTAACTGAGATATGATTTTAGATATTAGTGTTGGATGAAGCGGATCGTTGCTTAGATATGGGTTTCGAGAAGACCATGAATTCCATTATTGAAAACTTGCCCCTTGAAAGGAAGACTTTGCTCTTTTCAGCGACTCAGACTAAGTACGTATTGAAAGATAAATTGTGCAGAATTTTGTCTTGTGATGTTATTGAGTGTATTTCATTTATTTTTGTTAGATCCGTGAAAGATCTGGCGAGGTTAAGTCTCAAAGACCCGTTGTACGTGTCTGTGCACGAGCATTCTGCACACAGCACGCCGGAGAACCTGCAACAAAGTTACGTTGTATGTTCCTTGGAAGATAAATTGGCAATGCTGTGGTCCTTCATAAGAAATCATACAAAGCAGAAGATTATCGTGTTCTTTTCCAGCTGCAAACAAGTAATTGTTTATTTTTATATCAGCAACTAATTGTCATAGACTGTTGTAATCCTGTCAAATTTATTTTAGGTGAAATACGTGTATGAAGCGTTTTGTCGATTGCGGCCGGGGGTCAGTTTATTAGCTCTTTACGGCACACTTCATCAACTGAGAAGAATAAGTATTTACGAGTCATTTTGCAAGAAGCAGCACGCTGTTTTATTCGCGACTGATATTGCCGCTCGCGGATTAGGTAAAGTCCTGCTCTACGAAATATTGTTTAAAAGATTTATTATTCAAATTTCTGTACCAAAGAATTTCTTGACACGTTGAAAACTATATAAAATTTCCTCGTTTTATTTTATAATTTTATTAACTATAAACTGTAATAACTATAATTTTACAGACTTTCCTGCTGTAAATTGGGTGATTCAAATGGACTGTCCGGAAGACGTCAATGCCTACATACACAGAGCAGGCAGAACCGCCAGGTTTAAAAGTGGTGGTGAATCTCTCTTAGTTTTGTTACCGTCTGAAGAAGCGATAATTGAGAGACTTCAGCAACGTAAAATCCCAATAAATATGATAAAGTAAGGTCTTCTGTATATATATGTAAGTTTTGCTCTAATGTATTTACATTCGTTACTCATCTATCTCTGTATGTAGGATCAATCCAAACAAGTTGCAGTCGCCACATCGTAAACTCGAAGCTTTATTGGCGCGAGATGTGGCATTGAAAGAAACAGCTCAGAGAGCGTTTGTATCGTACGTCAAATCGGTTTTCCTAATGAAGGATAAAGAGATCTTCAATGTGCATGCTTTAAACACGGACGCATATGCCAAGTAAGCACAAGAAGTCGTTTATCGTCGAACGTGAATTATTATATGTATGTATAATGTATTGAATATTTTTTCATAGTAGAATTTTTTTTTACAGATCGTTAGGTTTAGCCATACCTCCGAGAATCCGATTCTTACAAAGAATGCAGAAGAAAATGTCGAATAATAACGTTAAGACTGAAAAAGAAATAGATCAAATTTCAACTGATTCGGCAGACAACAGCGAACAAGAAGATAGCGAGGATAACTCTGACAAAAATGAAATTCTCGATAATAAAAATAATGAAAGAAGAATAGTTAAAAAGGAGAATACTGCTGCTCTTCAGTTTGGTAAGAAAATCAAAAGAATCGCTTTTGTATTCAATTATAGGTTCCTTATTACTTACCCCTTATAAAAAGATCACGTTTAACTATGTGTAATCATGCCTTTTTTAGATGATAGTGACGACGAAGATATATTAACTATAAAAAGAAAAAATATAGATATTGATGATATTCCAGTAACAGAGAATGAGGACAAAAAGACTTCGACGAAAAAGAAATCTGTTACAAAGGTCGCATTGGCCAAAAAGATTCTCAAAAAGAAGATTATACCTAATAAGAAGATTATATTTGATGATGAGGGACAAGTAAGAATTATATTACGCATCAATATAAACTACTTGCGATTTATGTAATCTTATACAGTTTTAAGAGATTAGTAAAATTCAGAACATATATTTATCTAAACTAATCGTTTCTTCTCGAGTTTAACAGTTATTCGATTATTTACCTGCTTGCTTATATAAAATACCCATGTTTCAGGAATTAGTCGATCCTACCAAAACAAAAATGTCAGAATTAGCACGGCAGTACGAGAATGAAGTCGATTCTGGTATTAATATCGAAATGGCCAAACAAATTTTACGCGAGGAGGACCAGTACGATAAACAAAGATTTAGAGAAAAAATTAAAGAAAGACACAGAGAGGAGAAGAGGAAACTGAAGGTTGCTCAAAAGGGAGAAACGAATGACAAAGGAGACGAAGATGCTGGTGATGATTACGGTAGCGAAAGTGAGGCTGGTGAAGGTCCAGATATCTCGTGGTTACCTGATCCAGATAAGATATATGGCAAGCAACAAGATCAAGACGAAGAAATATCAACTGCCAACGAATCTGAAGAAGATGAAGAATCTGAGGAGGAAAGCATAGTTCACAGGTAAAAATCATGTAATTTGTATCTATGAATAATGAATGATTATGGAAAACTCAATTGAAAACTTTTTAACGTCTTTGTTATAGGCCGTCCAAAAGAAAATTAATAACGCAAGAGGAGTATAAGGGGAAGAAGAAACAAAAGGTATCCTATGTTGACGATCTACAGGCCGACGAGGAATTAGCGTTACAATTAATACAGAGTTAGCACCAAGTGCATATTTAGAGAAATGTAAATTTATACATTTTATTTATGAACGCGGCGGTATGTACACTTTACAATATAACGTTTTTATCTTAAAAGTAAAGTGTAATTTTACATCTTGTGTCATGATATTAGTTCAACTAAATAAAATTGTACTAAGGCGGCATACGAATATTTGTCAGCTTAATAAATTATGATCGTACCTTTCTTACGCATACAAATACCAGTGAGTATTCTTTTAATGGTAAGGTGTGTAACGAGTACTTCACATTTCATACAAGTTACTCTCACAGTGATAATATTTGGTAAATTCATCTATAGGAACTGCTATTACTTACAATGTACAGCAAATATTTTATAAAATTCCGATTATTCAACAAGTAGGATATTGTAGAACGCATGTTTCAATGTTTGTGATCTATAGCAAAGCTAAAAACCGCCGAATTATCCAAGAACAATGATTTGAGAGAAATATTTCGCAGTTTTCGAGCCAATAGACGAAATCTCGTTACCGCATATTGTCGGAACGTTCCTTATCTTGCAATTGACAATTGACTAACTAGCTTATCGCGTATATAATATATTCTTTAGTAATACGTTATCTCACTAAAAATCACACAAGATTCTTGGTATATGTACTTCAAACTCGCCACTTTCCACGGACAGTTGCTACAAGAGATTTCGGCTAAGATAATAATTTTCAGTCTTCTTAAGCGGTTGCGATTTTGATGTGCTTGAGGATATTGTCGACAACCTCTCTGCTCGTCGCGGTGCCGCCGAGATCGCGAGTATGCACCCCTTCATTAATGGTCTTGTTAATTGCGTTCTGAATGACGGTGGCGTGATGCTTATTGCCCAGATGACGCAACATGTCGACCGCGGCGTTCAGCATCGCGATGGGATTCGCGATATTCTTGCCGGCGATGCTGGTGCCAGTGTTACGAGTGCCCGGCTCGAAGATCGTGTAATGATCGCCATAGTTCTTGCCGGCTAACAGACCAGCGCCGCCCAACAAGCCGCACACCACGTTCGACACGATGGCGCCGTACAGATTGGTCGTCAACACGACGTCGAACTGGTGCGGATTCGATACGAGTTGCATGCAACAATTGTCGATAATCATATCGTTGTGGATGATATCCGGGTAATCCTTGGCGACCCTGCGCGAGATCTCCAAGAAAAGCCCGTCCGACAGCTTCATGATGTTCGCCTTGTGGACCGTCGTGACTTTCTTGCGGCCGTTCCTCTTGGCGTACTCGAACGCGTAGCGAGCGACGCGTTCCGAGTTGGAATTCGTGATAATCTTCATGCTCTCGATCACGCCGCTAACGCTCTCGTGCTCCAACATGGAGTACTCGCCCTCGGTGTTCTGCCTCACGATAACGATATCGATATTCTTCTGGCGCGAGTTCACGCCTGGATAAGAGACGCAGTGCAGCACGTTCACGTAAAGGTCAAGCTCATTTCGCAGAGCGACATTTCGAGAGCGGACGTCAGTCTCCGTACTGCGCGTTTCTATGTTTCCCTTCAGGGCCACTCCGTTCCTGCGTATCGATGTAATTGCATAATCCAGATCGACGTTGTCGTCCGCGTTGGGGTCAATCTCAACATCCTCAAAGTCCACCGGTACGCCAGCGTATTTAAAAACCTAAAGCAAGCAAATCATAAATTTTACTCCAATATCTTTAGGTAGAAGGTTTAAGCCCCTTGCACAATGCTAGGCGATAGCAACAAAATTTTTAGCCTATCGGAAGCAATGTATCAATGCTGTAGTGTAGCTTTGTCGATAATTGTGTCGTTATCGCCTAGCATTGTGTAAGGGGCTTTAGGAATGCAATAGCTTTAGATAGAAAGTTTAAGCTCCAGTAGCTTAAGGTAGAAGGTTTAGACTTCAATAGTTTTAGATAGAAGGTTTAAGCTCCAATAGCTTAAGGTAGAAGGTTTAAGTTCCAATAGCTTTAGATAGAAGATTTAGACTCCAATAGCTTTAGATAGATGGTTTAGGCTTCAATAGCTTAAGGTAGAAGGTTTAGTCTCCAATAGATTTAGATAGGTTGACGAGAAATTGCGCATCTTTTATCTAATGATTCTTATACTGGTAAAAACCATAAAAAATCCAAGGACAACGTCTATGTACCTCCTTTACATAACCCATCAACTCGGGTCCGATGCCAGCTCCGGGCAGCATAGTGACGGTGTGCCTTCCACCATAATGGGCCTTTGGTATGGGCATAACCTTCTTTATAGTGGGGGTCTTGTGCTGGATGTCGAAGGCGGACAGAGAGGCGCATCGATGGCTCTGGAATATTATGGGCTTGGGTTTCAGGTACCTAAGGACCGAGCGGGCAGCCATCTCGCCGTATTATTTCGCTGTAAACATAACGAAAATCAATCCCTCGATCGCTGTCGAGTCTCGAGTGATCGCTCAACACGCATCATTGCCCAATACGTACCGTTATTCTCGCGAGTGCTATTTTAACGACACCCTCGACGCACCACGACCAACAACGACGCACTCGAGAGACCTTGCCTTGCCAGCACCCAGCACCACGCTAGACTCACCCCCCACACCACACCGCACTACCTACCTACGGACTGCTTGGAGCAGTCGGAGCACGACGCACGCAATTCAGGGTGCTATTGGCCGTGTCCAGCCGAACCTCTGCTTAGCGAAGCGAAAGGTAGCAACTGAATGTGATTGGTTCTTACCTTTGGATCCAACCAATTACACTTAATTGCTACCTTTCGCTTCGCTAAGCAGAGGTTCGGCTGAACGCAGCCATTTTCATGGGAGCGTCTCGATTGACTACAGCCATTCATTGGCCGGTGCTTGGGATTTTTCCATTGAATCACCAATCAGAAATTGTTATAAAAATAATAAACTTAAAATCAGGCTCGTATTTGTAAAGCAAACGTGATGGAAAGATCGTAGGGCAATAAACGAGCAGCAAATAAGAATGTCCACAAATAATATAATTTATCTATTTATATATTATCTAATTAAAAGAATAAGTTATATATAAAACGGAACATTTTGAACACAAGAGTTATCAACCAAAAATAATAAATTAAATAATAACATAAAAAGAGATTAGAGGTCACATGACTAATATATAATAAATAAAAGTAAATAACGATGAAACTGAAGAAATTCTTACATTAAATTGCATATATCTTGCAACGAGATAATAGTTAATAATCTACATTGATAGAGATGGACAGTAGAAAACGAAATTAAATTTGCATTTTGAATATTTTGATAGAAACAATGGAGGAACAACCGTTTCCGCCTACGCAGAAAATTTCACGCCAAGTAGGTGAAGTAGGTAGTAGGTAGGTTGGCCAGCCTGACATTTTTCGCGGCAAGCATCGCGTGCGGTTGTGGCGTGCGGCGGCTCGCATCGCAGTTCGCAGTCATTCGAAGCACTTCACGCAGCAAGAGAGAGAGAAGCGTGGCGTACAGGCGAAGGTGGTCGCTGTGCTCTTGGACGTTGAAACGACTGGTGAGTACTCGCATTCCAGAATCTGCTCTCGAGCTCGCGAACGTCGGCGTCGTCGGCTCGCGAGTCCCGGGCAACGTCGCGAGGCCTAAAAAAGAGAGGAAGCGGAGGTGGAGGAACACCGGCGATCGCGTCGTCGCCGACGCCGCCATCTTAGACCGAACCGCCGAGTTGCGACCGATTTCGCGACAATTTTCACGCGATCGCGCCGCGACTCGTCCTCGACGACCGCCACACCCGGGAGTCTCTCGTCTGTCGATTGTCCCGGCTCGCGTCACGTTGCGCGATTGCGTCAACCTCGAAACGATCGCGTCCGCGCGCCCCGCGTCGCACCGTACCGCGCCGCGCCACGCCGCACCGGAGCTGGTCTGCGCCCCCCGCGCAATTCCTCCTCTCTGTTTTATTTACGACTCCGAGCGTGTGTGATTTGATGAAAGTCACATTCTTGTGCGAGAACCAGGTGAACGATGGTTCCTAGCTCTGACGTTTCCTACTTGATTCACCTCATTTTAGGCTGACACGAATTTAAGCTTTGGATTTTTTTCTGTTTTTCATATATCTCGTGTCATTATATAAACGTTCTTCTAGTTTTTTTTTATGAGTATTTACAGGGGGACTTATTTGGTTTTCACTTTTGCAGTATTTCCTTTGTGTGCACAACAATGAGCAAAGTTAAGGAGTCTCCCGCGACCGACAATGAAGCGGAAGAGGAGTTCAGTGTGGAGAAGGTCTTGGACAGAAGAGTTGTGAAAGGAAAAGTACGTGAGATCCTACCGCACGATATCTCAATAAGTGTTGATTGTTAAGGTGCGTTAGCTTAATTTGAAAAAAAAAAAAATTGTTTTGGATTACAGGTGGAATATTTCTTAAAATGGAAAGGCTACTCAAACGACGAGAATACATGGGAACCAGAAGAGAATTTGGACTGCCCGGATCTGATCGCTCAGTTCGAAGAGCAGCGAAAGAAGAAGGAGGCAGCTGCATCTGGCAAACGCCACGAGGAGAAGGAACAGAAGAAGCGAAAAAGTAATAACACCCCGACGCCCACTCAAGCTAAGAAAAAGGCAGCGGTGGAAGAAAAGAAGTTGGAAGGTAAAGGGAAGCATCGAAAATTTTTTCCCTTACATATTTTTCTCTTACAAATTTGTTCTTTTTTTTTTCCAATATTCTTTATTTTTCAAAAAAGAATAAGCACTCTCGCTCTAATGAAGCGAGCAAATATAGGATTTTTATCTATTTGCGAATACGCCTTTCGCTTTACAGGATTTGACAGAAATCTGGATCCCGAACGTATTATCGGCGCGACGGATTCCAGCGGCGAACTGATGTTCCTAATGAAATGGAAAGGAACGGATGACGCGGATCTGGTACCCGCGCGCATCGCTAACGAGAAGTGCCCACAGATCGTGATCAAATTTTACGAGGAGCGACTCACGTGGCATAGCCCGGCCCACGACGAAGAAAATACGAAACCTGACCCGGAGTAGCGCACAGCGTTCCTTCGTGATTTATTTTTATTATTAAAAATTATTCCATAATTATCTTAGTTATTTACGAGTTTTCTAACTTTTGTAGAGGAAAAATAAACGTAAGATTTTTCGAAAGTTTAAAAGAAAGAAGAAAGCCACATTACTACACTACTCGTACACTTGTCACCACTGATCAATGATATATCTATTTTCGAATAATAATTAGACGATTCACTGATGTGCATTTCAAAATGTTGCTTTTAATAGTAATAGTATCTTTATGAACTTGTATATTAATTAACGATATTTTTATGTTTTCAAATAGCTACTTTGATCTTTTTGTGTGTACTAAATGGTCATACAAAAAGTTAAAAATTGTTGCACCTATGCGAACTACCTGTTCCTTTAACAGCGATCAACTATTCAAAAGATGCGCAATTTACGAACCTCCAAAGTTCAAATGAATGTATAAAGCATAAAATTATATAACATGTAATTAAATCAGTTTATTGGCAGGGAAGAAATTAAAAAAACGCAGAGAAAAATAATTTTTTTTTTATAAATGCTGGATTGGTTGTTCCAGTCAATTAATACGAGACTGCTAGTTCGATTGCAATTGCCTCTAAGCTTGTAAAACAAAATAATAAATTTTATAATTTGCAATAATAATGTAGATAAGTTCTCGCGAATTAGTTACTTCTTTTTTTCACACGTGTATGCCGCTAAATACAGTGTATCTGTAAACTGATAAAAATAAGTCATGGAGGAATCACAATAATCTGTTTGACATCGTCATTTCACTGATTTTATGTATTAAAAATTTGAAAATATGATTTGATATCTTTCTGGTTCACATTAATTAAAGTATAGGTATATTGTTAGCTGAATCACACTTTGTATCAAAAGGAAAATTATCGAAAAATGTTTATATTAGACACAAACTGTTATGTGCAATGACGATGTATGAGCGAATTATAATGATTAACACATTCTTGCGTATTGTAACGATTAACACATTCTTGCAAAAAAATCGTACGAGAAGACGAGTGCTTTTTATATAAATGCTGATGATTAAGCGTCATCCGTTTTAAACTACTTCATATTTGTTTATAGCATTGCCTTCGAATTAAAACGGAAATAAGACATTGGGAAAAGGTTTATTGTAAACAAAAATATAAAATTGTCTATGAAATGCGTTTATTACATATTCATCGTTTGAATTTTTTAACCCGATTATTATCATGCGTTTGAACAGACTTTCGCTTCTTCTTGCCAAATGATCCTTTCATTCGTTGATGTCGTTTCACTTCCCAATCTATTTGCTTAGCGCTAGCACCGTCGCTGCTGCTGAAAACATTGCTACCGCCGTGCTTTCCCCTCGTTTTATTTTGCTCCTCCAACATCTCGGCGAACTTTTCTGCCGATACGAATATGTTGCTATCGATCCCTTTTTTATTCCCTTTACTTTTTGGACCCTTCGCGTTTAGCTTTTTATTCAAACTCGAAATTAACTCGTCGTCTACATCCTCTTCGTTCTCGGAACCATTGAACTCCATGTCGCTCAGATCTTCATCTACGTCTGCAAGATCGATATCGCTTAGATCTTCGCCATCATCTACGTCTGCAAGATCAATATCGCTTAGATCTTGCAAGTCATTGTCATCCCCGACATCTTCATCAAGATCTTCAGATACATCATCGGTGATATCGTCATCTTCAGATTGATCATCGTTATCTGCATCATCCTCATCCTCGTCATCAGAATCCTCATCTGTTTTACCTGTTACAAATGTAATTATTGATAAGATATATCGTTCATAGTTTTTATAGATATATGAAACACTAAAGAAAGCTTGAGCAAGGATTATTTCGTTGCTTCCTTTTATAAATGAGCCAACAAAACACATTTTACATAAATCAAATGCAAAGATAACACATTACCTTTCTTCTTCCTAGGTAGGATGTCCGCCGCGATATCCAAATCGCCAAAATCTTGGCTGCCGCCCATACGATCCAACATATCATTGAACTCTTCGCTATTAACGCTGTCTAAATCGTCATCATCTTCGTCTTCGTCTTCTTTCTTCGTACGTTTCTTGATTTCGTCCTTCTGCTTCAAATATCGGTATAAAAATAACTCGTCTACCGGTATTCGTTCCTCCCTCTCGTCGAGATACGCCGCGCTATCGACCGGAAGGGCTCGTATCCCCTTAGGCGTGTATCCAGCACGTTGCGCTAAAGGATCGTTCTTTTTTTGCACCTTCTTGTCCTCCAGCTTCTTTGGATTCTTAAAGACGTACCGGTCCAAGAATCGAATCAACGTCAAATCTTCCAAAGGATCGCCTGTGTATTCAATCGACTTCCCTACGAATAAATTTATAAATATTATACCGAATATAATAGTGAAAGATATATAATGAGTTTAAAGTTTTATTACCTTGAATGATCTGATTCGCAAATAAAGCGACACTCGGATGGAAATGCCTGGATAACGCTTCAAGTTCGGTGTTGAGCCCTTTCATTGCCCCCGCATACAGGGGATTTCGACAAAAGGGATCATACGACTTTATATTTTGTGCCTCGATTTTTACGTCTGTCTCTTTCTTCACATCAGGCTTCGTTTCTGACGCGGTATCCTCGCCAACGGTGACGTTCGATAACATAATGGAGCTTTCATTTTCTATTACACGAACGTCCTCTGTATCCGATGAGCTATCGTCTACTTCGCATACATCATTTTCGACTTTAATAGCCTTATGTGACTCGAGCAACATATGTTTTAGATCTTGGCGGCTTTGAAGAATTTTGGAGACAATGTACAACATGGCACACGCCATATTCGCAGGAAAGTAGAACGCAATTTGCAAGATTCTTTTGATAAAAGCATATGAACGTAGCACGCTTTGATCTTTCTGAAGAACTCGATACAACAAATTGAGGAACACTGCGTGTTTATTCGCTACTCCTATTTGCCGATCGAATAGCTTTCTGTAAAAGGCTGAATAAAATCGGCTCGCCTGAGACTCGTCTTTGCCGGTTATCTGAAAACCATGAAACACAATTGCTTTTAGTACAAACTAGAAACGAATAAATCTTCAGTGCAGCAGCAAATGCTATTCCATAGCTACTTACTTGATGCAACAAGCTAAGTGCATTGAGAGAGACATTAAACGATCCAAGGTGTACCACTTTGTAGATAGAGTCGACGTGTTCATTTAATATCTTCGAGTCCACTTTGGCGAAAGGATACGCTCTATTAACGCCCATTAGAATCGCTGCCATCATTCTAGTGTCGGGTTCGCCTTTCTTCAAGCACGCTTTGAAAAACGCAAAGTACACTTCTATCAGTGTACCGGCTATCTCCTCGTCATTTCTATCCAGGACATATTGCGCCAGCAGGCATATAGCGTAATACTGAGTGCGCTGGCCCACATTTTTTCTAAATAGCAGTTTCTCGACTTCGCGCAAGATTACAAGCTTCATGTTCGGATGCTCGTGCAATAACTTATTGATGCAAAATACAGCTTTGGATCCAACCTTACTGCTCGGATCTCCAATTTTATTCACAAGTAACTCCAGCAACTTGTGTTCCTGCTCGGCGTTGCCTATCAACAGATCCGCCATCGCGGATATGGCCTTCTCACGATTTGTATCTACCGTATCGGAGGCCACCGCGGACAAATTCAGAACAAAACGCTCATATTGCTCGCGTAGCTGGTCCTCGAAGTACCAGTGCGCCAACAATCTATTTCTAGCGGCGTTCGTCTTGACGACGAAATCTGATCCATTTCCCATGTTGAGCCTGTCCAAATTCTGTTCTTCCAATTTCAATAATCTGAACTTAGGGTGCAACAGATCGGCCAGGAAGAGCTCTTTCAACGACACAATGATCATGCCGCATTGATTGTGCTTGGCGCCACGCACTTGGGACACCAAGGATACCAGACGGCCGAGATTGTACTTTGGATTATCTTGCACCAGCACTATACTGGCTGCTATCTTATCCGAGGTGGTGCCCCGTTGCAATGCCGTTTTCAACCACTTGGTCTCCGAGTCGTGCGATTTGGATTGTTTCAGCTGAAAGGCGGCGGTTTCTGCATCCAGATACTTCTTTCCTTCATCTCTCAGATACAAAACGTCGGCTTCGGACTTGGAGTGCTTGCAAGGTCCTTCTGCCTTCTGATATTCCTCGTACCACTTCTGTTTAATACCAGTGGCGGCTTCGCCAGTGGCAAAATTATCGTCGAATCCTCTCTTCATCTTCTAAAAAAAATGCACTACACTAAAATGATTTTCAGAACAATAATAAATATGTGCATTTAAGTAACGTGACGCAGTGTTCTAATGTACGTTGTAAAATAACACACTTGCAATTATTAGAACTGATATAAAATATAAAATAACGCGGACTATACTTACGTTATTAACCTCAAAATCATTGGTAAATCTCTTGTGATAAAAACTCTTTTCGTTCAGATCACTTACTTAAACGTGTTTAATGTAAATATATTCTGCACACACAAATCACAGTCTGTTTATGCATGTATTTAAATATCTAATTTTTTATTTGTATTTTTCTCAAATCCTAACCTTGCAACGTGCTCTTTAAAAATCATGCGAAAACGTGGGCGAATTTTAACGCCATCTAACATCTTTTAATGGAATTATGGATTAAAATACCGGAAGTAGTCAGATGTAATTACAGGCGTGGACAGAACCGCGCCAAATTTCAATCCATATTTTTATACAATCTTGCATTTTTATGCTGTGCATATTTATTGTAAAACAAGCATACAAACTTTTGGCATAAATTGAGATAAAAACATGAAAATTATTTGGCATAATTCTTAGGAGTGCTATACATTTTATTTCAATGTTCTTATATTTATTGGAAAATATACAGTTATTTGACGAACAGTCTGTGCAGTCATATTAATTTGCATCTCATTAAAGCGATATATACAATTTTCTATTATCTATTATGTGGCGTATACCATCACGCATTTCCTAGTAGATTTTGAGTTTTCGATAACAATGTTATCTACCAGAGTCGCTTTATTATACATAAAAGTTATAGAGTAATAGAGTATATACTCTTGCATCACAGATATATTTTATTTTGCAAGACACGCAGCGTTTTTAACTAACACGGGTTATTATAAATCGTTCCAGGAGCGATTAAAACCAATTTTTATGACACACGTTTACTTGGAAGTTTATTTGGGAATGAGGTACAATCACATAGCAATAGGACTGTAACCAGTATTAATCGCTCTCGAAAATCCGATTAAAAACCCAATTTCGTCGAAAAAGCTGATAATTATAAAGTGAACGATCACAATTAAATAAAAGACAAAAACAGTAATCGATTTGAATCAGAAGTCAAGATCGATACAGAATTGAAGATAAATTATGTTTTCTATGAATCATGATAGATAAATTATGTTTCGTTTCACCTTTTCTACTTGATTGAGCAGTGTTAAAACAATAACTCGTATTACGTGACATGAGTACTTAATCGAAAGTTGTTGTATGCAGTATGACTAGATTTAAAAAAAGAGCTTTTATAAAAACAGCTTAATAGAAACATTGAAAAATTGCTTGCCCATAGATTAATACTACGTCTAAATTTTTCCCTGAATTTACATTACATTACAGGCAAATATGCTTACGTGCCTATCAGCATGTGACACATTTCGTTTGACCCCATTGCAAACATAGCAAACTTTTTAATTGCTATAAACATGTAATTCTGCCATATACAGACACTTAGTGACGTATAAATCTTATGTGGTATTCTTAGAAAGGCTTCTAAGAAGTTTAAACAGTCTATTGATCTAATCCTCGATGCCTTCTCTTCGTCCTTGCATACGGCCCGATTTCAGGATCCATCACGAAATCGTACAGAACGGAAACCCATGAATTGTGCTGCGGCAAATCGTCGTAAAATTCTGCGGCTATACGTTTTACCTACATAAGATAGTTGAAATGATAAGTAACAAGTTACATGGTATAATAATCGGATGGACGTAGTAATTTTTTACATACTTCTGGTAATCTCGAACCAGGCACCGCAGGAAAGTCATGGTGTTCGTTGTGATATCCAACATTGAAAGTGATGAAATTTAGAGGACCGTAATAACTATATGTTTCAAATCCTTTACTGTACATATAATGTTCCGATATAAAATGTCCTGCCACTGGATGCAGTCCCATTGCCATAAAAGAGCCAATAAGCAAATAAAACAGTACTTTACCACCTGAAAATCACATTTTTTATCAGTAATCGAGATTCACAATTTATATTATTAACATATAAACTTTGAATCCTTTACAAATTCTGAAACTTACCGAAAAAGTACCATACGCAGGCGTCAAATGTCAATTGTATAACTAAATTTATGTATTCCAGAAGAGTTGGTACTTTTGGGTACGTTACAAGAGGGCGGAATGCATAAAACAACGGTTGTAGCATTATCCAACAGAACTTGCCAAAAGTTGTACAAAACAGTTTAGCCTCTAATAATGTCGGTAAATCCGTATCTAATTTTTCATCTCCTTGATACTGAAAACGCAACAAATATACCTCATAAAATATTGATTGAAAATATATTACATTGCTAGATAACGCAAGTCAATTTTTCATCATTTCTCTCACCCGATGGTGCTCGAGATGATATTTTTTAAAACTGACAGATACTGGTAGTCCTATTGGCAGATTTGCAAAAAAGCCGAATAGTCGATTAGCCATAGGCCTGGCATGTCCAAAGGCAAGATTATGAGCTATCTCGTGTATCGCTGCAAAGCAAGAAGTAACATAAATTAGCGTAATATGTTTAAACATGCGCATAATGTTTGACAAACTGTGGCTTTATTGTATTAATAAATGTATGCATACCAAGCATAAGAGAGTGGTTTATCACGCCTCCAAAGCAATATGCTAATAGCAAGAGTTTCGGATAACTCAAATCTTTGACGATAAAGAACGACAGAAACTGTATCAATACCATCCCAGTGACAACCCATTTGAAATTTGGATCGTAACCAAACAACTGTTTGATTTGTGGATACTTCTCTGGAATAGAAAATATTAATTGTAACAAACATTTCAAAAATAATAAGTATAAACAAGCTACTTCATTAAAATATCATCTTAATTTATAAAATTTGATAACACGACAAACAATGCAGCAAAATACATTTACGTCTGAAATAATCTCGCTTTAATTAAATATATTTGTTGAGCTTTTCTTGTCATATATTTTAATACAAATTTGTATATCAATTCTCGATACATATAGCATAGACTCATTGGACTCATTAGACACTAAATTGGAGTACAATCTTAAAAATGACATTTTGGGCAACAATAGAGATTGAAGATACTTCATCTACTCCAATTACTCCAATTAATATTTCGCGGTACTGCTTTCATACCACATCCAAAATATTACTAGGCCACAAAGATATTCGACCAGAATTTTCTCGGGATAGGCGTGGTTACGCGTATGCTCCATTTAGCTCCTAATTTGGCTTTAGCAATTAACGAGCGTTCCCTCGTATCCCGAGAGAGCAAAGTAACCAAATATTTACACCGGAAATATTAATCATTAAACATTTTTCCCGCGATTGTCATACCTAAAATTATTTTACGGCGCGTGGCGTGCGGCTCTTCCGTGTAGACCCACTCGAAGTCCGTCCTCGAGACCCGCTGGCCCATCTTTTCCGTTTCCGATTTCCGTACAAAAGGCAGATGAGATTAATCCCGGCGATGGCCCAGAGCCGAATGGGATCGTCAGTGACGATCAAGGCAAGAAGTAGACGTGCGATACGCAGTACGCAGGCATGTACACTGCATACGCACCCTTGAACTTGCGATTTCGTCACATTACCTGATGATATTGCCGGGCGCCGGCCTTTGCCTTTTTTTCTTACTTGCCGTTATACAGGGTGTCCTGCTATCACCGGATATCACGTTCTGGTCACACCGGTCGCGGTCACGCGTTTTGCGTTGAGTAAATATGGAGTCGAGTGCCTTGAATCAAGTTACGAAATAAGTTGCGAATAAATAAATTTGCGGATTTTTGGAAAATTTATTTAAAAATTCAACTCGCATTCAAGTTAATTGTCGAATTAAACCTTTGTAGTTTTAAAATTAATTTTTTACCGAAATAAATTTGGAGTCGGAAAGACCGTCAAACAGCCAAAGCTAATTGCTCGATCGTCAATGAGTTTTGTGATGGTTTTCCCTTTTTCTCGATATTTGCTTTAACAGGCCCAAGCTCGAAATATCGTTCGGCGATTTTGGAGCATTCGGTATGTGGAACTGATGTAATCTAATTCGGCGTATGTGACAATCGTGACATCATCGTACATATGTGTGTGCAACGTGGAGATAAATACTAATGAAACATTTATCGCCACACGCAGTAGTTGCGCAGATGCATCCACTTCTTCAAATCGCGTGCACAGATAAAGTAAAAAAATTGCGCGATAAATAATTCCTGTAAACAGTAAACAACTCCACCCGCAATCCCGGGAAAGCGTTGTCTCTCTCTTCCCTTTCTCTCCTTTCGAGATAATCGAGAATAAAGAGAGCCAGCACTATCCCTCCATTATCGCTAGACGATGGGATCGACTTTAGCGTTTCATCCGGAATCTCGCAAAAGCGGGAGATTGATTGGCGGATTGCGCGTTATTCCCTAGCAACATTGTTTACGGATAATTTCGTGGATGAAATAATTAATTGGCGAATAAAACAATTTAATTGTTTAATATGTAGAAAGAAAGATCGGACAGGGATAACGAATTATGCAATTGGAAATTTAACAAGCAATTCTGCCGAGGTTGATGAATTTTAAAGGATCAGAAACGCGCAGAAAGTGTAAGACAATTAAGTGTAGTCAGTGTAGCTACAAGGAACAGACCGAACAGACGTATTTTGGATAGCGTACCGCGATTGTTTGACGAAACTCTTCGAAGTGTAATTAAGTATTTATTCAACAAAAGTAAATCATGCCGAAAGTACGACGAAGCAAGAAACCGCCGCCCGACGGTTGGGAACTGATCGAGCCGACGCTGGAGGAATTGGAGCAAAAGATGCGCGAAGGTGAGTGTTTGCTCCTCGCGAGGTTAGATTTAGCTGCTTCGGTTTAACTTATGTTTTATCTCTCTTTAATTCTCAAAACTAGAAAAAGATAAAAATGTAAATCAAATCGAGATTAAAGTTATATCTACGTTGGTGGAAATGGACATTAAAGGTTTTTTTTTTTTCGTTACAGCCGAGACGGAGCCTCACGAGGGCAAAAGAAAACAGGAGTCCTTGTGGCCGATATTTAAAATCCACCATCAGAAATCTCGATACATATACGACTTGTTCTACAGAAGAAAGGCCATCAGTCGCGGTAAGTCGACGTGCCGTTACAAAGATGCTCTTAAAAAGAGATTTTAAGAGATTACGTCTGATCTCCTTGCGTTTTTCACTTGTTGCAGAATTGTACGATTACTGCCTGAATGAAAATATCGCCGACAAAAACTTGATCGCCAAGTGGAAGAAGGTCGGCTACGAGAACTTGTGCTGCCTGCGCTGCATTCAGACGAGGGATACAAATTTCGGCACGAACTGCATCTGCAGAGTGCCAAAGGGCAAGCTCGAGGAAGGCCGGATAGTGGAGTGCATACATTGCGGTTGCCGAGGATGCTCGGGTTGAGTGCGACGCTCCCCTGTGTAAGGCACTTATACTCTTTATTGCCGCAAAATTACATTGTGCATCTCGTTTTGTAATAAAAAAAAAATTTAATTTGCACGTATCTCGCATCTTTACTCGATCGTCAGGCGCCACTTTTCACGCCCGGCAAATCTAGCGGCAAGATAGAGCGGCGTTTGCACCCGCCAGTCGTACGTGACGCATTTGTTTTCAGACTCGATGTTCACTCGCAACACGTGAGCATTTTTCCGGAGGGCAGAGATCATGATGACCGCACCGAGACGCATCCTCGGCAGGCGCATCAGTTTCTCGTCACCGTCCATGAAGATTTTGCCTTGCGGCGTGATCATCAGCGAGGCTGCTCTTTTCAAGGTGTCGTGACTACCTTGCGGGTCGTAGACTAACGCAATGCCCTCGTCATCGTTTCCTTCTGGTGAAACTTCTAAAAACTGTATAATAGGTAAAATTAAAGCGTAGACGAAAAAGTGTAAATAAAATCATATTGCATATAATTACCTTGAATTCAATTATGTAATTCGCATCGAATTGAGGACCTTGCGAGAACAACGTACTTATGGTATCCGTAACTTTTGCAGCAACTTTATCGTTATTAGTGATCACGTAATCCTTGTTATCAAGTTCCCAGCCTGTAATCATTGTAAGTGATTTTTTTATGACTGCCACATTAAAATCTCACACGAAATATAAAACGTTTTTAAAGTATTCTTTTTCCCGTCCAAACATCCACCGTGTTAGACCTAATTTATTAAGATATCAGATTTAGAAAAGCTTTATTCTTAATACAAAGATTGGTCGCTTTCCCTATACGTACTATAAGGCGGTATAAAAGTCCGTGTGACGTGATGTACGCTCCTTGCGACGTTGTCCGCTTGTATTCTAACTCTGAGCGTAACTTGTCGATCAACAGGTATATTTCTGATAAAGCAAGAAGTCTCGGATCCTCTGTACACCGTCTCGAACTTGCTTGACGCCGGGTCGAGAATCTCCCCGTTAGCTTTCTCCACGACATACGTCTGTTCTTCGGCGAAGTACTCCGGATTAGTTACGTGCCATTTAACGTATAATCCCGCCGGTCTCTCCTCAATGTTTATTATCTGAACGGGTACCGTGCGAGAGATGCAGCCAAGTTTCGATATCTGCTCCATAATCTCTTCCTTGTACGAGTTCAATGGACGATCGAAATTTATATTCGGAAGCTCCTCTGAATACGGCACCGCCGGGATTCTTAAAAGTTATAATTTAAAACTTTTAGTCTCTGAGATAGTCTCTGTAATCTTTATATTATTATCGCTCTCACCTGCCTATATCATTACTCGCAGAAATTATCTTTCCAAATCCATTCGCGCTATATCGATGCGGATGCCGTAGAATATCCTCGCTCATCGATATGATATTCTGCGCATTTTGCACCTGTGCCTCCAGCTCCCTTCTACAAGCCCTCAACGGTATCAGACTCTCGTGTTTATGAATTTCTGTCTCCAGTATCAGCTGTTCGCGTCTCTTATTGATCTCGTGGCACACGTCATCTAACAAAGATTGAAACGTCCCGTCTATATCTTTTAACGTTCTCATCATACTATTTTCTATCTGACAAAACAATTTTCTCGTGTTAATGTAATCACCAAGTATAAAAATAAGCAGCAATTTTAAATTTACCTGCTGATCAGCATTGTCGAGATCTTTCAATTGACAATCCAGTTTTGCTATGTATTCCTGTGTAGATTCTACAATGCTTTTGATATTGTCTGTCACGTTCTGTGGCAATACTTCTCCTTTTTGTGCAAAAGTATCTTCCGCATCAGGATGTGATACATTTGTGCTCCGATTTTTGTCCACATTTCGTTCATATTGGTTTAATTTCTTTAATGCATACATTAATCGCATCAGAAGTTCTTCTCTCTTCGTTTTTTCATTACCGTTATCGGAACTCTTACTAGAAATATTTGGCGTTAATGGTTTTGTCACGTATTTGTGCAATAATTCGTCATAATTGTCGATTTGCTCCAACTCCAATTTATAGGACGGTTTTTGTTTGGTCAGCGCTTCTAAAATTTGTTCCATATCTGAAAAGATAATATAGATTTGGATTAATATAAATAATTATTGATATAACATTCAAATATATATAATATAAATTTTGAAATTTTACAGATTAATTTTTGTTTATTAATTACAGATATTGTTTAATTAAATTGTGCCAGGAATATTTTGCGTAGCAATCATTAGGGTCAGCTTGAATTTCTTTCTCAGCAAACGTTTGGGTCTGCTGATTGTTCAATATCAGGTATTTCCTCGATCTTCCTGGATATCTCACATAATCATGCAGTTTAGCGTGATCTGTTTCATTACTGCCGATTTCATGTTCATTCCCGTTATAATTCTTACTCGGCGTTAGCAACATGCCGCTCCAATAATCTGGATCGTTATAATCGTGCAAAGACGCTTGCGTACTAATCCCTATAATTTGCCAGGAATATTTAATGCTGCACATTTTGTACGCAGGCTTATTATCCTCCATATTATTTAACAAGTCTTGCAATAAGGTGTGTGATGTCTGTGTGCCTGTTCCAATAACTTGCCAGGAATATTTTATTTTACAGTCATAAGGTCTTCTGCCATTTCTCTCAGCAGTTTTCATTTCAGCGTTGTCAGGTTCTTTTCTTTGAGAAGATGTGTGTGGCATCCAATTATCTATTTCCCAAGAATATTTGATGTTACCCGCAGTCTTATCTTCATCCCACGTATGGCTCTTTATCGCATTTCTCTCCTCAACAAGATTGTCATCCTGAATTTTGGCTAAACTGCTGCAGTTGTAGACAGAAGACCAGTTTGTGTTAGTAGATTTTAAATGAGATTGTGCAAACTGTGGGAAGTTATTTCCTGGCAGAACTTCATTTTCATAATGTAAAACATTAATTTCATATTCGCTGTTACTGGGATGCAAATGATTTGACGCTTTACTAGATATCGACTTCGCCCTGTTTGCAATATTTGCAAACGTTTTTTTATTTTCGATCTTGAAGCTTGACGGTGTTGACACCGTGGAGACGGTGTCTGCAATATCGTAGAACGATTGACTTGATAGTGACACAACCGGTTTGCTCATGATATTACTGATTGGCGTTTCTATCTTTGGCAAAAGTACAATTATATCCTCGTGTCTCGTCTGGCTTTCCTTCATCTGCGACAGATCGCACTTCCTTGATAATTTTATAGATCTTGAACTTGCTTTGTGCAAATTCTTTTCATCTGCGGACGGTTCGGATTGCGCGAGCACTGTATTGGGAAATTGTAACGTATCATTTCTCTCCTTGCAGGATAATCTCTTCGATGGGTACAAATTTTGCGAAATACTAATTTTCTCGATGCTTGGAGACTCGTTCTTTCCAAAAGTAGTATACTTTGCACTTTGATCCTTGGCTTTCCAGCGATCAGTTCTTTTTACCTAGGAAGTTCCAAGCTTCAGATGTAGAAAAACTAACGCTTTAAACAAGATTTTTAATAATTTTTCGAGATTGCGTTCAAAAGTAATATGAAAAAGAAAAGGGGAAAGTAATCTTTTGGAATACAGAGATTTTGATTGACCTCGAGTGAGTTTCCCAAGGGATCGTATAATGTACGCAAGGGTGCCTCTGAGAACAGCAATGCAGGATTATTTATGCAGTTTTGCGTTCTCAGAATCTGTCGCTGAAAAGTCCTGTTCTCTGATAAGGTAGCGTCGCAGCTCTGCTTAAAGGGCACAGGTTTCACAATGGGAATCATTACATTCCTGGTATGCAATATTACATCTGGCATCCTTCTCTTCTGTCGATTTTTCAGGCGTCTGCCTTTTATCGGAGCTGAGTCTCCCATGTTAGAGCTTCTACAGTAAAATATATCATACATCAAAGAGCGTGTCTCTTAAATACATAAATACTGTTTCAATACATGTATCTTTCACAGTTATAACCTATAAATTCATTTTAGTGTGTTGACGGATTAAATATATACTAATATAGAATCGAAGCAGATTACTTTTACTATTTACAATATGTATCTGCAAACGTGAATTCATATGTACAATAGGAAATAAAGCACATTTATATTATACAAAATATCCAATTAGAAATTTATTTAACGACGAACTTTATTACACCCAAATTATATTATAAAATAAACAATGTATCGTGTTAACGACGATTGATTAGGATAACTGAATTTTATAAAGTATATATCTCTGAAAAATGTGTAAATGATTCATCGGAGATAAGATAGAGATCAAGGAAAAAAATATATGTCAGTAGTCTCTCTCTCAGTACGCATATATACAATCTTGATATATACTCACAGAACGTTGGAAATTAACCGAGATAATTAAAACCGGAAATCTGGCAAGGATGGGCGATACACGGGAGAAATTTGGAGAGCGATGATTTTGCCGAAAAGATTATGACATTTGAAACGCACGGGGTAATCGCGGATCTCTACGGGCGGTGCATCTTGTCGCGCTGGGTCTAAATATAACCAAGCCAGGCGTGATATCATGCATAGGCATGAAACAGACAATTACCACGCAACCGTAAATCCCAGCCGCGTAATATTTAAACGTGCTACATATTTACTGTAATATTTCTAGAAATTATATATTTAACGCCTCGCATTTTCGTCCACGCTTACATAAATACTAAAAAAAATGTAGACCCCGATACTCGCGTGGTTTACTGCAATGAAGAAATCATTAGAGTTTATGTTACTATATTTAAATGATAAAGTACATTTTCTGATTATATTATATACATATTACATCATATTTAGACATTATATAATACAATCCAATATCACATGATCCTCCCTGATATTATTAAATTAAAATTAAAATGAGTGAAACAATAACTATACCTACATACGAAATAATAACTGTAACGATAATACGGAAGAGAAAAGACGTGTTAGTTTGATACCTCCGATACTTTTTAGATCGCTCTCATCCAACCCTCAATAAATAGATTTATATGTAACTTGATAGAAAGAACTTTTAAAATCTTATCGGCATCCAAGCCCTTTATCACAAATTTCCGCATATGTTTGCGTTAGATAATATAAATATACATCGCCTACGTTAGACTGTATTATTAAAGTCGTCCGCTATAAAACTTTGTTTTACGCCAGATCTTGCTAGAAATCGATGAAGTGATCATGTAGTAAAACGTGCAGAAGTGCATGTGTGTAACTGAAGTTTCATAGAGAATTATAGGCTGCGCGCAAGTCTTTGTTTCTGATAATTTTGCGTTTTAACGCAGTTAATTCTGCCGCTTTAGAAGCTGATCAATTTGCATTTTGTACATCTCCTTAACGTCCTCGAGGTCCAGTCGCAGTTCCTGATTCTCCTCGACCTTTTCGCCATACATTTGCAGCAACGCGTCGTATCTGGTTTGCGTCTCGTTAAGACTCTCGTTGAGTGCCTGCGCTTCCGCGACGCTGGCACTCAATTCCTCGACCTTCAAAGTTAACGTCGCCAATTCCGAATTCAGTGTATCCCTCTCTGTGTTTCGTCGAGACAATTCCCACTGAAGTTGCTGTATCTCACCTGCGATAGCATGTAAGAATTAGTGAATAGCAACAACCAAGATTAGCAATACCGATAAACACGATAACACATAAGCTTACCGTCTCTCTGTTTCAATTGCGCTTGCAAGTTCTCGAAGATCGACGTACTACTCGAGCCCGTTATAATACTTTCGTATGGTATTGGAGGAAATCTGCCAGAGTTATTATCAAATACTGAATCGCTGAACTGAAAAAAGCAAATTTTACATTAGATACAAAATAATTGTCGATTGTGTGTGTGTGTGATCCCGTAACATTTTTATACATACCCCTGGCCAGGCACTATTTGCACTGCTAACAGATTCTTGTCCTATGCTGAGAGTAGGGCTAAATCGTGATTCCTCATCGGTATTTTGCTGCTGTTCCAATATTGCGTTATTTCTTCTCCTTTCTGCATCAGTCGCTGCCTTTTCGACGGCTAACTTATTCTCTAGCGCGTTTATCTCTCTTTTTAATTCCTGCACTTGACTGGAATGTGTCTGCTCGAGAGTGTTTATCGCATCTTGGTGTCTGCAATTTGAATTTTATTATAGATTGAATATTAGCATGCATCGCGAAAAAACGTGTCTACATATTCTAAACACTTACTCTTTATTCTGCTTTAATAATCTCTCATTTTCTTCTTTTAATGTATCGTGCAATTCCTGCAATTTCGACCTTTCTTTCTCTTTTAAGTTGAGCTTCGATTCTAAATGCGATTCTTTGGTTTTCAGATTAATATTCTCTTCTCTCAGAAGACGATCCATCTCGGTTAAATTCTCGATTTTGGACTGCAATTTAATAATTTTCTCCGATAAAACCTTCTCCTGCTTCATGAAGCTATTGGATTTATGTTGTAAGTTTGCTTGCAGTTGTTCTATCTGCCTTAACAGAGGTTTTGTTGCTATCGAGACAGATTCGGATAACTCTTCACTTCTGGCTTCTGAAGCTTCTAATCGCTTAAGTAATTCGTTGTTTTCATGCTTGAAAAACTCTTCCCTTCTATATCATAAAAAAATAGATACTATTAGAATAAAAATCAGTTATACTATAATTAATAGCGTATTTAATGTAAAATATTCACTTGACGTGAGCTTCCTCGGCTTGACGGTATTTCAATTTCAAATCCTCCACTTGTGCAAACAATTGGCACGATTCAGCCGCGTTATCCACGGCTTCTTTTAATTCCTCTTCAGTGGTTAGCAGCTTTTTCTTCGTTTCTGCTAAGTCCCTATTATATAGAATTTTTTTATTAAGTACATAAAGCTCGTTTTATTTTAGAATTAGTTAAATGATTCTACACTCACACTTTTGCAGCATCCAAGCTCTTCTTATAAGCCTCCATCTTATTCACTGCATTATCCAATTTTTCTTGTAACGTTAGTATCTCTTTCTCTTGCTTCTTCGTTTTCGCTGTCAGCGTATGAACAGCTTCTATTTGACTGCGCTCGACCTCCTCCTTCGCGTGCAGCGATCGTTTTAATCTCTCCAATTCCGTATTTTGTTCCTCTATTTGCTCTCTAAAAATAAAAGTGAAAATTGCGATGAATTTAATTATTATTTGCTGTAATTTACTTTTGATACAATTAATACAATAAATAAGATATAACTAAATTACTTTTGACTCTTTATCGTTGCATCAGTCTCTTTCTCTTTTACGCGCAGCTTTTTTATGATGTTGCTGTGTTGAAGTTGTTGTTTGCTGAGTTTCTCGCCCTCTTCACGAAGCTCCTTTATGATTTCGTCCTTCTCAGCGTTTATATTCGACATCTCTTGCGACGATAAACGCGATGCTGCTTCTAACTTTAATTGATCTAAATTTTTCCTCAGTTGATCACGCTCCCTTATCGCTTGCTGAAATTTCCTCTCCAGTGCCGACAGACGCTGCGTATATTCATCCGTGATTTGATTAATATTTTGATTTTGCTCCGCGTGTTTTTCAAAATTCTCAAGCTGCCTGTAAAACATATCTGTTTATGATATCTATTATGTGAAGATAGAACGATATTGATACAATCACGGCAATCTTACTTTATTAAATTTGCATTTTGCTCATGTAACTCCATATTTATCCTGCTCACGTCGATTAACTTTGATTCTCTCGCTTCTAAAATCTCTGTCATCTCCTGCACGCGTTTCAATAGCTTTTCAATCTCCATATTCGTTTCGTCCGAACCTATGCTGATTTCGCTTAATTCTCGAGAATGGCCTCGGGTCTTTAAAGTTTTCGTTAGCAAATCACCGCCTTTGCTCAACTGTAATTTCGCCGGACTCTGTCGCGATTGGGTTGAACTCGAATCACCGTTAGGACTGTTGACAAACAATACATTAATTATTGACATTGAACGTTAAGCAGAAACATTTTATTATACTCGTACCTAGATATTATCTCAATATCGCTCGACGTTGTAGTTTCTAATTCGTCTCCGCTCGTATGTCCACTGGCTTGATCAGACCCGATTTTTACCAGATCGGAACGGCTGTGAAAGAAGCAGACGTTTAACAGGAGAACCGTCATATAATTGAACAGTATGTGTGAATTAAATAATACCTTTCTGACGATATTGGTGAATTTTCTCGCGGTACTTCCGTGCAATGGCTTTCCATATCAATTATTTCACTTTTTTCGACCATAGCATCAGCCAGCATGGTCTTCACATAAGAACTGGTAGTCAAAGGTGTCTCGAGGACTTTGGAATCGCTCGTGCACATCAACGTCGCATTATCCTCCGAACTGCTCTCTATCAAGGTACCTTCCCTGCTTGAATCGGTAGATATTAAATATTGATCATTACTACTCTCGATCATCTTTGTTTCATCCATGCTTTCGATTTGACTATCTAGATCCGGCGGCTCTATAGTGGTACTCATTAATTGAGAAAAGGTAGAAACGTTCTCCGGTTTCTCATTTACTCCTTCCAAATGGTCCAATTTGCGAATCGGTTGTGTGGTAATTGGCTCGAGCGTCAGATGCAAATTGTGTTTTTCCTTCAGCGAGTCAAGACTCAAGTTTAACTTGCTCTCCGTGCAAACCTTTGCCGACGTTTGCCTATCGTCCGGATACGAATCGTGCATCTTTATAGGCATCTTCACGTTCATATCAGTCAGTTCCATCTTATTTTTAACCGTGTCCAATTGTTGCAACGGCTCAAGCACCGTCATGACCGTGCCCTCGGAAGCCGAAGTGTAAGAATCCTCGGCCAAGCTCTCGTCCGGTTCGTCCACGTCTGGTATTACCTCGACGCTTTCGGGGGAAGTTTTCGAGCTGTCCGCCGCGTGCGACGAACTTTTATTCGTGTCCAAGCTGGATAACGCGCTCGGTGACGGTGTACTATCAACGCTATAAGGATACGGACTGACGTTCAACGTTTTTACTTCCTCCATCGGTGATTCGTACGGAGAAATGTCGGATGACGAAGTTTCGAATTGATCTCTACTCGGTGGGTGTAACGTGCCGGTGCAGTCTATGCATGGAGTGGTGCATTCGTCTCCGCCCAGGACAGGCAATGACTCTAAATTCTTTGGCTCTATTGGAGATAGATAAGGGCTGCTGTCGCTCTTCCAGTCTCCCAGGATCTCCACGGAGCTCGGCGACGTTACGAGACTGTCCGGCAGGATCTCGACCGATTCGGAATTCACCTTGATACCGACGACGGAGGGACTTAACGAATTAGTAACGGAATTGAGATCCGACTCCGGTGTGGTGGTGCAATCGGTGTCGGATTGCGAACCAAGTATCTCCAAGCTCTCCAGACTCTTCTTATCGCTCTCGGAGGAAACATTAGGTACTTTATGGAACACATTAGTGGGACTCGATGTACGATTGATATCATTGCTTTCCGATGCTGCCTCGTTGTCACATTGTCCTTCTTCCTTTTCATCGGTGCTCGTCGTGGAATCACTGTCGGTATTATCCGCCGTTGGTGCATAGTATATTTGTTCCAAGTCTAAACTGGCACTTTTAGTTACAGTCTTATCGGTACTGATAGAAACAACATTGTCCAAAGACGACTGTTCTGACAATACACAAGATTCTGACGCAGTTTTATCATTAGATTCTTTAGACAAGCTAAGATTCGTATTTACAGACTCACTGATAGCACTAGACTCCCTCTCATCTTCCTTATGTACAGATTCACTCTTTGCTATCGCGGATTTTGCGTCCTTCGTCGCCAATTTTTCGGGAGCGGAAGTAGAAGACACCATGCTGCGTTGCTGCTCATCCTGACTGGTGGCACTTTGCAAAGACTTGGAATGCTTGACAGTTTTCCATCCATTCCCGTCTACGATCTTTGGCGGCTCAAAAAACGAGCCTGTAAAGCTACCCCAAATACTGCTCGTGTTTTGCTGCTGTTTCTGCGGATTGCCGTCGCGTTTGTTGGCCTCCTGTTCATTCTGCAGCCCCCAGCTCGCGAAAAAATCCGAAGTCTCATCCGTACGCGGCTGAATCTTCGGTTCCTCCTCCTTGATGTCCAAGGCCTTGTCTATGGTCTTCTGCGCTCCCTTCAGAGCGGACTTTGCCAGATTGGCAAATCCCGTGGCATCAAACCAGCTCATGTTTTACGCCTAAGACAAGAGAAACAGTGTAAATTACTTCATACAGGGCTTCACTTTGCTGGATATGGATAAATGCAATGTCGGGAAGGATCGACATTCAGGATGCTCTGCATGACAAGTAAATGACAGTCTCCTTGCGAGACGTATACAGCAAAGTTGAGTATTAAATAAAGTCGCGCGTACTCCTTGAGTCGATATAAATCCTCGGACAGGAAATTGACGTCGCAACTCGCGATTATTTAGACTGTTGACTCTGAAAAACGTGCGTCGCTACCGCGCCGTTACGTGGCACTTCTTCCTTCCATTCTCCCTCGCGTTACCGCGATTGACGTACATGACATCCTCCGAGGCGACGATCGTGACGGCGCGGCGGTTTCGGGATCGGCGACGGATCCTCCTTTTCTCACTGTTGATCGACCTGCGTGTCGACTGTCAAAATGCATTTAGCAGCCGACATGTTCGTGTCGTGTCGTCGCGGGTCGCGGCCAGTGCTGTCAACCTCCGTTCCTCGCGGCCTCCGCCAGCACCGCGTTTCTCCCCATGCACGTTCCCTTCCTCGTCCTCGATCACCTCCTCCGCCGATCACGTTTCCTCGATCGAGAACGAGAACGTGAAATGCAATGCGTGCGATCGATCGTACAAACACACGCACAACCTAAACTTCACGACGCGAAAACATCGGAATTTAGAGAGTAATCAGACTTGTTTCAACTGCGCTCTCTGCACTTTTTTCACCTTCCTTCTCGCTCTCTCTTTTTCCGTCCTAACCTGCATCCGTTTTATTTTTAACTCGTCATACAACTTTATTTGCAGATCGAAGGCACGTGACTGATAAAAAAAAGTGTCTTCTTTTATTTCGCTCTTTAAATACATCTCGTTTACAAATTTTGCGCTTTTGTTCTCTTTAAAACCCGAGATGTGCACACGTTTTATTTCGAACTAGAAAAGTACAGCTGCAGATACAGGATACGGACGAAAATCGAGCAAAAAATGCTAGCCATGAATTGTTAAAAAAAAAAGGAATATAGACGCCACTAATTAGCTTATCAATTGAATAGGAAGAATGAATCGTGTGACAAAATAAAACGAATACTTGCAATATGCGCGAATAGGTATGAGTACGTCGAATACATTTGACAATTATTTCGATAATAGAGCAGAAAGTTCGTTTCCACTTGAGCTCGATTTTTGCAAAAATTGTCGAAATTATATTTGAATTTATTTGCGATGCGCAGATTGACGATACGTGAAATAAAAGCGAGGGGCTTCCGGCGTTATCGCTACCACCGCTGAAGAGCCCCGTTTACCGGGTTCATTTGCAAGTGCTCCAGTGGCGCAATTGGTTAGCGCACGGTACTTATAAAGCAGTTCACGTGAGCAATGCCGGGGTTGTGAGTTCGAGCCTCACCTGGAGCATTATTTTTTTTTTCCTTTGTCCGTCGACATATATGCTAATCAATCTGATTGTTTTGTAATTTCTCGCGTTTAACATTACTTCTATGCAGTCAATTAAATTAATTATTAAATGTGACCGACGCTATACATTTTACGTTAATTTCGGCACGTAATAAGGATAACATTACAATGTAATTAATTATACTATATAATACTCAATGCTCTATTTTAATATTAAAAATTAATGTGATATATTAATTATATTAACATGTACATTTTCAGTAAAAATTTGTTTAAAAATTATATCGTCAAAAAAATCCATCGTTAAAAAATTTCCAATAACTTTGCGACATATAAAAAAAATATAGTCACATAGTGTAATAAATATGTATATTTTTTTAAATGTAATAAATTTTTTAAATATAATATAATTGTATTTAAAAATATATAACATATAATAAAAAATATATGTAGATGTAGCATATATAACATATATCTTATTGATCTTAAAATATATACATATAAATGGTGTATGCATACATATTCCATATATTATTATCGATGTAAAATATAGCACCATAAAGCACGCTTGTTTTTTCTTGGAAAAAAAATACAGCGGCGCATAAAGAGTTAACATGCATATGCATACATAATATCAGTGATGTCGGACTGGAAATCTGAAAATGGACATCGTGCGACTGTATGCGAGTCACAGAGAAGCCTCCTGACCCAAATTGATCGAGATATAATGGACAGCGTGAGAGGGACGACGACAGATCTCGCCGTTATCGTTATTAATGGCAGTCGCGTTAAAATCGAGGATACACGAACGATGTTTTATGCTAAGTACTTGATCGTCAACCAAATCACGAAATGCGGTACCTATTAAAATCGCGCGGTGGTCGGTGTTCACCGATGTTTGTCCGCCGGGCGGAACAATGACTACCCAGGATCCGGTTTCGTGAAGGCGTGCGTTTTAAAAGCGCTTTAAAAGCCCACCCGCGACTTCGCCGATTGTCAGTCACACCTCCGCTACTCAATATGTCTCAACCGTGTTATGATCCGCAATACAAAATGTGGTCGACCCACGTAACGATCTCGAAAATTTACGCTTAATTCAAACGTTACGTTAAATAATTTATTTAACTAATTGGCGATCATTTTTGCAGATATATCGGTGGCTGCTCCTCGTCGGCGCGATATCCTCGGGAAACCTCGCGGGCGGATTCGAGCCTCAGGATGAGGCGGTCTTCGTGAATTTCCATCGCCGATACAACGTCTCGAGGGTGGCGATACTCCACGACAACGGTTATTTACCACCAGCTTCGATTCCGGATTTCTCCCTGCCGGAAGTGATCGATAACAGAGCGCGGAACGTGCCGGTTGCGGTGACGGATGAGACCAGAAACTATCCGAACGCGCTGTATCATCTGCCCGGACGGGATGCCTTGCGAGTCCTCACGCGCAAGGGCCCGCACGACAGGTATCCGGGGAGCGACGGGTCGCAAATACCTCAGCATCATCGTCGACCCACTTTCCCGCAAGGCAAACACCCTCAACAGACTACAACGCAGCCTCCTCCTTCTCCTCCTCCTTTCAGTGAAACACCACCATTGTCCTTAGCGAACAGCGTCAGTATTGAGGAGATGTCCTGTCAGAACACGGGAGACGAATTGTTCTTCAGGTAATGAAATTCGCTTCAAACTCTCGATCTTTTACCGCAGCTACGCTAGTCTTTCCCAAACTTTTCAAATCTAAAATGATAAACATTCTCACACTTTGCAATAAGACAAAAGAAAGGAGATTGATATACTTAGCATATCTAAACAATTCTATCGATCATTTAATTTTAATAAGATCATGTTATTTATTCAAACTTGACAATCTATAGTATGTCTATATACGTATAATACGAATAATTTTATATTATGTGTCACACAATCCATAATCATAGAGCATCCATCAAAGCGCCGAGAAACTCAGCCCCACCGGTGATAGACAACGCGACGGGCGATGTTTGTCGAGCGATAGCGGTCAGGGACTCTTATCGCATTAATTTTGAAAGGGACCAGGTCTGGGATTGCGGGGTCGTCGATTGTTCCGCGGACGGCAACCAATCGTACTGCCTCGACCTGAGATTCCCCGTGATCCCCGGTCTACGAGTGAGGGAGGACCACAGGGTGACGTTGCGGTGTAAGACCCAGCAGAGGATCGCGTATCACACGAGGCAGATCAGCGTGAAAACTTTGGAAGCGTAAGACGTGTCATTTGTCTCCCGGCAAAGGTAGCAAAAAATAAGCATCTGGCGGCAGACGCCGGGCTATTCAGATATTATGCTCCCTTCAGGAAAGCGAGGAACGTACCGGGCGTGCTGAACGGCGGCGCCGAGAATGCCCTGAATGTGGACGTGGGGCTCTTCAGGAAGACTTACGGCTCGAGAAACATTTTCGACGCGAGGATAAAATCCGGCGGCACGGTCGTTCTCGGCGAGGAGATTCTGCTGCGCGTGTTAGTCAACGGCGACGACAGTAAGCGCATTAGCGCCGAGTAGTACCGTGCACTTTTATTCCTTTAGTAAGACGAATGGTGTGTCTGAAACTCTGACAGCGCGACTTCATGTAACATATGATCTCTGATAATTTCACCCTAAGAGAAGAAAAAAAGATATTTATAAGAAGTCAATTATATAATTCTATTAAATTAATAATATAAAATTAATCCCAAGTGGAAAATTGAGATTGCAAAATTAGATCGTTAACTATATAATTATTTATAATTATATTAATCACGTAATCAATTAAATATGAGAATAGACCTGTATTGCGAAAATTGTCTCAATTATACGCGATCTCAATTATCTTAATTTTCATTTATCCCTTCGTATGTTTAAAGGCTGGCGACACTCGAAGATCGGCCAAGTGACGGTGCACTACGTGGAGGAGCGACAGCGGCAGAAAATCGTTAACAGTCTGTGGATCCTCGACACAGACGGCTGCTTGAATCCGGACGTGCACGAGATTTGTCCTCGGGAGCAATACGCTTTGTCACCGTTGGAGAATTACCTGATTTTCCAGGCGTTCATGTTCGAAGGCATGAAAGAGACCGACGAGATTTTCCTCACCGTGAAGACTACGGCATGTCTGGAATCTGTGGATTGTGTTCTGGATTGTCCCGGCAGTCATGTCAGACGTGCCAGAAGTGTTTCAGATCGAAACAATACCGTCGAGTGGCAGGATGACATAGTCCTTCGAGTGATTCTTCCAAAATACGAGTCACGCGCCTCGCAGAATTATTATTTAGCGATTATGATACCGGCGATCGCGTTACTCGCGCTAATCGCGTCGCTGTGGATCGTCAGAACCTCGCTTCGCCAGAGGCTAGCGAAATCCCGAATAATCTTAAACGCTTAATTTATTTATGCCCCTATGATTGTATATAAGAATCTCAAATTGTATATAGTTGTGTATCGAATAAACAAGTTATTATATATCATGTGGTTATATGAGAGACTTGGGTGAAGATTACGTGTCGACTGATATCGATATCTTGAACTTATGAAACGCGACTCGGCATCTCCCACGCATCCAGTTCGGAGCACAGCTTCAGTCCGACTGCGAACAATGCGAGAGACGCGAATATGCTCTTCACGAACGGATCCCTGCTCAAAGTATAAACCATGCAAGCCAGAGAGCACGTGCATACGTCCTCGAAGTAGCTGAAGCCTTTCGTCAGATAATAATGATCTATGACCCTCTGCCGTGCCTTCAATTTGCGCATAATGCGTTCTGCAATAGGAACGAATCTCGATTTGTGGAATGCAAACTGATATACATATATACGGTTACGGTGTAGACATAGGTAGAGAGAAGGAAAGATCAATACAATACGGGAAATGACAGCATTGAGTATTCCTTGAAAATAAGCCAACTGCTTGCCTTTCTGCTCCTTTACTACAGGGCATGTTTCCTCGCAAGCATCCTCTGCAGGCTCACGCGAGATGATCTGCTCTGTTATTGTCGAGTTCTCGAGAGCTCGTCTTGCAGATACCTCTTCTTCAGCCGGTCGTTCTTCAGGCATTGCGGTAACCGCTTCTCGCTCCTCCGCTGGTCTGACAGGTCTTTCGCGATCGATTCTCTCGTACAAGGTGGCCGCATTCCTGGAAATTTCACGACGCACCGCCTTTGGCTCCTCCGGAATTTCCCTCGCTATTACGGCGGGCAGAGACTCCTGCAATTCCTCGTCGATAAATTTCTCGTAGTCAGTGATGCTCTCCTCCTCCTCGCCATATTCCATGCGCTCCTCTGGCTCGACTAAAATTATCGTTCAAAATTACATCAGACGAAATTCTCTGTAAATTATATCTGCCAATAATTATTCTTAATTACAATCCTCTTCCAGTTCCCGCGACGGTTCCAATTCAATCTTTGTTGTTGGCGCCAGCTTAATTTCGTCTTCGATAATCTCAGGTTCCTCAATCGCAATCGGAACTTCCTGCACGGGTTCCGCTGCAATTTTTTCAAGAACCGAGTCCTCCTCTTCAACGAAATCGACTTTCTCATCATTGCGATCTGCTATCTTTTCTGCCGGAATGACAATTTCTTTCTCGACAGGTTCTTCGTCTAATTTTTCTTCTGTAATTAATTCGATTTTCTCTTCATCCCGATCTACTACCTTTGCTGTCGGAGTGACAGCTTCTTCCGGGATAATTGTGGGTTCTTGGACTAAATCCTCTTCAACAAAATCTATTTTCTTTTCATTGCGATCTACTACCTTTTCTGTTGGAGTGACAGCTTCTTCCGGGATAATTGTAGGTTCTTGGACTAAATCCTCTTCAACAAAATCTATTTTCTTTTCATTGCGATCTACTACCTTTTCTGTTGGAGTGACAATTTCTTCCGGGATGATTGCGGGTTCTTCGACTAACTCCTTTTCTTCAACAAAATCGATTTTCTTTTCATCACGATCTATTATCTTTTCTTCCTGGACGATTATAAGTTCTTGGATTAATTTCTCTTTTTCAATTAAATCAATTTTCTCTTCAATGTCATCAGCTATCTTTTCTGTTGGAACGACAGCTGGTTCTTGAATGATTGGAAACTCCTGGGGAACTATGGGTTCTGTTTCGATGTCTTTTACTTCAGGTCGCACATCATGATTGACGGGTACTTTATCAACATATGTTTCCTCGATTACCCGTTCCGGTTCATCTTGTATGTCTCTCGAAATAACACCCGATGGAAATCGCGGTTCTGCATCGTTCTTCTTCCGCGGGAAAATCCCGTCCGTCACATTAGGCCATTCCTTGACTGTTTTAATTTGCGAAGATTGAAACATTCATAAATGTTTGCAAATAATTAATTTAAATAACATTAAAATCTATTCAAAGGCATTTTATAAAGTGACATACTTGCGGCGCGGAGCTGTTCTCTGACTTTGGGACAAGTTATAGGACATGGGTTTTTTACAGGACATTTAGAATTACAGGACATTTAGAATCTATGGCTACGGTCAATGTGACGCTACAAATGCTTCGAAGCATTCCTCTTCTCTTTTCTTTCAATGAAGAAAGAAAGAGAAGAAGAACGCTCCAAAGCATTTGTAGCGTCACGTTGACCGTAGCCTATATATATATATAACACTTCGTGCTTCTGTAGATTACATATTTATATATGAGACATATTCATTATTTCACGATTTCGCAAAAATTAGCGAAATGTGATCTAAAGTTTTATTACTTATACTTTAACATTATCAATATCTATTTTTTGTTGAGGTTGACAAGCAAATTTCATGTATATATGTTTTAAAGCTCGCGATATAACTTGCGCCGATTCGTATCTGTATTCGCTTTGTAAATTCATAGAACTCTTGACATGCAAACAGAACGATGAATTCGTCTGAAAGCGTCCCGGATTACTTAGATAAAAATATATTCCCGACTTTATTAAATGCGATGAAGGAAATGTTATTCGAAGCTGATCGTCGAAATGCGTTAGAAGTATAATGTTACACCAGACACCGCATGTTTTCAAAGTCAATAAATACAAAAAATATCTTGGGAAAAAAATTACTATGCCTTATAGACACATAAGTGCTCCTTCAATGGATTGGATTATCTCGCGGAGATCCTTTGGAACCGAAACTCGCGGCATCCGAGCAGATTGTGCACCTGGCGGGACGTGTTTAATATACCACAGTTTAGGCTATGGCTAAAGTCGCAGTAAGAAGAAAACATATCCCAGTTCCTCTCAGAAATCATTTTATCACATTCTCTTCTAGTCCCAGGCCAATTTATCCGAAATCGTGGCTGTGGACCAAAGAGGAGGCCGCCTCACGCATACAGAGACACGTTCGCGGGTGGCTCGTTAGAAAAAGGACGGACGTTCAGGAGATGCGTCAGTTTTGGAAGGTATATTGGTATAATCAAGGAATTAAAATACGAATAACGGTCTCTCTCGTATAAATTGTAGGTCATCCGCGCGGAGAAAGCGGATGTTTACGCTCCTGAACTTGATCGCGCGTCCAACGGAGTGGAGCTTTGAAAGTCGGACTGTTTTCTTTTTACGTTTCTAAAGTAATTTATTGCATCACTCCTCGCGGGAATAATTTATAAAGTGTTTATTCTTAACAACTACATACGAACATTAAATATGTAAAACCTCACGAGGCTGCTGTCTTCTCTGGCTTTGGGAAAAGAACGCTAGACTCGTCCACCCTAAAGTTCAGTTCCACCGTCGGGGTTTCACCCTCCTCGACTAGTCTGTAATTCTTAACGCTCCTTCCGTAAAAGTTATATCGTAGGTTTAATTTCGGCTCCGCGGGTGCCACGACGCCTTTCGCCTTCATCTGGCGTATTACCAGCTGCGAGAACAGCGGCGGAAGGTCTGTCATCTTAGGAAGGATTCTCATCTCCGGCACCTTTGTGTTATTGAGGTAGAGGTGCTCCTGATCTTTAGGTATCAGCATGTAGTCCGCCTTGTAAGTCGCGCTGTCCAACTGCACCGGCTTCGGGTTCTTCTGGCCGCGGAAGACTCTCTCGACCAGCACCATGACCTTGCGATCCGTCTAAAACAATGCAACTGCGTTAGAGAGAGAGCGATACTAACGGAATTTAGACACGCACATCGTCTCCAGTACTCACGTAGGGTTCCTCAGGCATGGGCATCCCGGCGACCTTCAGTATCTTCATGTAACAGGGCTCGGGATACCTCTGAAAGCGATTCCTTATCACGAGTCTGCCGACGCCGAAGTTCTTCAGGTTTCCCAGGATCTCCCACAAGGGCTTTCCCTTGAAATCCGTCGTACGACCGATTAACTTTATAGGCATCGTGCGTGGCTGACCGGCGAACGATCGTCGACCTGGATCACCACCTCGGGACTCCCCGCGGATTTCCTCGTCCACCGAATGATTCTGCGCACCGGATCACCGCTCAACTCCTCGTTAACGTCGTCCTCAATTATTCCTGAGACGCGACATCGAGATCAACGTCTATCTTACAAAAACCACGTATATATCGAACGACAACAGACAAGCGAGACAAGTGTTTTGAAAATCACACGAGAGGTTATAGACAGATCCGTTACTTTTTTATTTCGGTGAGAGATGGCGGCACTCATATCGTAATCGTCTTCGGACGTTCGGACGTTCTCGGACGCGGTCGGCATGCCTCGGTTTCGGAGCTCGGAGCGACGTTCTCGCGGTTCTCGCCGATTCAAATATGCGACGATGTCGCGAACGATGCACGCGATTCCGGTCGCGAGAGGTAAGTTGAATGATTTTCCGAGCGATAAAGATGTCCTGAACGGTATCAGAGACATCCGAGAGGCGATATGATCCCTCGGGTGTCCCGTAAAGGCACATGTATATAGTATATCGTCGCGATGTCCACTTATGGTCGAAAATTTCAAGAATCCGCTTGGAAGCGTACGATCCTTCGAGACGCCAGCCCTTGCAAAATGGCCGAAGTTCGCGTTGGCGTATTTTCTCGCGCAGAATCTTTCTCGCGGGATGTAGAGCGCCTTTGAGAAAACGTCGAGACGTTGCTTGTCGCGTTTAACGCGCTTTTGTCGCTCCCCGTTTTTCTTTTGCCCATGGCAGTATTTAAACATTTCATTTTTGCGACAAATTCGATTGCAGGTCGCGCGCGCGCACGAGAGAGAGAGAGAGAGAGAGAGAGAGTTCTCGGTCGATCGCAATTACGCGGGATGCGTCGACGGAGCAGAGAAGCAGTCGTGGAACACACAGAGGTATACGTGTAAGTTATTTATTAAATCGATAAATATAATATATAAGCTGTTGCAAAGAAAATGCATTACTCGACGATCCGAACGCTCGAATCACACTTCGCGAATTGCGTATTGCCGTATATTAAATTGTCAGCCTCGGTGCGCAAATAGCGCCGAGATCGCACGATCTAGAGACATATAATATGTACAATAAGTTAGGCATTTTTAAATTAAAAAATAAAAAAAAGGAAAACCTAGACAAGACACGAATGATCAAACGAATATCTCTCTGCCTCACTTAACAGAATATATCGTATACAAATAAAAATTAACCATTTTAGTGTATAAATATAATACACATAAATATATGCCTCTTTCTATATCTACGAAATTAAATATCGCGAGCCGTCGTTATCAATTTTTTTTCGTTTAAACAACGGTTGATTTCGAAAAACGAGACCTTGCCAAGTCCTTTTTTTCGTATTAAGATTTGGAACTGAATTTTTCTCTTTTAGTAATCCACAATCTGACGGATCCAGTCGAGGTAGTGAGAGACGCGAGCGTAGACGCCGGGCACGTTCGGCTGACCGCACCCGATGCCCCAGGAGACGATGCCGGTCAACTGCCAGTGGCCGTGACGCTCGCAGACCATCGGGCCGCCGCCGTCACCCTTGCAGGCGTCCTTGCCCTCCTCGCCGCCGGCGCAGATGAAGCCCGGATGGAGATTGAAGGTAGGTCCCAGCCGCGTCCGCCTCATCTGCTGCTCGCAAACGTAGTTGCTGACGACAGGTACGTCCACTTCCTTTAGGATGTTCTGATACTTGCCGTAATCGCCGAAGGCGTCCTTGCCCCATCCGGTGGTCCAGCATCTGCCATACATTACGATTCATCAGATTTCGATTAAAGCCGCGTTTACGAGCGAGAGTCCGAAAGAGTTTTCGGTTACAATTATTTGACTTTTAATAATAGGAATTTTTTAAACATTTATTGGAATCATGTAACTTATGTATATCAATTTTCCTTGAAATATTATCTGCTGCTCTTCTCCGTGAATTCACGGAAAATAAGAGATAATTGATTTAATGGATTGCCACGTTTGGTGATAGAGTCGTCTAGGTTTATATAAAATTTAAAAATCTTTGAGATATTATTATATTTAAAAAAACGTTATAATGCTCTATAACGTTTATTAATAATTATAATCCTAAAGATATAAGATCGAAAAACATTTTAGAAATTTCCACGAAAATTTTCCGTCACTGCAACTGTATTGAAATCAATTGTGTCTCTAACAAATCTAGAGAGTTATAAGACTCAGACTCAAAATATACTAACTTTGAATTTAGAAGCAATTCTCGTAATATTAAAAAATTGTTTAAATAATTGTCTTCGCGACGGTCCGTCGCGTTTTGTAAATGGAAAACGCACCTTGTTCCGGTGAAGTCATCGTGTTTATCCGGCAAACAGGCGGCGCTGATGTGAGGGTTCTTTTCGAAATCGACGTCGTGATCCAGCTTCAGAATGGCAATGTCGTTGGCAAGAGTGCCGGCATAGAACTCGGGGTGCACGAAGACGCTCACAATGTCGCGCTCGATGTAGGGATAGAACTCGACGTCGTGATTCACGTCCCATTCGCCTAATCGTGCGCGAAGATCACGACCGGCATGGGTCTTGACGCAATGAGCGGCGGTGATGATGTGTCGGGGCGAGATCAAGGTACCTCCGCAAACGTAGACGCTTTCCGTGGTGTCCTTCTTCAGAATAGCCACTTGCCACGGGTATTCACCTGAATTAGGAAAGATTTCATAGAATAATAATATGATTTAACATTTATATATAATAAAATATTAAAAATTTGATATTCATTGTTACGTATGTGTGAAAAAGATCTCAAATAATATCAAACTGCAATAAAATTACAATATATGAAATTACGCATTAAGTATTTAAAACATATGAAAAATTAATGTTTTAAATTTAATATTATAGTAATGTTAAATTCACGATAACAACGACTGGTCTACATTCAGAAATGTTTCATTGAACGTTAATTCCCCTTTTCATTAAATGTTTTCATTAAACATACATCAACTCTATAAAATTGCGATCAGATAAACGTTTGCTATTCTTGAAATTATAACAAAAGAGAAAGATATCTTCTTTGTGTCTTTCGACGCGGGTATTTTTCTCTAAAATATCTCTAATTCAAACTATTGACAGTTGGCTCCTTTTCTACAAATGCTATCCATTCAGTAAATTACATTAGAAGTCGCGTACCGAATTCAGAGTCACCGTCGACGTAGACCGGGGTCTTGATACGGCCATTGATGCCCTGCGTGTTCCTAACTCCGCATTGACCGGGTCGCGGGCGTGCCCCTATTATGTGCGATTTCTGGCAGCAGACGTGATGAGCACCGCAAGCTGGCGGACGTCCGTATCGTCTCTGCGGATAAAAAGAGATTGGTCAGTTAATCTCGTCACGACGCACCCGCGACAAGTTCTCTACTTATCGTGTTCTCGACTTCTATCTGTGCTATACACCGCCGCTCAGTTTGACAGTCCCGCGTTTCGTAAGTTCGCGGAGTCGGTATCGCCGTGATCGTCGTCCTGAGTCATCCGCCGACGGCCTCAGCCGCTTTACAGCGGCTCTACAACCTCGTTATTACAACGGTTAAGTCTGTTCAGCGGAACGAGCAGACCAACCGACCGTGTCCTTACCTCCGACGCCGTTTCGCTAAGCGTCTTCGTGTCGCGTCTCCTTCTGTCCGAGAAGGTAATCTTCCCGCTCCCCTGTCGCTCGTCGCCGGCCAGTCCTTGCGGCGAAGCCTGCGGTAAATCCTTCGACGAGAACTGTCTACCTTTCGTCGTCGACGCGTTTCCCGCGCGAACGTTTCTATAGTAATCATCCCGATAATCATCCGAATAATCGTAGTCATCGTAATCGTCGTTATCGTCCTTGTAGTAGGTGGGATAGTATCCGCCGTGAGGCTTATGGTAGATCGGTTCGTGATGGTGAACATCGTGCGACGGATAAAACGGCGGTCTCGACGGGTAATGATAGATCGGTCTCTCGTGATGCGTGTGATAATGAGGAGCGTAAGTGCCGTAATTTCCGCCGTGATGACCGCCATAATGACCGCCGTAATGACCGCCGTACAGTCCGTATTTCTTGTAAGCCAGGAGGTGGCCTAGTTTGTGAATAAGTCCTGGATTGGGCGTCACGTGAAGGTTCACGTAAGGTTTGACAATCTTCTCGCCGTACTCGTCTTTGGTGACCTGCACCGCTACGAGCGGATTCACGGCGACCGGGCCGAGATTTATGCCCTGTCCGCCGACTAGCCCGTAGCCCGGCGTGTACCCCGGGGTCCCCAGGGGATTACCAGGGTGGGGCGCGATCGGACCGACACCACCGGTCTGCGGTAGGCCGAAACTGACGCCCCAAGTCGGCCTCACGTTCAGTTTCGAGGTGTCCAGATTGCCGGTTCCTACCGTCAGTCTCTGCAACGAGAGAGTCGAACAAATTCACGTGGAGAACCGAGGTCTGTCTCTCTCTCTTTTTCATCCCGATTACTTTTTTTCCGGGAGGATTAGCACGTTGATTATAGTCGAGACTTTCCGTCGCTTTTCCGTCGTATTCGCTCGCGCTTTATTAGAGGCGTTCGTTCGACCCAGATCGCACGAGTCCCGATGTCCTCCGCTACGACGGCTTCTAATCTATCGTTTTCTAGTACGGACGTTTAATTGCGTGGTTGCGTGGTCTAGGACGAACCGACTGAATGAACGTGTCAAACTGAGCGATACGTTAAAACAATAGCGTTACATATATGTGCTGCAAGTGGCATGCATTTTCTGGCATTGCACGTCCAATAACTTAATTGAATATACGAGTTGAGCTTTCGATGCGTCGAATAATGTAAATTGATTGATTGATTTTCAATCTAAATTTTAATTTCTTAATTCTAAATTCTAAATATCAAAGTTTGGTAATTTATACATCGATTGTCGCATCGTCCGCTCGAAACTCGCAAGAAAAGCGAGAGAAACAGCCCGTGTCAACTTACTTCTTGTATCTCCTGCTTGTCGTCCTTCTTGGTAACGTGCTTGACATCCCTGCGGTTTCGCTTCGTAACTTCCGCTTTCCCAGCCTCTTCTTCCTCCGTTCGTTCGTTTTTCGTCTGCTCGATCTGCTCGGTCTCGTTCACTCCCTTGGGCACCCTCACGACGTTCATTGTGCCGTTTCCGTCGGTGATCACCACCTCGACAGTTTCAGCCTCGATGTCCTTGTCGAGATTGCGCGGATCGATAGCCAAGTAGAGATCGTCCTTGCGGCCCACGTGATTGATCGTCGCGCATTGATCGTACGGCACGCATACGCAATCCTCGTAAGACGTGGAACCGAAACTACTGTCAGCGCCGTTATTGAACGGATAATCGCCGTCGTAACCACCGTTCCCGAGGAATTGATTATTGCCGCCGAGTTGTCCACCGGAAGCGAACTGTTTGCCGTTCGGCTTCTCGTAAGTGGGATAACGATTGGCATAGCCTTTCGAGGAAGAAATCGACGGGCCGCCGTTGCTCGCGGGCGCTTTGATCTTGAACGCTTTTTTGTAATCCTCGAAATCGTTGATCGTGGCGCCGTAAGTACCGCCGTTTCCGTAACCATAACTGCCGAGACCACCGAACGTGGGAGATGACCCGACTACGGGATTGGGCGCGATGCCGGCACCCTCTCCGTGATGGTAATGATGATGAACGTGTTGTTGAACGCCCGAGGCACTCGGTTGATGCAAAACCACCTGTTTCTTGTCGATAAACTTGTCCTCGAAATCGGGTTCGATGACGCCTGGGTCGTATACGGGTTTGGATACGAACGGAGGAGGAAGGCCGGGTTTCTTGTAGCCGGGATAGGGCCCGACGAAGCTAGGCGGAGGTCTACCGAACGTCGGTCCGAGTCCAGGATAAATGTTGGGCCCCAACGGGGAACCTCCGAAACTCGGAGGTAATGGCACGGGTTTCGCTGGACCGTAGGGCCGCTTTACAGGTATGGCCGGAAGTGGACGGCCTACCGGCTTGATGGTCACCGGTTGAGCGTAGATAACGTCGAGCGGATGAATGTCGCGGTGAGGAGAATAGTAAGGACGTCGTCCTTCCATGTCTTCGCACTGTATAAGATAATTAATGCATCGTCTTTATAAACGTGAGTCTCGTTATTATTTAATATGTGAAACATAGGTTTTGAGCTTTCGAAAATTTACAAATATGATATTTGTAAATTGAATGAAGAAGGAAAGAAATTTGGAACATTAATTATACTCATATTTTAATATTATATTTTTAATATTAAATAATTTTGAAACTTCTAAAGCAGAAAAGAAATTGAATTAAAGAATGCTAATTATATCCCTACTGATTGAGAAAATTAATTGGCCTATAAAACTATACTCACGTTCATCAAACCGAGGGAGCAGAGTTTGTCCCTGATGTAAGTACGTGCGATCGTATCATTACCAAGCTGCAAAGCATTTTGTACGTTAGGATCGGAATAGACTTCATCGTACCCCTCGAGATTGCGACCTTGCCGATTAGACACGAGAATATTGTCGATCACAGAATCAATCTATAATTGAATATACAAACATATTCATAAATCTCTATAAATTGTTATATTTTCTTTAAAGTTCTCGTTTTTTAACTCAATGTATATATAAGATATTACTTTATCAAAATTTATATATTTCTGATTTTAATTATATTTATAATGTTTAAATATTTTGTGATGACGATAAAATCCGTACCGGTTGCTTGCCAACGACGTCGGCCACTCCGCTGGCGCCCGATTGAATATTCGCATTATAAAACGATTGTTGCGACTCTTTTTGTTGCGATGCAGAGGCATCGAACGTGACGGGACGATACTTGTCTTCTTCTCCGTTCGACGCTTGGATCGAGTCTTGGGTTTTCCACGGCTGCCATTGTTGTTCCGAAGAGTCACTCGGCGTCTCGTACACTTGAGTACCAAATATTTGCCTCGCTATTGCCAAGCAAGCTATCAGGATGAATTGCGTCTTCATCCTGTAACAGAAAACAAAAGGCTTAGTTTTATGTCTATCTTCTTGACCAAGAAATAACCTTGTTTTTTTTTATTACACTTTACTTTTAATGATTTTATTATAATTCATCATTTTGAACAAATTGCTATTTAATATATTATTAGAATTTATTTTTTGATACACGATCATATATCATTATCTGTTATGTACGTATTTCAATTTAATGTAATGTAATTATTTTATTTCGTTACTTTTCTTTCTACTCTGTTTTCACTTTATTATTTTAATTTAATCTTTGACGCAAAGCGCCTGATGATTTTCTTTTCAATCGATCTCTCGCAAGTATCTCTCGACAATTTCTCCGTGAGTACCGAGCGTAGATCCACGTGAAAGTGCATCTCGCCTTTCTCCGTTCGTTTCATTGTTCGCGACGACTGCGGAACACAGCTACTTCAAACCGAAATCGGGTCAAAATCGTGGATACGTATTTGACCTCAGTGTCAGTATAATTATACATTCAATTCTACTCTAAAGTCTCTCGGTATCTTTTGATTGCTCGAGAAAGCAAAAAGTCTTTATTGCTTACCGGAGTAACATTCTTACTCATCCAAGTGTAGATACCGGTTTCCGGTAACGGTACCGGGGACTAAGGTTGTCTTGCACGAAGACGCATACAGGCGTGTAATTAAACTGAGAAGGGACCAACGAAAGCGAGAGGAAGTTGGGTGAAAGTCGTTTGGCCGGTTCATATAACGTGACGTCTCTTGCCGAGTACATCTTCTCGTATTATTTTACTTTACACTTTCCGAAATCACTTTGTCAACAGGGGGAAAGCAATTGCGTAACGAATGCGGTATGACGTCCACTCTCGGGCGGGATGATTTAAATTTCAAATTGGGTGAAGTGTTTTCATATACGATCTAACGTTTGCGATGGAGCATTTTTTAAAGCGATTATTAATATGCGAGCTTCAGACTAGAGTTGCTACATTTGGCAAAAGTCTACATAACACGTCACGGCGCGTATTTCATTTTACCGCCTACGACAGTGAAAGTGGTTACGTGTCGCGAACGTGCAAATAATTTCAATATTTTACTTTCCACTTGCCTTGACATCTCATTATACCGCGAATTCGTATTGGCACTTTATGACATTCATGTATCGTGGCTTCCTTTATGATGTCCAAGTTACGAGTAACGCGACCGGCTTTATATATTCCCTTTAACCATCCTCCAATGACTCGCGCTTCTCACGATAAATCAATTATTTCGAAGTAGGCCGGCAATAGAAAAACAACTAAGTCGTCCTACATCATTCGACTCATTAAAAATTTTATGGCTATTCTAAATCCAGCATTTTTATTACTCTAAGTTAAATCGTCGAATTCGCTTCTTTTATTTCGGGGCTTTCATTTAAAAATATAAACAAAATCTACAAAGTGCAAGAAGAAGAAATACTTAAATTTTCAAGTAAAATGTCTGAAAGTTTCGTATTAGTCCTGCTTTAAAAAACCAAGTCAAATAAAAGTTGATCACCGATAGCTCCCTCTTCGTAGCAGAATGTAGGGTAACTCGTCCTTAGCATACAATAGTGGGTCAGATATGCTTGACAAATCCGCGGAATCTGAATAGGGACGATGCGGAGGCGGTATTTAAAGAGGAGAAAGTTTTTATAGATATATATTCCGTGATATATAGCGACACACGTAGGCGAACGCTTTTCACTCCTAATTTCGATAAAGTATTTTGCATTTTATGAAATATCTGTGCGCGTTTAAAAAATATATTGGAAAAATCTCAATTCTCCAATTATTAAACAAATAGCGATGAGCGTATGCAAATGTTATGTTGTCTCGGTCAATCGGTAATCGATAAAAACATTCCTTGCCACGATCGCTGCGCATCGACGAAAAATATTTTTTTTTCTGAAAAATAGAATCTCTTCTGAATTAGACAACAACTTACTCTGTAATTAAACATGAGATTCCATATCCATTTTCGCGATTTACATTTGGTTTATAATTTAAAGCACGTCATCGCTATTTCGAAAATATTTGACTATTTACTGAAAGGATCATCTGCATAATTACTTCCCCTGTTATATCCCGATTTTGCCTCTGTTAATTGATTCATTCATTCATTTTGTATAGCTAACAAAAGTTCAAATTTAGAATTCGAATTTGGCGCACACGGTGAATTCTATTATTTATTAATATCTTTTCTCTAATATTACATATAGATACTTTTGCAATTGTTAATTATATTTTCGTACAGATTTAAAATGTTTTTAAAATAAAATTACACCACTGTAGCAACAAAACAATCTCTTATATTTTTGATAAAATATAAAAAAATTGTTGATTGTTAGTCGTTTAAAAATACATACCTGACCGTTGTCTCCAGTTGCACCCGCGATAAACTGATTTTCTCGGTCCGCGACCGCGTCTTATACTCGGACTCTCGCTCTCTAACCGAACACTTTCTCCCTGCACGACGCCGCAGTCTAGTGCTTTTACCGAAGTCGTCACGAATCTTATATACAAGCCGTCCCTTTCGGGGATGCTGGGCCCGTCGCGTGAACCGGTGGGGTAGATCCGTGAGTCATTCGACGACAGGCGGACATCCGTCTTCGTGACGCTTCTTCTGGCAGACCGTAAAAACAAAGCTAATCTGAAAAAGGTGTGTAACTCGAACAACGTACCTCGAGTGTGTCAGACTCATCTTCGTCACATGAATATGAAAAGGCGTCACATTTCTACGCCGTTTTTACGCTCTTACTACAGGACTTACTAAGTGACGTCCTGTTTTCCGTTTCACGTACATTGGGAAACGATATACTTATCGGATATACACATAGAAAATTATATACTTTACATTATACTTGCTGTTTTCTCTCGATAACATTCGGAATATTTATTTTATCGGAAACAAAGAATACAATGAACTTCAATGCGGTACAATTGAAATTTAAATACCGGCTTCGGGAGAAATTTACACTGAATAATCCATTAATCCTGCACTGTGAAAGAATAACAATGGTATATTTAATATGATTTCTGTTAAACACATATCTTAATTCAACATTTGCAGTATTTGATTAAAAATTTTCATTAATTCTTGGCAACAAGGTCTGGCGCACTAAATTATTTAGACTTATTGTTAGACAAATTAATACTTGATTGCTTCACGGCTGATTACGACGATTCATTGTATTAAAAACCTTTTAATGTTTATAATAGCAAAATATATAACAAGAATCGAGTGAGGATATTTTTAATCATTATATAGCGCGCTACCCCTTCGCGCGCTATAATTAAAAATAAAACAATTAAAAGCATTAAAGTTCCAATATTCTCTATATACGAATTTAATTTAAGTTGCTTTCTTTGAAAACAAAGAAGCGACCGCGAGTGTGAAATCCCATCAAGCACGAAGAGGTCGACTCGCATGGTCTTTCGTGAAATTAGTTTGCCACACAGTTCCTGGAGAACACCGAATGGGTTTTTCTGGTATATCTGACGTTATGCAAGAGACAGGAACATGTACAAATACTACAAATGTAGAACCGTTGTCTGCCATTTAATTTATATTTGATGAATTAATTATGCTTTACATAATTATATCCTTTACGTCATTTTGAGATTTTCGTCAATAAGATTGCGTAAAAATTACCGGGTCGTCTCGCCGAGGTTACCTCGCACGTAGATAATAAATTTATCTAGGATTCGATTAGAGGAAACTTTGATGTTGGTGTTGCAACCGTATACTCCGAAGACGATCTATAAATTCACAGTCCTTAGCCTAAATTGTTTTCACGGTGATCCGCGTCATGACGTTAATTTTAATATCGATTCCTCTAGTCGAATTCGTAGTAGTAGAATCGTGTTGTCCGCAATTGTGCAAGAAGAGTCTTCGCCCAGTCTCTCATGCCGCCATCTCCCGAAATAAAACCGTTACAACCGAGAAAATGTACCGATACGGGTACTTTCTTCTCACGGTCACGAGGTGCATCGACCTTGACTTCTTGGATCATCGGGCTCGATATAAAATAGTGATTTTCACTCTCGATCGCGATAGAAAGTGAAGAGACGTGCTTCGACGAGCGACGTCTCCGTCTAGCTGCGAGAAAACGATCATCGTATTACGCCCATCAATCAGAACGCGACTATTATAGGTAGCATTGGAAAAAGAAGCTGTTATTAGATTGCTTAAACGCAAGAGTTAGCTGTATTCCGTAAATAATTAGGCTCTCGGGTCAAGATCCGGGAGAAAGTACTCGCGGGTATATTCTAAGGGCCGTCGTGTCAATGAACCTATGAACCTTTTCCGTTTTTTTTACCATTTCGGGTCTCGCGGGAGTTTTTTCGTCCGATTGAATCCCGTAGTTCCTCACCGCGAGGAAGTTATGCGATTCCGCAATTTTGGAAGAATTTTCACGTGAAAATTTTCAATTTTCACCGTTTCGGCTGCCAGAGGGTGAATTACTCAAATTCAGACCCCGGGAACTACCGGGATCCTCAAAGCGTTCTGCTTTTTCTTTCATGTCACGTATCGGTGATCACAACGGCGATCACAAAACGCTGTCGATTTCCTTTCACAGGCCACGCACTGCGTCATTACGTAACAGGGATTTTCCGCGGCCTTTCGTAACACTGGGAATTTCGCGTGTCGCGGATCGTGCCGCGTTAATAAACCGCGCGTGAATTGTCTTGACCCAATTCCATAGATATCCTTCTACGTTTTCTGCGCCGGAATGCAAATAAGTAGATGAGATGCGGCGAATAACGCGGACAATAACTTCACGTGCGGACAATAATTTCGCGCTCGAGCGTATTAAGATTCGCTCCAAAATGCATCTATAATATTATAACGCAAAATTATATGAATTTTTTAAAGGAGAGAAGGAAGCTCTTGATAATCTATTCTGTGCGAGGGAGGAACGATAAAGAGGATCAGCTATGATTACGTAATTTCTTTGAAGTTGTCGGAGGAATAAAAGGCGGAGGCGGAGGATAAAGGTTTAGAAAATAAAACTCGTCGACTTTCACCAAGTTCTTTTTTTTTTCGTGGATGAGGTTACACGACAGATGATGATTATCGATGAGGAGACAAGCTGCGCGCTGCTACGCATATACTTCCACACGGGCTTTACTGAGGTCGACGGCTACCGGTCTGATGATTTTTGCGGTCAGTAGGTAATATGGTACCCATGTTGCTCGATCGAGTAACTCGACGGGATCTCCGCGATCGGTGCAGAATAATAAGCGTACGGTGATACCTAGTAATAACCAGAAACAAAATAAAAAAATCGTATCTCGATTTTTCAACACAATTTGATCACGGAAAACGATAAGCCTTATTGAAATATAAAAAAGAAAAGAAGAAAGTGTTTCGTAGATTCCGCAAAATCTAAGATTCTTTAAATGTAAGCTCGCAAACGCTCGATTCTTGAATTGAAGCTATCGGCGACCCGCCCCTTGTTGGGTGGATAGTTCAGCTACTTTCGGAAATCGAACGTCTTTGCGAGACGCGTGAGTCGATTCTCGAATTCCGAACGCCAAGATCTGGCACTTGGATTTTCTTACCTGCGGGAGAACAGGCGCGGCATAGGCGATACGGGAAATCGGCGCGATCACCGGGGTGGCGATCGGCGCGATCGGTGCGACCAGCGGCGTGAGCTTGGCGGTTGACGCCGGGGTCTTCAGCTCGGAGATGAGGGTGAGCGGTTTGGGTGCCGGCGCTGGCGCGGACCACGCCAGACCGACGAGAGTGGCGAGCAGGATCTGCAAGTAATCGTCGTGAAGGGAAAAGCTCGCTTCTTATTTAAATTGGAAAACTTCGGCGCGGGGGCACGTCGGCGAATATAAGTAACCGTTGAACCGCGCGAAGTAAATGAGTCTACGTGAGGCAAATATCGTCGTGGGAAGGCACTCGCCCTCGCGGTGGTGAACGAGAGCGTTCAACTTCCGAAATTGCGACAATTTGGGGACAATGGAAACCGCGATGGAGCATAATCGCGCGAAAATTACGATTGCGAATGTTTGCTACGATTTTTAATCCGTTTGAAATTAATCGCGGATGCGGCACTTTGCGTTTATGTACTTACGAATCGCAGCATGACGGCTTCGGGCAAGGATATTCTGCGCGGATGCACTCGGGTACGATACTTCGTGTAAGTGCCCGCGCCAGCCTGGTCTCCTCGTACTTATAGAAGTCTCGAGGGATACCGTAAAAAGTAGACCCGTCCGGCACTACAAAAGTTCCTAACTGCCGTACCACCGCATTCCTCCCTGGTCTCAGGGACGGGCAAAGCCTGTAGTTGCGACGACGATGCATCCTAGCATCAGAATGCACTAACGTCTACATTACATTCTACTCCTATATTAACTATAATTTATGGTTTACATTTATGACACATTTATAACACAGATGGAAAACGAGAACTAAATTAATGGGACTCAGAAATAATTAATATACCCGAGGCTAAATTTTTTTGCAAGAATCTTTCTACCTAATTTTTTACATTTTCAAGTGATTGCTTTGAAGCAGAAGATATAAGGGAAGATTAATGTGAATCTTTGTGGATAAAAGAAATATATATTGCGACGAGTAAGTTGCAGCAGCAGAAAGAATACTGTTTATATTATTCAGGAAGATACTTAATAATCTAAATCTTACAGGTATATTATTCTCTTAACAAAAATTAAAGTACATATTTCTTTTCGTTCGCATTACGTTTCGTTAAATATATACAGCCGGTAAAACGCGCACGACAGAACACTACATCGATAAGAATAATGTCTCGTCCCGAGGAACGTCGTTTCTTCCATTACCTCCCATTTCTATTTCTTTCTATTTCGAGAAACAATCCTGGCGCAAGAGCCCTTCGACTTCACATTTTTCAATTATCGATCCGCGTCCCTTGGACGCAGCACGTACGTTTTCGCTGCAATTCTCCTGTCGGTATTTTCTTCGGCGAATGTGCACGTATACATTCCCGGTGTCCGTGTGGGACGGGCGTGATTTAAGAAAGGGAGACGCGAGAGAGAAGGTTCGATAGGCCAGCGCGACTCGGCTACGTCGCATCTCTTCGGATATACAAGCGCGATCCGACCGATGCTTTACAACGCCATACGACGTACCGTATAAACCAGGGATACCGAAGCCATTAGCAATACTCGCAGTTCATTCACCCAAGACCTTGAAGATCCAAGCATGCATATACCTTCGAAGGCAATCGCGCGCATCGGGCAATTTATATCGAGGTACAGATATCGTATCACTGATCGAGCTGCAAACTTGTTGACGGGACGATGCAGGGCTGCATAATTTGCGAATGCGAATCTCAAGGAAATATTAGAAATAAAAATATATTGAATAAAATGCAGAACAATATTGTATAGGTAACAAATAGTTTGGATACAGGAGGGAATAACTTTTGCAGGATGACTTGATGAATGCCACCTCACTTTTTCGAGTATGTTAAAATTTACATGTATGCGTCTAGACATGAAAATGCGTGATGAAGATTTATTGAGGAATTTTTACATCGAATCGAGTACGTCCAATACAATGTTTTTTTTTTATATACAAATGTTGACAAACGTGATTGACCGGCCTCTTTCCCAGGCCAAAGACTGCCAGTTTCGACCCGTTTGTCGAGTCACGCGAACGACATGGTTCTCGAACTTGGGATAATTCTTGATCTATGAGAACAATGTCGTTGCGAAAATGACTGATTCTAAGAATGATTTCGAGTGAGCGATAGTGGTTTCCCGACTGCGAGCAAAAGCTGATATAAAAGATGATCCTTTAACCCTAACGAGCACAATGTAGATTGACAGTAGATCTCTTTTAAATTTATAAAGCTACGAAATAGAAGAATTTATATTTTCCATTCAAAGATTTAATTTTGTTTTAATAAAATATTGTCAAATGAGATCGCGTTCGATTTCGTGATTTGATTTTAATATCAATACAATCCCGCAATATTCCACGTGAGAAAACTCGTAGATATTGTTCTGTAAATCCACGCGTGCTCCTTAGAGTTACCACCTATGTTCGATACTTCGCCCGGTGATTACTACACGTGATGAACGGTATGCCCGTAACTGGACACGGTCTTTTCGGCGACTAGCTGATGAGGGTACGTCGAATAATAGATCGGCGTCGCGTACGGTATTACGTCGCGAGCGGTGATCGCAGGTATCGCGACGTGCGACTCGACGGCCAGGGGTTTCGCCAGCGCGATTAACGGACGCGCGTCGTGGATCACTTGGTGTCCGTGGGCCTCGATCGTTTTCTCGGCGACCAGGGAAGCCTTCGCCACCGGCTGCACGATCTCGGCGACCGGTTGCTGCAGCAGCGCGACGTCCGCGTATCTCAGCCCTGCAGGTGAAATCGCGGCTACCAGCTGCGACGATGGGTGCACCACGTTGCTGCCGTGCGCCTCGACCACCTTCTCGGAAACGAGCTTGCCGACAACGGGCGTGAGAATGGTTCCACATTGCACCGTGGCGATGCTCGCCAAGACGGAAATAACCACCTGCGAAAAGAGAACGTTTGTCGCGGATATGAAACCTCCGGATGATCTCGGGAAGAATAGGACGCCGGCGGCGTCGATATTTTCTCTCTCTAACCGTCTTTACATTCTCAGTAGATCGGGAAATTGGATGTTCTGTTGTCAAAGTGTGCTCGGAATAATGATTGCCAGCTCGATTGGATTTAATCCGTTAATGCTCATATAAATTCATTATTATATATATAATAATGAATAAAATGAGCAGCATTAACGGGTTAAATCCAATCCGAATTGGCACTTGTTATCCGATTTATATTTGGAAATCGTTGGGGCAATTAATTAAAAATAATTAAACAAATATGTATGTGTATAAATTAATATATATAAACATATACATATGTACATATATGTTTCATTATTTTCAATTAATTGCTTCGACAATTGCCAATTGTTTGATATTTTGATATTCAGAGGGAATAGATTTTTCGTTTTAGTCGCTAAATAGTGCTATAAGTTAAGAAACGTCGATCTTACCAGCCTAAACATGACGATAGGTTTTCAGTACTTTTGGATCAGAACCTGGGACTGATCTGCACGCACGCGGATCTACGCATGCTTATATAGGAGAGCGTTTCCGTGATCTTCGAGAGACCTTCAAGGTCCGTGCAATAAGAATTCAACGCCCTGCCAGTCTATAGGATATGTCGAGAAATATTCAATGCGCCGAAGGCACGTTCTTGTTTGAAAATATGTACGTGTGTGAAATACATTCCTGTGAACGTATTTCTTGTTGGCGTAAAATATTAAGGATCATCGGGAGGGGCCGACAGGTATTCCCTTGAACTCTGAAAATTTTGTTTTAGGAGAACGTCTTTTTCATTTTGAAGGACTTTCTTGTTCAACAAGTAGAACTTATAAATATAAATTAAAAGTTAAATATGTATATTAAACGGAAATAACTCGAAGGTTAAGACATGAATATTATCGGTCACGAGATCAAAATTGTGAAACAGATATTAGCGGTGTTACAAAAATCGAGGGTGATGAAACATATATGGATTACGTTTTTGTCGGCTGTTGGTTCTGAACGCGTTAAGCTTTTTGTCACCGCCGTGAACTTGTGGGATACACTTGACGATCGAACAAAGAGGCTTCGCGCGATCTTGAGACTTTACTTTTACTCCTCGCCTTCTGGTAACAATAGGCACATCACGCCATGAAAGCAAGGAGGAGCGGTACTCCTCGGAGGGACGTAACAAAAAGCACTCGAGCGTAAAATCACGGCCGAAAACGCGCTTAATCTTAATGATCTCATTTATCAATTTTTACTTGAGTGTATGGCACTAAGGACGGCGATTTCAACAAAAGATAATGTCGCAGTTGAAAAATGAAAGTAATCAAAGTAAGATTAATTAACTTTTCTTAAGTCATCAGTGAATTGCTTAAAAAGAAAACAACTTATGATTCTGTTAAGATAAAATAAGCCTTTGTAGAGTAATTTTTAAATATTTGCCTCTCCTTTTCAATCCAGACCCATATTCATAAAGATACCATTTTCAGGACAAAATTATATCTTATATTTTCTGACATAGAATGCTTCAGTTTTTTTTTTAATTCAACACGTTCGATACGTATACAGCAACACCCGTACACCGTACAGACGCTGTCTACAGTTTTCCTCCGCGAAACCGTAGGTGCGATATTGAATAATTCGCCAAACTCCCCTCTCCTTCTCACGGGGACTTTTTTAAAGCTCCCATAAAGAATTTAGCAAGTTAGGTTCGTGAAAAGTGCACGAGTGCGGGTTTGTATGTTCCCTGTAAATATATTCAATACGTGACCCGACGGCGCGCGGCAAAGTTTCGCTTCGCGAATGCCTAGACCTAGACGGTGAACGGCGGGGGGCCAAAGCCGAAACTCAAACAACCGTTGATCGCCAAGTCGGTAAACAGTTTTCATCGAGTCGTTCCAAATCCTATTTTGCGAAAATCCTTACGTAAACCGATAGGTAGGTGGACGTACTCGATGCGGGCGTGGCGCTCGCGTTACGTGCTGAAATAAAAAATAAAACTATAAGGCGAGATCACTCCGTGATCACGACGTTGTTTGCCGATCGCCCGTGCGAGAAGAAAGCTCGAATTCTCTAGCATCGTGCGAGGAAAAATCTGCGATTCTCGATAAGCTTCCGGTGCTACGTGATACGGAAGAATTAGCCCTTTAGACGCCGTGAAGACCCAATGAGGTAGAATTCGATAACCGCTCACAATCAGTTCGACAATAACATGTTATATCATTTGCTGAAACTATTCTAAGGTGTTCTAATACGTACGAGCAGTAAAAGAAAACTCAGAGACTACGATATTGAACCTGAAATATAAAGTTAAGCTGCGAAATAGCAAGTTTCTAGTATAACTGAAAAGGTATCAATAAGAACTGAACACACAGCACATTTATTTAAAGGCAGAAATGGCAACTTTATTGATTAATCGTAGCGATCGGTCGTTCGACCGTGCGGACAGGCCGGTACAAGTTCAGTCAGGGTGCCTGGTTGATCGATGGTTCAGTCGATTCGGTCGATCGTTCTGATGAATCGTCACGCGTCCGGATGGATGACAAAGGACATTTTTCTTCATTGTCGTGGCGTGTTGATAGTCTGAGACGGGCGAGAGGTGGTTAATTGTGTTGAGTGGTTCTTCCTTTTAATGAAGAGCGAGGACGGGGGCATGGGCGGCGTAGGCGAGTGGTGCATGGGCGACGACGGGAGCAGCGGCGACGACCGGCGCGGCCTTCAGGATCGGCGCGCTGTAGGCAACCGGGGCGCTGTAGGCGACCGGAGCGGCCACGAGCGGGCTCTTCACGGACACCTTGTAGGTGTTGGCGTAGCTGGTGGCGACCGGGAGGGTGTGGGCGACCGCGACCGCGGGTGCCGCCGCGACGACCGGCGCCGCGTGAAGGGCGGGCGCCGCCAGGTAGCCGGGCGCAGCTGAGACGCAGGCCAGCAGGGCGAAGAGAGCGACGATCTTCTTGTACATGGTAGCTGAGGTTCGTTGCTTCGTACTTCGGCAGAGCACTGAAGAGCGAGTGGTGTCTGAACGCGGCGTCTAGGACCCCTTATATTCGTCGGGACTGACCTCTCCCACCTCTCATTGGCCACCCGGTCCCCGGTCCCGGCCACAGATTCCTGTTGCCTTCCTCACGTCGCTCGTCGGCTCGCATCGCGATTACTCGTTCTTTTTTTTTTTTTTTTTTTTGCGCCGGCCACTTGTTGGAGGAGCACTGCCAAGGACTGCCTGATCGCTCGTGGCCTTAACGCGCGGGCCCTTCACCGCGTCGTATTTCGTACCCTCGTGTGCGATGTAGCCTCGACGGGAACGAAATTGTCGATCATCGTTTTGTTTCTCCGAGAAGGACACGGGAAATACTCGAAAGGGCGACCGTGATTATCGATGGCCTTATCTCCGGGCTCTCTTTGTTTGCGCATACATGGATGCCTGGATGGAGAGGTTCAATGACATAGCCTCGACTATCGATCATCAAACTCTCGACAGTATAGCCGCGTCCGGAACAATCACGCGTAATTATCAAGCGATTTATGTATACATATTAGCTTTCGGGCCGGCGGACCCAAAATACGAGCTCGAATCGCCTCGGGCAACAACGTTTAAAAGCGACGTTTAAAAGCGGCTTGTCACTTCCTCGATTAATTCTTGACGCACAGGCAGACGTGACAATAACAGTCGCTTAATTGATGACGTCAGTTAGAGAACGCACGGACAATTTTGTTATAAAATTTTGCTTTCTTGTCATTGTAATTTATTTTATCCGAGATGCGCCTCGTTAACAATATTTAAACAATTAAAATACGTGTCAAGCGTTAGACCGACGGGGTCTGAGTTAAAATTGTTCGCGCAAAGGATGCTTCCAGGTTGTTTGTCCTGACTTTGGTCGTTTAGAAGGCAACGCTTCTCTTTCTCTTTGTACTTTACTCCATTTTAATGCTTATGAATTGCAACAATTTACGAGCCGGGTCGCCTTGCTCGCGGGTCTTTCTCTCGACGGTCAGGCGGTTTTATATTTCACAAAACACGCATACGTTGTTCTAACAAACTTATATGCACAACAACTTGTACGCATAACTTTTTTTCACAAAGTTTTTTCAAAAATCGTCCGTCTAAAAAGTTTTTAAAAACTTTCAACTTCGGTGTCTGTAATTATTTAAAAAATAATCCGCGAAAAATTAACTTTTTTCTCAATTAGATAATTGAGAAGGAAATTTTTCTCTAGTAATTTTAATTTATTTGTAAATTAAATTTATATTTCTATTAAGCTTATAGATATACATTAACCTTTTTCTCGCTACAAAATATTCTCTTTCAGAAGCTCTCTTTTTGTTAGAAAATTTCTTTTCTTTATTTTTAAATTTTTTTATTTTAACTTCTATATTTATATTCGATTCAATAAATCAAATTAATTATCGAGTAACGCGAAAATTGAATGATGGTTACGCCCACGATGTCTAAAGCCGATGAGTAGTCGCAAACCAGGATCGGTGGGAGACAGGTTCGGGGGAGAGACATTGTGACACGAGTCGCGAAAGTAGATGCTCGACTTACACAATTTCGCACGACGCGCTCCGCATACGACGACGTGTAATATTAGCACGCGTGTTCCAGCGTGTGTGTGTGTGTGTGTGTGTGTGCGTGTCCGTGTTCTTTTCTCTGCCCCGTTCCCTCCGTTCCTTGCGCAATCACGCATCGACAATGACAATGCGTGACAGCTCGCACTGACGAAAATCGCAGCAACCGGTCAGACGTGCGTAACGTCGACTACCGACCGCTGCGCTTCTCTACGCAACGGCGTGTGTGCGTGTGGAATAAAATATTATGCGTCTTTACGCAAGATGCATCCGCCGTCCTCTTTCTGTCCTCGTTGTTAATTGGCAAATTACAACGAGTATCGCTGTAGCATATCAAAATTTCACGAGCCACGCTCCCGTGACTGAAATTTATAATGCGTAGGTTTATAGATTTATATACACGAATATTTAATATATTATTAAACTGATGAATTGATAATTTGCGGCACCGCAAATTCGTTCCCGCGATAGGCGCTATGTAATTATTTACATGCGGCGGGCCATTGTAACAGTCATAAATTTTATATACGGTGGATTATTCCCCCCCCCCCCAGGAGGGAGGGAAATTGGCGCATATTGTTCCGACTGCAAATATCGTTAAAAGTCATAACGGTTAACCAATCATAACGATGATTATACGATTATCCGAACCATCCATCATCCGAGTGCGGTAAGATCGGCGCGTCTGGCCCCGCATTCGAGCTCCCTCGTCCGTCTTATCCGCCCAAAGCCGTCCAAATCTTTCGTACGGCGAAATCTCGCCGAATCCGGAAGACCTTGGCCCACGGGCGTGCGGGGTCCCGCTCCGCTTCTATAGATCACGACGAGGATGGGAGCGATGGGGAACCAGTTCTCTCCCGCGTATAAGAGGGGTTTCGGTCCTATAAAATAGGTGCCGTGGAACGGATCTCGGTATCAATAGTCGAGTAGTGCTAAAACTCGGACAATCCTCGCAAGAGAATCAAGCTCCTCGTCTCAGCGACTTTTGCCGAAACCTCGTCACCATGTACAAGTGCGCCGCTCTTCTCGCCCTTCTCGTCGCCTGCGTCGCTGCAGCACCGGCCCCCGGCTATTTGACATCCGGGGCGATCGCCGCTGCACCCATCGCGTACTCGGCGCATCCCGCACCCATCGTCCACGCGGCCGCCCCGATCGCCTACAGCGCGCACCCAGCCTCGCTCGCCTACGCCGCGCACGCAGCCCCGATCGCCTATGCCGCACACGCGGCTCCGCTCGCCTACGCCGCTCACGCGGCTCCGCTCGCGTACGCCGCACCCGCTGTCAGCTACATCCACTAGGGTAGATCTGCGGGCCGCCACTTTCCTTGGAAGCACGACGAGGCCGATTTTCCCGAGCGACAATGTCGCCCGGATGTTCTTTTTGCTCGAAAAGAGAATTACACGTATATGATTTTTGTTATATAATTCAACACGTGCAGAGATAAAAAATAAATTAATATTTCACCCAATCGTTGTCCGATTATTGCGCGTTATATCCGCGTGTCATATCGCCGATCCAGCGCGACGATAGCGAGCGTTGACGCGCACGAAACGAGATATATATTTCGTCGAGCGGAAAATAATCCTCTTCGAGTACTTAGGCTTCAAAGAGAATTTTAATGCCGGCTTGCGTCGAAACGCTCGCATTATGCGCAAAGCCAAATGCGTTCGTAAATAAGTCACGAGGCCTCTCAGCCGTTTTACGTAAATTAATATCGTATTTCGGCAGACGGCGCCGATCCAACGGCGAATCTAAAGATTTTCGGAATATTTCCGGAAAATCGCATCAAGCGACAAGTCGCTTGACGTATCCATATAAGTATCCATTTTCGATGTATATATTATTAATCGACCATAATACAGCATGGGCAAAGTATTCACAATTTTTCATAAGTATATATTTTCAGTATTTTCACGAGAGACAAACGCTGCCAACAAAATTCTTTGTTTAATACATCAGTATAAATACAACACATTTTAACAGAAGCACTTTGCAGAAACGCATTTTTTCTCACATAAAATTATGTCGAGACAGAGAGAGAGAAAGAGAGATGAGTTATGCAAATATTTTTATTTGTCGTACCGTGTTTCCAAATGTACCTGTGACGCAGCTAGATGCTTTATTTAGTAAAAAAAACGAAGTTAGCAAATAGACATTTGTACGGTTACCTGGCGAAAAGATAGTTTCGCGCTCGTAGATCACGCGTATCGAGTTCGCGAGGTCGACGGGGCCACGACACCGGTGTAGAAAGTCGCGACGACCTTCCCGACGAACGAATCGCATAAGTAATTCTCTTATACGCAACAACGCCCATCATTCATCGTAGGGACGTCTCTCAAAGTCGCCTGCTTCGCGATCCCGAAATAAACCCGGCCCCGGCACTTTATTATTACGCAACGCACCCGACCGACAGCGCCGCGCTCTTATTACACGCCCGTATACAGACTCCGGGCGACGTGGTAATTGACAGTACGTCTACATCACGCTCGCGCGCGATGGGATTGATACGGCTACGCGGTGTTATGATGTTGCGTTTATATTCGCTTTACAATGGGAGAGACGCGCGAGGGATTAATTACAACGCATCCGTGCGACGTTGATGGAAAGATTGCGCTTGACGTGCCTTGCAATGGACAGGTTTCTCACAGATCTGCGTTAGCACGTTTTGAAACGTATTTGAAATATTAGACGAAAAACACTCGTGATATCTAAATTATTTATTTATTTGTTGGGACGATACGCGCGAATGTGAGATACCGCTTTTATATAATCTTTCGCATTGCAGAAATGTATAACCGAGAAGCATATCTCTTTTCTTCTTTAATTAAACGATCCTATTCTCGCGTTATTCGCGATAATAATGTCTCACCCGATGTATTTGCGTTTAATTAAGGTTGATTAGTATCGCGACAAGTAGGGAAGCCCAGCAGCCACTTCCGACCGGCTTCATCACCGCCGACTCCGGAAAATGGAGCACGGTCGCGAGCGCATATATACGCATTCGCTTTTTCCACGGTCGCCACGGGTGGGAAATCCATTTTCGTTTTCCGGAGCGTTTCACCTTGGAGGACGACACGTCGTTCGCATACGCGTGCATTTCTCGAGTTCTCTCTCGGCTTCTCGCCGACGCCGACGCCGACGCGACGCACGAAAAACGAGTCCGTGCACGGGCATGGGCGGAATTCGTCGCGAGGCGACGACCCTGCTCCAATAAATCTGGAGCACGATCGCGTGCAACGATAAGTGGGAAAGTAAATAAATGAATGAGCGACTGTGTCCGCGGCCCGGACTCGTGACGTTATAATATTTTACAAGTTTCGCCACCGCGCTTTCGAGCATGACGAAGAGTAAACGAGAAGCGCAGGCAGCGCACGTCAATTAATATACAGGTTGCGCACGCAACCACCGAACCTGGCCCTTTTTACCGCAAACTAATTTGAAATCCATTTTCCACTCTCGAAAATATTGAAATGCTAATAATTTGCGAATAATTGGCACGTGAAGAGTGAAACGTTTCTCGCAAATTGCGCTTCGAGAGGCCTAACAGACAAAATCACGTTTCTCGATTAATTTCGAGTCGGAGATTACTGTGATGGAATTTTAATTCGAGGCTCAAGGTTCGGGTTACGAAAATACACTGAGAAAAAAATACTGTTGCTTCAATTAAATGTGGAATTCCGGGGTGCTAAAAACATAAATAGTTGATTCAATTGTATAAATCGTTGATTCAACTATAGTGTAGTCGTTTTAATAATTCAAATATTGAATCAACTATTTATACAATTGAATCACTATTTATACAATTGAATCAACTATTTATATTTTTGGCACCCCGGAATTCCACATTTAATTGAAACAACAGTATTTTTTTCTCAGTGTATATAAGATTCAAGAAGGAAAATTATTTCTGCAAATTGAACACAAATAAATGGTATCAATCACCGTTGACAGAACGACCGGTGTTTCTGGGACGTACATTCGTGATACATAACAAATTATATAAATTCATGAAATGAGAACGCATAATTCATTGAGTATCTCCTTTATCGATCTACCTTGAACAGTGATGTTGACTTTAAAGAACTCGAATCGCTTCGCAATCAGATTGCGTGCATATATTGTACAATGTACATTAATTTAATCATCCATCCTTGCTTTTATTAAGACAGAGAATGTTATCTTTGACACATTGAAATCGATAACGTTCTTTGTGTCTAAATAAATTGAAATAAGCTGTTGTCTCAATTAAGCATCTGATTTAGCTGATAAAATTATCGTCCTAGATGAACTTGATTCTGATAATATTCGTTATTTATTATTTATATCAATAATTTATATCTAATAATTTTGTCGATTTGTATGAATTTAAAGGATCAGTTAGGAAAGCTTTTTAGCCATGTGTCTTAGAATATTCGAGTAATATGACGGCGCTCATCAAGACGCGCGATCAAACATTGAGGAGATAAGACTGCGACTTTAACGAAACGCCCGAGTGCATGTTACATAAAGCGCGCGTTATTATATAAAATCGAGAGATTGAAGTTACGCCAAAGTAAAAGGACCAAAACGACCTGATCGGGATAAACAAAGTTTGCGGGTGCCTCGCCTTAGCCTTGATCCACTCTTAAGCCTCGCTTCTTCCTCGCGCTCGTACACACGCAGCTCAACACCTCTTTTTCACCTTGCGCAACGCTCTTACGCTTCGCTGGATCCACGGATGGATGGATGGTCTAAGACTGAATGTATAAAAGCCTCTAACAATCGCGTCCCCGTCGGTCAGACGTGACGGATCTTTGCGGGCGTAAAATCGCGATACGGACCGATACCGATCGACGCTGGCATGTCTCGAGATGCTGGTAGAACGAGCTGTTGAAATTCCAGCAACCGCGAAAACGAAAATTAACGACGATACGATCAGATAATACGTAACGCTAAGGAATTTTATGTACGCGTAATACCAAAGTTGGTTCGAATAATTAGCCGGATGATGTAACTGTCTGAAAGGTATTTAAAAAATGCCCTAATTTTTTTGAGCGGTTCTTTACGCTGCTAAAGGATGATCTGAGGATGATTTCTGGACGTTTTCGTTGCGTCTTTAGGTATTCACGGCGACTCAAATCGCCGTCGAATGCGCTACAAGAAATAGAGGCGACGTAAAAGATGAAAATGTGTATTATAAACGTCATGTACATAGCCGATGACAATGTTTTGTGGCAGTACGGCTGCGTCGCCAACCGTTTACAATCAAACTTGTCGAAGAAGGCGTTTATGCCCCGAGGACTTTGGGCTCAGTTGTCCCGCTCAGTGGTAGTAGCCACCATAGCTGCCGTATCCATAACCGTGGCCGATTCCGTATCCATAGCCGAGACCATATCCAAGACCGTGACCGTATCCAAGACCGCTGTTCAGATAGGTGACCGATGGTGGAACCGTGTATCCGTAGTGGCCGTAGCTGTACGCTGGTGCAGAGTAAGTCGGAGCGTAGGCGACTTTTGTGATAGGCGCGGCGTACGCCACTTTCGTGATAGCAGGTGCAACGGCGAGCTTAGCGATGGGTGGAGCTACCGCGACCTGAGGACAAAACGAGGGAGAATTATATACCTCGTCCGTTATTTTATTTTATATAGCTACGGATAAATTAAAATTTCATTAAAAATTTTAATTCTCCCTTAAAATGTGCTTGGTAATTATTCCAGTTTTTCCCCCCCCCTCCTCGTCCGGGAGCGTTATTTAGCCGAAATAATAATACAAAACTTTATTTCTACTGAATTCATTTTGCGCGGAGAGCTCGTTTATGGATTACAGCGAGTAAAACCGGAATTTTCATCCGGAATTCACCCCGGCCGTTGGCGAAGCTACTCCGGCGCGCTGATAATCCTTCCCTTCTCGTATCGGTTACACGCCCAACCGTTTGAGAGCTTACTTTACTTACCTTGTACGTATTGGCGTAGCTGGTCGCAACTGGAGCGTGCGCGTATCCGATCGAAGGTGCGATCGCGGCTACTCCATGACCTAAGCCGTAGCCACCGTAGCCGTAACCGCTGCCGTAACCGCTGCCGTAGCCATAAAGCCCTCCGTATCCGGAGTAGAGGCCGCCGGCGGACGCGTAGGCGACAGTGGCGAAAAGGACGATCTGCGATAAAATGTAGGATATATATGCGTCAAGAATGTTCCTCAGATTCATAACTGCTTCTATACGTAAAAATCGCGACGGAATTCGGGACGAAACTTGATGCAAAACTTGATACGTTGTGCAACTCAGGAAACATTTACGGAATCAGAATTATAGTTATGAAATAATTGGAACGTGTTCTATTTTTGTGAACAGAAAGTGCGTGTCTGACACGGGTGGGCAAAGCGATGGATTTGTTAACAATTTTCTCTCTTTGTTCCTCAAAAAAGAAAAAAACTGATTATACTAAAAATAGATATATAAACATAGAAAATGCAAAAATAAAATAAATATGAGAGAAATTAAAACAGCGTGTTTCCTCAGCGTGAGAACATTTTGCCGCCAATTTGTTTAAGTGGTCTTATGCGACAATGGACTTCTACGCGAGATTATCCTAAATGACAACATGAAGCTTCTAAGCGAGCGGTCTGCGTCGTCGCGCATAGCCTTCGGCTTTATTTACGCATATCCAGGATAACTTCAAGCGCGTATCATACGATATGAATGAAACAAACGTATTCCAGCACGATAAAATCATGCCCGCGGCGGCAAGTAAAGTTCACAGCAAATGTTACGTCCGAGCATTTCTCACGGTATTGCAAGTCGACTCTGTCTCTTTTTTTTTTCTCTCTCTCTCTCTCTCTGTAGTTAGAGATAAGTCTAATCTCCACATAAAAGCAAAGTTATAAGAGGATAAATGTCATTTTCGAAAATACGAACTTTTTTGCATCTTGCGATATGTATTCTGCGCTCGACAACTGTGTTTTCTCTTTTAAGAAATTTAAATGAGCCACTTTAAAAATTATATATCCCGAAAAATTATATAAAGTTATGTATGTATGTATGAGAGATATCTTTTAGACTCTGCGTCGGGAAAAACCGCGATGGACATCTATACACTCTTCACGATATAAAAGTTTCGCCGCGGCGCTCGTCCGCCCCGAGTGCTTCACTCACCAGCTTGAACATGTTGCTCCAAGTGCTTGCGATCTGTTGTCGGTACTGTGGACTGACTACATCTCACGTACCCCGTCAGATCACTTATATATCCCCCGGCGGATTGTTTTTGCTCGCGCTCACGCGTCAAAGATCCAAGGGGGAGAGATGCGGAAAAAAGTTTTCCCTGCCAATCGCGGGCGAGGCGAATTCGTAGGTGAGGTAAACGGCGTGGGGTCCCCGCGTTTGTTTCCCGCCGTTGTTGCCGATGATAGTGGGGTGGGTCGGACCCCGGCGACTCGTTACGCGCTCACCTAGATCCTAGATCCTTTGCGGTGCCGTGGATGACTCGCCGCGCGACCGTTCGCGCGAAGGACGAAGCCATTATCGGCCCAGGCGGGAGAAAAGGAGAAGAAAAAAAAAAGAAGTATCGGTCGTTCGATTCGCATCGTGAGAAAAAGTGCGTCCGTGCGCACCTTGAGCGCACACGTACGCGCGCGCGATCGCGAGGGAGGAAAGGAGAGAGGTTGCCCCTCACGTCTCTCCTTCGTCTCTCTTTACCGCCGGCCCCCGGTCACTCTCAATCGCTTTCTGTAATTATTCGCGCGTCTATGATCTTGTCTGTGCTCCGCGAAGCGTGAACAGAGCAACACGGGGACCTCGACGGATCGAATGTGGCACGCGGTGGTGCGGAGATGATACCGGTGCGACACACACAGGGAATTCTCTCTCTCATATTTCTCTTACGTTTTACCACAATTTTCTCTTATTACAATTTTTTACATTAGCATTTATACTAGCTTCTCGTATTATCGCAAATTTACTTGGTGAATTATTATCTATCTTTTTTTTTTGCCGCGCGCGTTGTTATAAATTTTATCTACCTTATCTTTATATATACCTACCTACCTACCTCTTTTATATATTAAAGAAAAATTTAGTTTAGATATTTTTTATTGCACGTTACGTTATTATTATCGGATTTTATTGTTTTATATTTTTATATCTTTATATCTCCATATACATATATATATTATATATATATCGCGCGTTTCTATATTCTCTTCGCTTTTTCCGATAAATGCACCGCTACGCGTCGATCCTCGATGCTTCCACGATTGAGGATGAGTGGGTGTGTCAACGCGAGTGTCGCTTCCGGTCATCATCGGAGCGAAAAATGAATCACCTCGCGTATGCAACGAGCTCGTGGAAATGCGTCCTTTGTACATAACTAGCGTAACAATACATTGTACATACAACTCGATTATTCATGGAATTCACTCGCTCAGAGAGATCTCGCGGAATAATGCGGATCTCGAGCGCAAAAAAAAAAAGAAGGAACGTAGGAAAGAGAGGCGGCGCGTACTTCATTAATCGCGGAACAAATATTTTTGCGTACACTTTCCTTGCTCGCCTCGCTCAATGTCGTATACCTGCAGCCTTGCTGGTCGCGGCGGATTATCTTCGTCCTTATTGCGACTCGTGCTTACACGTCACCTCGTATACAACGCCGGTAAACAGTAATAACGCGAGCGTGAAAAGTTTCCGCATAATAAACGGTTTACCATTCACTGTCGCCTTCTTAATAAAGTGCACGCGCTGCATCATAGCTGCATCATACATATGCATAACATGCATATACTTCTCGCCCTTAAGAAATTTTTATCAAATCACTTATTTCCGCTTCCACCTTCGACGTAGGCTGACTTAGAAAGCTTGAAAACAACAACTTTGTTCTTGGAAATGAAACATTAATTATACATATTATTTTCCAAGAATGTAGTTCTACATTTTATTATATAAATTCTTCTAACCACTTTGAAGGCTTTCGTCAATGAAAATTCCTATTATTTCTTCAATATTAATATCGTACTTGCAGTTTGCGAAAATCTGAAGAAATTTTACAGAGATAATTGCTGCTAATTTTTTTATCACTGCAAATTCTCCGTTGATTTTAACGAGCTAGCATTTGTACAACGGAATTAAACGGACGATTCGATATATATCCTCCACCGGTTTTCGCTGGCCTTTTTTTCGCGTAACGCGACCATTTGTAACCAGCCCTAATGGTTTACGATGCGATTAACTCGGCTGCGCGCCTCGGCATCTGCCCTTACGTGTGCCCGCGAGGCACGCCTAGACCGATCGCGAATTGGGGCTAACGAAGATAAATATCGGAACGATACCGCGTATATCGCGAGTGAGATACGTTGCGACGTGCTGGGTGTATTGTATATATATATACGCGCGGAATTCTCTCTTTACGTGAAACGCAAAATGTCGCTGCAAGACAAACGGTCCGCTGTCTCCTGCCTCCGGGCCCGCGGGCGATCGATTTTTAAAAGACGGCCAGCTACCGAAGAGAGAGCAATGCATAGTCGGGTGACGATGCACAATGCAATACCTACGGAGGCACGTATACAGGGTGTCCCGGTTGACGAGCGTTAATTTTGTTTTACGACGGGATTGCTTAATCGTTCGGGAATCGGCTTTTCCTTGGCGAAAACATCGAGAACGCCGATAACTTCCAAGTTACGAGTAATTAAAAAAAAGAAAGTCTGCTCGCCAATGAAATCTCAGTGGCCAAATATGGTTTATTTTATATGATACGTTCTTTTAATTTCAGACGGAATTTATTTTATAAAATCTTGACTTACTTATTACAGAAATACGCGATGCTAAAGATCGGAAAGCTAAGATAAACGATGACCTTCCGCGATAGTCACGCTAAAAACTCGAGTTCAAATCGAAGGATTCCGTCGTTAAAAAATAACGCGCTAGAAGTTGGACACCTTGTATTTAAGCCGAAAGGGATTAAATCCGTTAACCCGTGAATCCTGCGAGTTTTATGTGATACATGGCATTTTTTATTTATCGTTCTATTTTGCTTATCGGACAACGTCAGCTCCGCCGCCGTCGAATAAGTCCTCTTGCTTATTCTATATATCGACGTCGATGACAAGTGGCAGCGAACGCTTGTAAATACGTAAAATACGTTCTCGCTCTTGTAGTACGATAGGATATCTCGCGCCCATTTTATTTTCTCTCTTTTTTTCGCCGTAACGTAATTATGTAAGGTTTGCTCGCGAGACCGAGATCGTTAGCGAGAGCCGAGCGAAGATGTAAAATCGCGCGGGAAACCGCGGCGGGAACAACACGCGCGGTGACGGAAACTGGAACACCGTGATCTAAATCCCCAAGTTTATACGTCTGCATTATTAGCATTAGCATTCCGTGTGTGGACCCCACGTGTGCTCGGCAGGAGTGTCCGACCTCCCCGTCCATCCGCGTCTCTCTCTCGGTCGCGGTTACGTAAACGCCCTCGCGGTAGGTAGGTAAATGCGGACGTGCGATCCCGCATAGCTTATCTCCAAATCTCGAAAATATACTTTTAAGACATTTTTTTTTAAATAGTAAAAGCGACGTATCATAAAGTTGCTGAAGGTTGAGTGGTGCAAAAAGGAGAGGAGATGTCGTCTAATCTGCACACACATTTTCTTACGCATTCCCTTTTAATATATTCTTTTCTTAAGACGCTTTAGCGAGATAAGCCCACCGGATTCTCGAGTCTCGGGATTTCGCGGATCTCCGATGTAATATTGACCGAGGACAGCTGATATTTCTCGCGCGCTGCGCGAGACGGGCGCGTACGTTTCATTTTTCACGGTACATTCAGGGATGCGTGACATCACGTCGCTTAACAACGAGTCCTCGAGCCGGCAATTGTGCAATTATTGCCAATAATGTTCTCGATCGTCGTAAAAACGCAAGGACCGAGAGCGCGAGAATACGGCCGACCGCGCCGACGTCGGCACCGGCAATCGGCAGTGATGCCGGCGTGATGTACGAGCCTCCGATACGCGCCCCGCCGCGATTTATTACGGCGCGTTATCGCGGAGTTGGGAATTGTAAAAGAATCGCTCCCGGGCGTAGAACGGAGTGTGTGTCCCGAAATAAATCCCCGAGTGATTTTTAGCCCGCTAAACGGACCGTTGCTCCGCGGACGGAATAAATGGCATTTAATAAAATTAATAAAACGAATCGCGAAATTAAGCGTGTATTAAAATTGAAATACAGCGGGAATAAAACGTGATAAATTTAATTGTGAAGCATTTAATGAACACGCCGGTGAGCAACAAGGAATACCGCGAATATCGCGCCGCTTGAAACATGTAGAACGTGAAGGGGGGGGGGTCGATTTCAATTTTTAATTAAGGTTTTATGTGTCCTTTCTTTCTCGTTCCTTGACTAAAGTGCGCAACCGAAGGTAAGCAAACGCTCTCGGTGGTGCTTGCGCGTAGCAGTTTTACTTGAAGGAGAGGAAGCAGGAAACGTTTCCCCGATACGTACATTTCGCATTATCTCCGTAGCGACCGGAGGTTACCCGGAAACCAGGCGCAAATCCCAGAGTGCGAGAGAAGTGTTCCGTTTCGTCGTGTTGTAGACGCGGTTAAGAGGATGCTAGAGAAATGAGTGCTTTTTACGCGGGAAAATGGAGCAGGAGCTTCTTTTTTCGTTTCTTTTTTTCTTCTCTCATTTTTTTTCCCTTTATTTCGTGCACGTAATGTACTTTCGACGATGGGGGACACGCGGAAGACGAGGAACAACAAGCTGTCGGCCAACGTTGGCTCGGCTACATATTATTTTACATTCTAAGAGGATACGAGGGTGGGACGATATAACTACGTAAAGAAGCGACGAGAGCGGAAAGGAAGCAGCAGGTGTAGCGAGCACTCGATAAACATCTTCCGTAGATGGGACGATCTTCACTTGTCCTCGCCCTCGCCCTCCTCCTCCTCGTCAAATTCGCCCTCCTCCTCGGCGGTGGCTTCCTGGTACTGCTGATACTCGGACACGAGATCGTTCATGTTGCTCTCGGCCTCGGTAAACTCCATATCGTCCATACCCTCGCCGGTGTACCAGTGCAGGAACGCCTTGCGCCGGAACATCGCGGTGAATTGCTCCGACACTCTCTTGAACAACTCCTACGTAAAAACATTCAGTTCTCGATGTAACTACATTTGTTTTTTTAAATTAAGAGAACAAGTTACCTCTGACGTTCGACGAAACCGAATGTTGAGTAACTTATTTTGAGAAAATTTGCAATTTTTAGAAATTGACTGAACTAAAAGCTTGATTGATTCACGGTTGAAGTTTTTTTGGTTGAAGTAAACGACGAACGAACCTGAATAGCCGTAGAATTGCCAATGAAGGTCGCGGACATTTTTAGGCCCCGCGGAGGTATGTCGCAAACGGCGGTCTTCACGTTGCTCGGTATCCACTCGACGAAGTAGCTGCTGTTCTTGTTCTGGATGTTGAGCATCTGCTCGTCCACCTCTTTCATCGACATTCTGCCGCGGAATACCGCGGCCACCGTCAAGTATCTACCGTGTCGCGGGTCACACGCGGCCATCATGTTCTTCGCGTCGAACATTTGCTGGGTGAGCTCCGGTACCGTGAGTGCCCGGTACTGTTGCGAGCCTCTAAAATATCATTTTAGAATTATACGTGAATGCCCCGGTACTGTTGCGAACCTCTAAAATATCATTTTAGAATTACATCGAAAGCAAGAAAGACAGAAAAATATGTACGCGAATAATTGCTTCTAATTAGTTAATTAATTATATTGATTTTACTGCAATTTAGGAAATTTCATTTGGATAAAGCAGCGATATAACGTCAACTCTCGTTGAGGACTGACGCTCTAATTAATTAGCTTTTTTCAATTCAATTAGTTTTCCTTGCGAAAAATTTGAGACCTAGAGGTCAGGGGAGCGAAGCCGGGAATGAAGAAGTGCAGTCGCGGGAAGGGGACCATGTTAACGGCGAGCTTCCTCAGGTCGGCATTAAGCTGGCCGGGGAATCTAAGGCAAGTGGTGACGCCGCTCAGGGTCGCGCTGACGAGATGATTGAGGTCGCCGTAGGTCGGCGTGGTCAGCTTGAGGGTCCGAAAGCAGATATCGTAGAGCGCCTCGTTGTCTATGCAATACGACTCGTCCGTGTTCTCCACCAGCTGATGCACCGAGAGTGTGCAGTTGTAGGGCTCGACCACGGTGTCCGATACCTTCGGAAGGAGGCGAGAATAGACGCTGACGTGCAACGTATGGCATCCGCGGCCGCGAGTATCAGGCGCGCTCGCGTATCGCGCAACCGTGTACACACAAACGAGAAAGTACAAGCATTGTACGCCGGCAATGCGCGCGGTATTGTCCTATTAAGGACAAAAGGTCGGTTCCTGGCGGCCGCTTTGTCTCGCATCCATTGTACCTTATCCCGCGCGCATCGGGAAAGACTTTCGCGTTGCGGCGTAATACGCCACGCCGATGATTCCCGATGAAAATTCGAAACGTAACTCTCGACGTGAGATCCGATCTCGCATTGTTTCCGAAAGTCAATGGAGATCTTGCCCGTGAATATAGAGAACCCATTCAAATTATTTCTTCGAGAACCACGCTAGACACGATCATCCGTAGAATCGAGAGAGAAGTCGAGATTTTTCTGATTTAAAGTGAAACGAAGCGATTGAAAAATGAGCGAAATTCAAAGAGCGGATATACCTTCGGCGAAGGTACCACGCTGAAAGTCATCATGATCCTATCGGGGTATTCCTCGCGTATTTTGGAGATGAGCAGAGTGCCCATGCCGGCACCGGTGCCGCCGCCCAGCGAGTGCGTGAGCTGAAATCCCTGTAGGCAATCGCAGCTCTCGGCCTCTTTCCGTACGACGTCCAGGACGGAGTCGACGAGCTCGGCGCCCTCGGTGTAGTGGCCCTTGGCCCAGTTGTTGCCGGCGCCGCTCTGTCCGAACACGAAGTTGTCCGGCCGAAATATTTGACCGAACGGTCCCGAGCGAACCGCGTCCATCGTCCCGGGCTCCAAGTCGACCAGGATCGCACGCGGCACGTATTTACCGCCTGTTGCCTCGTTGTAGTAGACATTTATTCGCTCCAACTGCAGATCCGAGTCGCCGTGATACGTGCCCGTAGGATCAATCCCGTGCTCGTCCGAGATGACCTCCCAAAACTATAATTGTTGCAACATTGAAATGGAAATTTCTCGAGGAAGTCGATACTTGGACACAGTCGTTCTGATTACAGACAAAACGATATTTTCGTACGTATATAAAAATTTCGAGATTATATATGAATTTCGATCTCTGATCGATTTTTTTATCGTCTATTGGATAAGCAGTACATGTATACTTACTTGAAAACGCTCGAGTGACATTCATGTTAAGTGAAACATACCTTGGCTCCAATCTGATTGCCGCATTGGCCGGCCTGAAGATGCACAATTTCGCGCATGTTCGCTAGTTCAACTTCGACTTTGCAAATCCTTCCTCTTCGTCACGGTACGCAAAACCCGTGGGTGCAGCGAAACGACGAAATCAAAACTCTTCCTCGTCGTCGTCTGTTTCCGTTACCTTGGAAATGCGTAACGCGCACGGGTATTCCGGGGTGCGGGACGACGCGAGGATGCACCGGGAGATAAATTCGAGAGCGCGAAAGATCTCCGACGCGACGAGACTCGTAATAATTCCGGCGAAATCCCTAACCCTAAGAACCGTAACTCGGGTAATTTGGCTGAGTCAAACTCACGTTCCCATGGATACACGGCGAGAAGAGAGTATCTCCGCTTCTGTTTCGGGACAATTGAATGTAACGTTGATGAACAAAAGACTCCCGCCGGCGTATCTGCTCGCATTGTTCGTCGGCTTCACGGGTTGTCGAAAAGGAATTCGTACGTCCCAGTAGATTTTAAATTTTAACAATTCAAACAGAGAATACGCACATTTTAATAATTTAAATATATTTCGTAATTATAATATATTTAATAATTCAAATATAATTCGAATATGTTAATAAATCTTTTTAGAATTTTTTTTAAGAAGATTTTAATCGTCTTTATTAAAATCGCACAGTACATCGTTTTTAAATATTTATCTTTCTTTTATCATAAGATATTTAATACACTTTTACGACGGACTTTTATAACGGGAATACCCATCGACCGTTTATGTCTTATAAGAACATTTTGAGCTTCGTAAATTGAATTCCGCGTAATGCTACTTAGGTGAGTCGAGGGGGATCTAGACGAAGTCCGCGAAACTCTTGGTCGTGAAGGCTTTCGCTATCTCGTTAACCAGCTCCATGTACACGATAGGATTGACGTTCTGTGCGAGTTGGTGCAAGAGGAACCAATCGCCAAAATGGAATACTTGTACGACACGCTCGGCTTTAGATTTCTCGAGTCTGCGAACTGCGCCTCGCAGAAGATACACTCTCGCCCATGCTTGAGAGAAAACTACGATCCTACGTATGGAAGGATTATATCAATCGCGTGGATTTAACGATACTTATGATTTTTGATAGATCTATGACGTAAAGTTTTTTTTAATATGTATATAATAAAAAAATTCTAACGTGAAGCGCTGGGAAATTGAAAAGTCAAAAAACTAATGCTCGCGTAGAATAAGTTTTACGAATTATTCGCGTATATTTCTGACATCGTAATCAGAATTGCCGCGATATCCGTCGGGCACAAACTTACCTATAAATTACCGCCAGACAACCGACGCCCGCGAGAAATACTAGCCAGAACCAAAGCACGACGAAAATCTTCTCGTTCACCACGTTCAGCGGGAGCACGCACAAGGCGTCGTGCGTTTGCACGGAACCCGCGGGCCCGAAAGTGTGAAACGTACACTTGGTCACCTTCGGAAACAGTCGCGCCATAGGGTCGATCCTGTCGTGAGGATTTGTCTCCGCGATGAATCCGGTCACCAAGGGCCCGTATCGCCTAAACTGTCCCTCCAGAAATACATCCAACAGATATATCTGTCCTATCTATCGATGAAAGGTTTTATCGGGGGGTTTTCATTAACTTCGCGCTCTCTGTGACTTTTTTTTTTAATAATCGTAACTCAGCGAATATTGAACCTTAAGATGATCGTGTAAATTTGTCGATTTTTACACTTGCACGGAATTATAAAGAATGTAAAGTGGTATAAAATATTTTTATACGTTAAGGGCCCTCGAGTTGTATTTCCTCGCGATATATCGGACTCGTTTTCGAAGCAAAGTTTCGAACGTGTTTCGGGCTCATTATCGAATCCAGAAATCAATTATTCACGGTTATTTCCGCGCAATTTCCTCGCTTCTGACGTCATAATCCCCGGTTGGCCGATCGAGATCCCTTAAGTACCTCCGTAGAAACTCTTCCGTTTCTAAAACTGGCAGGGAATTATACTTACCGAATTTAGGAAGTTCAAGAGCTCGCACACGAAGAAACGCATGGCGTAGAAGTTGTGACCGTGCAGATTCGTCCTGGTGAAATACTCGACGAGCTGCTGCTTCCTCCCCGCGGTCCAAACGTCTTTCAGGAAGGGAGACGCGAGATCCCGCGAAAGGAGGCCTACGGTGTCTCTCTCCCAGATGCCCCATAACCCGCGCGGCACGTAAAAAGAGATGGCTTGTAAGCCGAGAACGAAGCAGACCTAACGAACATTGGCATTCTTATTTCCGATTTTCCTTAAATTGAACTCTATCTCTCTCTCTACTCATTTTGAACAGAAATAAACTTTCAACGGAGACAAAAAATATCGTGAATAAAATAAAGAAGATAAAAATGTTTCAAATTTAAACGAATATAAATACGCGGACAAATATCGCCGAAATTATTTTATTTTCTGCAAGGAGAAGATATTTATATTTGACTTAATATTTTTCTATTCGAGGACCTAAAATTCTCTTACAGGAAGAGTTTTTTTTCCCTGATGCGTTTCCTTCCGCGATATTCGCGATGCGAATCGCGCGATATAGAGCAACGCGGGATAACAGTCGGATCTGCGATCTCTATTTCCGTTTCTTCGCGCCGTCTTCCGTCTTTTCCGGACGTTTTCCTTTACATTCACGCGTTCACGTTTCAGATTTCATTCACGCTCGCGCAATACGTCTGCATGCGCGGGTGAGCCGAGAGCAACCTGACCATCGGAACGAAGTGCAGCCGTTATCATGCATCTCGCGTACGTGAACGCGCGAGTATGTGTGTGCATTCTATACGGAAACTTACGCGATCGACCAATTCCGTTGCACACACACGCGCGCGCGAATGCGTTCTCGCGCGTCCCCCGCATATCTCTCTCTCTCTCTCTCCCGTTCGCTTTCAATTTTTCAGAGTGCCCCATCGAAAAACAATTTAGGGATACCTTTGACGAATTCCGAGTCGATCTTTCCCCGACGAGTATTTCCCGAAGAAGTCTAACGGAAGTAGGAGTCTCTCGGAGAACTTTTATATCGAGCATAAAAATTCTTGAGCTTTTGGCCTTGAGGGGTGTGAGTCAATAAAGAAACTTGTCTCGGTCGAGTTCATATAACTTGATTTCAGCAAAGATTTGATTTGAGGCTCGCGGGGAAACGTAATTTATAAAAAATTTCATAACGAAGGCAAATATTTAAATCGCGGCGAATGCACGACGATTTTGATATCGATAATTTATCGAAGTATACATATATATTCCGTATATAGGTTAATAAATTTGTTTCCGTGTCCTGTCAACGGACTATTTCATCGAACATTTGTCCGTATCGGTTATCTCCTCATCCGTATCGTGAACGTTCTAAATTCAGCTGACCCATTGATAATATCGATGATGACGGGCTTCGTCATCCGGAAGGGCCTGTCCTACGCCAGCACTCGCTACACCCCGTCCAGGAATACCTTTCAGATGTCGTGATACCGTGAACGTGCTGTAGATCCAGCAATACGCGTTTACGGGATCTTTGTCTGCCAGCAAGATATACCAATTACGGTCAAACATTAATGATGATCAACTCTTGTCCGCGCAATAATTGAATATAATTAAACGCGGAAAGATATTTAGTATTTTACGGAATTTTAAATGCAAATTTATTACTGCGATTCGTTCTTTGCACGACTTCTAAGTAAAGTCATGCAAATGCCCGCACACTTGAGGCTGAAAAGGTTAACAACAATTCGTACCGACGGAAGTATCGGTCATGCAAGAAATCGGTTCGCCGATGTACTGCTTGGCAGTTACGAGGATCGTGCAAACGAGCAGCAGGAGAACGGTGACGCGCGAGTGCAGCCTGAAGACGACATTGTCGACACGAACGGATTCTTCCTGCAGGAGGCATTTAATAGGTGCGAAGAGGTCCAGCATGGTTATCGCGTGTTCTTTTGTCTCGAGCACCGAAACAAAGCACAATAGAGAAAATTCCAGTGCGCATTGCGAAAGAAAGCCTTCGTACCGTCCGCTCTAAATTCGTCAAGGAATTTATCGCGAAGGACAGGCTTCGCGCGCAAGTAACGTTTAAAATCTATGGACGCGAGGAAACGCGCCGTAAATGAAACGAAATCTAAATCGGATTACGCGTCACGGCGAAATTTCGCAAGACGGAAGAGTCGAAATTACGAACGACGCTAAAACGACGGGCGAGAAATTACTGTCGTGTAAATCATCGACGAGAGAATGGCGATGCCCAAAACTGCATCCGCCTAATTGGTCCGCACTTAACCAGGCGAGCAGACTCGTAAATCTTGAACGTAACGATCTCTCCCTCGCTCTGCAATTTTTGCTCTCGGCAGCACGGTCCTCTCGCTTTTAACTTTATCGCCGCACTGAATCTGAGATTTGTCAGAAGAGGTCCGGTATGTAAAGAAACTCTTTTTCCTCGACTCCAAGGATGCTCTTTATTAGTAAAAAATATAGTAATCATGATAATAATTATTATCGCAATTACATGTCGTAGTAAGATAATCGTTATACCGTCGATTAAAGATAACTGCGCTCGTTAATAATGCGCTTAATACCGCATCGCTCGGTCGGTGTGCGTGTCGTGTGAATGTGGACATCCGTGTGGATGTGTGTATCCGCTATTGAGATTGTCGCTAAACCTACATAAATGTTTCCCTATATACAAACAAACATCGTTCCTAGAGCGCGGCAGCCCCGCCGGGGGCGGCGGGCCAAGTTTCCGAGTCTGTTTCTTGTCCTAATTATAATAGCCCCCCTCCCCCCCCTGTGGAGAAGGGCCAACCAACGAGTATCGAATTAACGGGATCCCTTATCGCTGCGATAGCCGGCGTTCTTTATTTACTTTTGTTTTATTTTATTTTATTATTTCTCTGTCTCACCTAGCGTACCGGTTTATTTCTAAAAAGCGATCGGTTTTACAAACCTCCTTCTAACCTTTGCCTTATTATATACAAACTGTTTGCACTGTCGACGATCACATGCATCATAATAGCTGCATATTTTAGTAGGCACGCTCATTCGGTGTCATAGAGTCCAGACATCTTGCGAATCGGCGAATCATAACTCTTCTCACTTCCTATTTCTCCTCTCTTTTTCTTTCTCCAACGTGCACACTAGAGCGATTATATATACCTATATATATATATCGAATGTAATATACATATATATGTGTACGTGTATATATTATATTCGATACCGTCGCCGAACCTCAAGATGTTAAATCGACAAGGCGTGTCACGACCCGTCAGAAGCCACAATTACTAGATGTACTATCGATTTCCGTCGTTCCCGCCATTTCTGTTGTATTTTAAGTCAATTTAATTGTATCTTGCTCGCGACGAGTTTCTCTCGAGAGTTCACGAAGCAGGACAACTTTGAGCAACCGCTAAGGACTATATCCCGAAGTCGGAATCTACGACGATCGGCTCGCTGATTTGCATCCGTACGAGCGACAAAGGAAATGAGGATTCATGCCTACCCTCCGCGGATTTTCTAGCGATAGCAATATATTGCCGCCTGACAAATAAACCACAATAAATACAGTATAAAATATATATGATACAATACGACATAATTAATTAATTACAAAAAATATTTAATATATCATAATATAGAAATATTTAATTATTAATTATCTTAATATATTTTCAAAAAACAATAGTAATCATTTAAAACTTAATCTAACTTAATCTAATCTATCTCTTCTTTCCTCCTAACGTTTCGAACTCATTATTGTCGGACTTCGATGCTGATTATTGACGAGATTCTATAATTAGATTAGAGGAACGAGATAATAAAAATATAAAAATGCTTCGGCGCGTGTCGCTGAAGCTACCCACATCTCGCGGGTGTCTTGCTATCGCTAGAAACGAAGCTATCGCCGCTCGTACAATCAGCGACGGAAATAACCCGATCACCACGAATCTACGATCTTTCTCGCGAACGACATTATGGAGAACGATCGAGACGAGGGCTATGTATGAAGTTCTATATGTCTATGGCAGTGTGTGTAGAGAAGACGCGATGACAATACGACGAGTATAACGCGGCAGTGGTAAATACAGCTTCGGTTAGAACTTCGTCGTTGCTGTAAGAGGAGGATAATGTATGGACTATTAGTGTTCCGCAAAGAGTGTAAATAGAAGACCGACAGAACATGGGATCGGCATTGACAGACAGTATAGTAATACTTGAACACCGCGATAGAGTAGTAAAGATCCGGGAGTCAACCTCTCGCAATCAATGAGCAAACTCGACATTTATTAGACCCGAAAGCATCATATTGAGAGTATTATTTGTAATGTCGGGCCCGTCGTTTGGAGCAGCACGGAATAACACCTCTTTCACCTCGATGAATCTCGAGAAAGAGCATGCTTCTCGATCATTTCCTATCATTTCTCAAATAACACAGAGGTCTTAAACGCGAATGCACCAACGATCTCTCGACGGGTTAAATAATCCCTTGCCTCAGGGATTCGCTCTACTCATCTCTAGATTATAATCTTACCTATGATATAGTCGGAGAAAGAAAATTTATTTAACCGAAATTAACAACGTCGAGCAACGTTGATGCAGCCGGCTTAAAGACGTCCAAGCGACGTTTAAAAAATTAAAACACCGCGCAGACGCCTCTCTCCAGAAATACAGATTTCTTGTTCATACACCTATATGCATATACACAAATATGCATACGGGTATAAAGAAGCAATCTTAATTCCTCGAGAAACGATTATAAATTCAGCTCTTAGACCTCTGCATTCTCCGAGATCGTGCATATACTCGCAGAGGCACGATCGCGCCTCCTAATAGGGCACGTGTATGTCCCTGGAGCGCGATCGTCTTCTACAAAGTCTGCACATGGCGATGAAGCACGCCAGACCCAAGAGAATAGCGAGGCCGGCGCCTAAGCCGGCGCCAGCCCAGCCGGCAGGTCCGGCGAAACCGCCGCCGTTACCGCTGACAGGACCGCCGCACGTCTCCACTGACTCGTCATCCGGCTCGTAGAAGGTGCCATTCAGAATACCCGGCAAGGGCAAGATGCGACTGGGACAGTTCACCACGCCATTGCACACCAATCTTAACGGGATACAGCCTGCATCGCCGGGACACTGGAAGGCACAGTCCTCCAATTTGCCGGTGTTGAGGGCTCCGGATCCGTCTCTTGGTAAATGAAAGAGCTCGGTCCAGGCAATCTTGAAGGCCGCCCGGGCCGGCGCCATGGACCCCGTAAACTGTATAATCACGGCAGGCGATTCCTCGACGACGTCACCGTTCGGCGCCTGATGATCCATCGGCGGTGCTATGAGCGCCGCTGAAATAATTGGCATCTCTCTCACGTAGCTGACATTCTCGCCGCAGATACCGAGATACGGCTCGACGTTCCCCGGCAGGAAGATCTCGAGCTTGCCGTCCTCGCAGGAGCGCGACGCGAACTTGATCTTGTCGAAGTGCAGCCAGAGATCGCGCTCGCGGTTCACCCGTAATTCCCAGATACACTTGATGGATCTCGGCGGCGTGACGTATCCCAGCGCCTCGTAATGCGGAAACTCGATCTCGCCGTCGGTGGCAGGCGGCAGAAGCGCGGGTCCGCACAGGGGACTGTGCGCGAACTCGTATCTCGCCTCGAAGAGCGGCGCGGGCCACTTGAAGTAGCTCGCTGCTGCGTGCGCGCCGTCCACATGAAGCTTCAGATCCAATCTTTCGCCCCGAGAGACGATCCTGAGGACGGGCGGTCGCGATACTGGCGTCGAGGTCGTGGGCGCCGGAGTGCCGTTGTTGTTGGTCCGACAAAGGCAGTGACCCTTGATCCCATCCGGATTAGGCTCCCGGATTATCACCCGGTCCACCCGACTGTCCCAACAGTGGCCGCACTGGGCGTACGGGTGCTCCTTAAAGTTGATCGACTCTATCACCAGAATCACGCGCGCGAACAACCGTTTGTCCGTGATGAAGCTATAGGTGCAGGACAGATCGGCGGGCGGGTCTCCCGGTCGTTTGTAAACCAAGGTATTCAACGGCGATCGTAGACGACCCGAGCGCGTCTTCCACGAGGCGAAGACCTCGTCGCACTCGGTACCGGGCGTCGGCTCGCCGAATCTTGTCGCGTTGAAGAAATCGTAGTGGGCCCAGTAATAGAGCGAGCTGCCGGAATAACTGCCGGTCTTGCTTTCGAATCGCACGAACAGCGCGTTTGACGTCGAGACGAAATCGTGTTTCTCCATCGGTTTGCTGAAAGTGTCGCAGAAGGTCTTGATGATCCGGGCGTCGTCCGGCCAGTCGGCGTCGTAGAGCGTCAGACTCTCGCCGCAGTCGCCGTCGTAAGGCTGGATCGGCGACTCGATACGATTCACGCGGAAGCTAGGGAAATAGAGACGTGCGATTTCGCCGGGTCGACCGCGTAGCAGATACGTGCAGCTGGTGTGCGGCGGGTACCAGTGCGCGACCGAGAGAAAAATGCCCTCGTTACCGCTCACGAGAGACTCACTATTCAGCAGCCAGTCGCAGCTGCCGTTTTTCACGCCCGCGGTTTCCACGTGACCGGGCCAGTTGCCCACGTTGAAGTGAAATCCGGTGTTGAGCAACGGTCCGGCTGGCGACGACACGAACTCCACGTAAAGATCCTCGCTGGTGCCGATGATGCTGTACGGGAATTTGCCCATGCCGCAGAAGGTGCCGATCACCGGGCTGCTCTCGTTCTTACCGTCGTACACGCGTATGTAATCGTACGGGCAATGCTCCGAGCCGGAACTGATCGGCCGCATCGGGCACGTCATGATGTTCTCGCATCGCTGTCCGTCGATGTTGAACTCCTCGTTCTCGATGTAGAGCTTGATGAAGGGCAGCCGGGTGTTCAGGCGATACTTGCAGTGCAACGCGCGCGGATAGATGCCGGGATAAGCCGGGCTCTGCACGTAGCACGTCTGCAGTCGACAGTCCTTGAAGACGCGCTCGCAATAGCTGCCCGGCACGACCTCGCCGCGACGATTCGGATAGAGCTCCGGGTGCTGGCCGTATCTGAGATACACCTCGAACTGCGGTTCGGCGCGCGAGTCGAAGCTGAAGTACGTCTGATCGGTGAAGTTGTCCGCGTGGAAGATCACCCGCACGAAACTGGTCTCGCTGATGAAGGTCTGCGGCTGCTCGGACTCGCCGCAGTAGACCCCCGGGTCCTTGCGATTGCTCACCTCGGTCTTCGTGTTGCCGTCTATGATCTGGAACAGCGGCCGGGAAACGCGCGTTGGATGTATAACGTTTGGGACGATCGATGAACGTGAGGACGTCGTGTCGGGAATCGTTAATCCAGTTTAACGGCCAATATATCCAATCTCTTATGACAAAATTTTGTCATGCGAAAAAAAATGAGATTATGAGTAATAATCATTTACGTCTCCAAAAAATGTGATCAGTGAAACTTAATTATATTTAATCTATAATTAAAATTCTTTATATCGTATAATCGCGGGTTGAATGCAAAACAATCTTTTACGATCTTCTATATTTATGAGTTTACGCACGTCTGAAGTAATATAAGTCTATATAAAAATTAAGTGTACTGAAAATAATTAATAGTTATTTATATAAGAGATACGATAATTCTATATAATGATGCACAGGATTATTAGGAATCCGTCTGTTAGGAAGTAACTGATCTGCAAGTTTACACAAAGATAAGAACTTATGTACGGGGGAAATAGTTATTCAAACGGAAAATAATAGTTCGGAAAAGATACAATAGTCTCGCCACGCGTCCCGCTTCTCGAATCTTACGATCTCGTGCAGAGGGAAATGTACCCGAAGTGACTACTATTGACTTTACATCTTTTTTACTGGTGTAAATTTGAAAGTCGCGAGGGAAAATACAGGGGATAGTAGAGAGCACGATGAACGGAGAGGCAGAAAGAGAGAGAGAGAAAGGAGAGGAGAAGAGAGAGGTTTACAGCGTCACAAAGATCAATACCTGATACCGAAGTAACTGAGAGAGGTGGCAGCAGGACGAGTGCGCCCGCGCGCGCTCACTCGCTCGTGCGCTCGCTCGCTCGCTCAAAAGAGGAGCAAGCGGCGGGAAACGGGGAGAAAAGTGAGGGAATCACTTATCGCATTCGTCTCTTATACGGGAACGCTCTAATTCGCGACATTGATACGGCTGCGCTTGCCCCTCGTGTAATTCCCGCGTCCCGATGGACGAAACTAGATTTAGAAACTAGAAATGCGCTGTTGATTAACGCGATAACGAACCATTCTATTCTTCCAACGGTCACGGCGCAAACAGACTTTCGCGAATTATTACCTCGTCGATACGCCGCAAACGTGCGCTCGATTCGTCACGGAGCGTTACGGGGCTTATCGGAATGAGGGGTTCTCTGAGTCAGTACGTTATCCCAGAATTCCTATTTGAAACTATATTCGATCGCAGATTTCGATCAAACGTAGATTTGACTCGATTAATTTAAATTAGCTTAAGTTAATCTAATAAATTACGATAAAAGCTCGATAGTCCTGATATGGAGATAAAAGCTATCGTTGTGTTTAATATAGATCCTATATTTTTCCACCTCGCCGTAGGGGATTTCTCGAAAGTACGGCGAGTCTGGTTCGCCTAGGCGTAAAATAGACTCTGAATGCATCGTTGCGCGCGAGGCGAGGCGAATCCGATAATGATATATCAGAGGCGGTTTATATATACATCCGGGCGCGACTGCGTGGTTTTTTTTTTCCCCGCAAAAACGCGCAGCTTTACGAATATGAAATACGCGCATTCCCATCGTGTACAATGCGGGTTCGACTGTGCCGCGTATGCATTGGTCCGCGACGCGATGCGATTCAAAGAGATACGCGAGTATCAGCGGCATCCCTCTGTCCGTTTCCCTCGCCTCGTCCCGCCGCGCCGACCCGGCGCCGATATCCAACTCGAATCGAAAGAATAATCGAGGAACGCTATTGTCGAACCGAAATTAAATTCCAGCGCCCGATTAATTGGCCGGGATTCTCCCTATTCAATTAATAGGAGAGCGCGAAGCGAGGGGGTGGGGGTGGAGACTCGGCGAGATGGATTCGGCAGTGCCGTTTGGACGCGCGATCCCGGAATTAGGACCGCTGTCTCTCACCCCCTTTTCTCCTCCCCCTTCCCCTTGCTCTTCCTCCCGGAACGACGGCACACACAGGCACACAAAGCGCTCACCTGCAGATAACCGCCGCTGCAGGTGGTGGCGTTCTCCAGCACCCCGACCTTAAACTTCTTGAAGCGCACCCGCAGAATCCAGTCCCGGGGCGTTCCGCGAAAGGCACGGAAACGGTACCAGCACGAGAGGGGCTTACCCCAGTTCGCTGGGGTCACCGCCGGGCTCGACACATCTTCGTAAATGTCCACTGTCTTGTTGCAGTGGCCTCGGTCCGCTGAAATAGAGACGGTTAGGACGAGGAAGAAGCAAAGGGGGACCCATCCGGAGTGCCCTCTTCTTCATCTCGTTCACATTCTTTATATCTCAGTTAGTAATTATTAATTATGCTACTAGCCCATAGTAAATAACCAATATTATAGTTATAAGTAAATGTTATTAGTTATGTTAATAAGAATTAATAACCTTATTAATTAGCAATGGGAAATTTATTGGTAGTAAAATATACGTAATTAAAGCGGGCAGGATATCCGCAAATATTCCCGGAATGAGTAAAACTCAACTCCCCAGAAGAACAGGCGTTTTAATTAATTTCACGTAGCTTCGGTTCAACGAAAAATGGAGAAGATAAAGTTAAATGACCGACCCATCGCGATGTCCTCGCTAAGAAAATATCGATTTCGAAAAACCGAGTTGGCCCCCGGAGAATCTATTATATTAAATCTATTATTAAATCGCGAAAATACGGGACGTTCCGTTGCACGTTGTATTAGAACAACGGTATTTTTCGTTGACCCGGTTGGGTAATGGAGGGAACGGGATGAAGGAACGGGACACGCGGAAACCGATGGGGTACGGAGGAGAATGGCGGAGGGTAAGGAAACGCGCGCGCGACAACACACGCGACACAAGTTTCGGCCGTGTAATCGATATTCGACCCGCTTGCCAGATACCTCTTATAAAGCGGCAGCCTCGTGTTATGGCCGGGCCGCCTCTCGTTCGTAAATCACCTTTTCCACGCGGTATCAAAACCTCCCTCGGCGGGATTCGCGCCCGCACCGATATACCCGGGATAAGTAAATCTCTCTAATACGACGGTTAAGATCCGAGGCCGCCGCGTCTCGGCTGTTTACACCGATAATTCGGCCTGTTAGCCGCGTAACGGGGTTGCGATAATTGCTAGCACAGCTCCCGGGGATAAGTAGCTCCCGGGATGAGTCTTCATTAAACCGCACATCATCGGATTCATCGGGTGCGGACTGCCAGGATCGAAGTCTTTCGAGAGAGAGAGAGAAGGAGAGAGGGAAGAGGGATTGATACCGCATCCGTCGTAAACGAGATTTATCCGCCGATCGCAACGAAATTTTATCTGCTAGATTAAATTAGAAATTGAAAGTTGCGCCATTTCGCACGGTTTGACGTTACAGATAACAGAGAACGTGGAGTCGGGATACGATATATATTCGCGACACGAGGATAAACACGACATGAGAAAAGGCTTTTCTCATATTTTATCACCGCTTTCTTTTCTTTCATTATCCGGCTCGAATGTCTCGAAAGATGAGTCGCACGATTCTTATTGGATCGCTAAAACATAATATTGTAATTACTGATTAGACAGATGTCGTAAGTTTGCGGAAGAGCGCTCGGGAAACGATCGCGGTGTCGGATTGCATCCGCCGGCGAATAAATACAGAGATCGTTCTCGCGTGTCGCGCTGGCCTGGAAATTTGAACTCTCTCGCCGGAATTATACTCACCCCCTCGGTCCCCCGCGCCCCCAACCCCTCGGATTAGACTTACCTCTGCGAATGGCAGCGGGACTGGGGGTGGCCAGAAGCAGGAGGAATATGGCGAAAAATCCCCAGCCCCAGCTACCGAGGAGTACCGGCACAGGCATTCGAGGCATTCCCGGGACAAGTGCCGAGGCTGTCAAAATACCTCCGCTTTCTCTCCTCTTATCTCCATTTGCCTCTCCCGTCGAGAACTACCTGTGCACACGCGTATATAAAAAAAATACACGTAACAACACACGTATGCGTGTGCTCGTATATACGTATATAATATCGCTCACTGATCCGTCCTGCCGTGTGTGCATCGAAAAATTGAAAAAAATATTGAACGCCGCGCATCCGCAAAGTCCTCCGAAAAATAGTACGTATAATTTTGCGCGCCGAGAATACATCGTGCCCTTTTTCACGCCGCGAAATACCGAGGATCATCGAAGCGAAACGTATAATTTAATTCGAGCTTTTTTTTCCTAATCCAATAATGATTAATCTACCACAAAAATTTTTGTGATTCAGTCGCCGAAGAGAATAGCCGGAAAAATCGCTGGCTCGTGCCGAAAAAAATGTCCAATTTTGTCTTGCCCGCGATTACGTTGTTCCGCTAGCGCAATATCTCTACAGCGTGATCTACTTGATGGGATGCAGGCGCAAGTGCGGGTATCGCGTTATCGTTTCCCCAAAGGACAATAAGGGACGCCGCGCCGTATGGTTTGCCAGATGGGTCGAGCATATACCGGAAGGGCCTCGTTCGTACATCCACGTCGAGAGAGCGGGGGTGATAATTGGTTAAATCCGCGTTGACTTGGCTATCGACAACAGTAGGTACTTCACCTCCGGAATTTTCTCCCTCCGTTCCCTCCCTCTTCATTCACCGTCGCTTTCCTCCCCCGCTCCTCGCATTCTCGCGTCGCATTCATTGTTTCGTCGTTCTCTCGAGAATTCAATATTTTTTTTTCCCCGGGACACGCGACCTCCAGCCAACAATTCAGTCCGTTCGACACACGAGGATTTAAAGATTCAGGAGAACCTCCGGAACTTCGGACCGCGCGGAAGTCCGAGATTTCAAAATCGCGAACGGCCAAGGTCGCGAAAATGTTTTTTTTTTCCGGCCAACTCTCCGTCGGATCGTCCGTAGGATCGATGCACTCGCGGATTTTCAGATTCTGTCGGCGTGCGCGAATGGAATAAAGGCAGGCGCGTGCCGAAAATGTCGAATGAACCGAGCTCCGGAGCGGTTAGCGCATCAGCAATTTAGATCGTTCGTTGATTACGTGCGTGCATAAAGGATGCAGATTCGCGGGCGCGCATTTTGCAAAACAAGCAAAGAGACACGGGGTATAGGAGGACTGGATCGACGATTTCGCGGGAATCGTCGAGCGATCGTTTTTTGCCGATTTACCGACATTTTCGTCAACGACCGTGATTATTTCGCATTACCGAAAACGCGCATTTCCATGCGCGAGTTGCATACGCGATGAGGACGCGATTTCCGTAACGATGCGACGATTTGATCGCGACTGCATCGACGACAGTTCGGATTCAGCGATCGCTCTTTTTTTCTACATCACAATTAGTAGGAGACGAAGGAGAGGAAAATTTTACTTAATCAAAATACATTTATTTTATCAAAACGAAAGAATCTCAGGATCCAAATAGGAAGACAAATGCAATTTTTTAATATAATTGAGATAATTTTAACTATAAAAATCTAGAAATGAGAGAAATAATAGAAATTATTTTTTAGTGGAGAACTTATTGGGGTAATTTAACTATTATCGTTGACACTGGGGCATGCACGTTCGTCCACGCACCTTTACCATAACATTCTCATGCTCCCTGATTACTCCAATTTCTCCGACGATCCTCGGAGAGCCTATAGTTCTCGCTGCCGATCGGAATCACCGACGCGACATCCTCCACGCGGGTCCCCTCGAGTATGCCATCTTCTCTCTCATCAGGACAGGCGACTTTTCGAGCGAACCGTTTGCGTACCGGGATTTACATCATCGTCGTCCTTGACGTATCGACCACGACGTCGCCTGGCACAGTTTCTCCCGCGATTTTTAACCGCGCACTGACGCACATAAAGCTCCGAAGGACGCTTCGAGGAGGATGCTGCTCGGAATTGAATCTCGTGATGGACCACCACCGGCACGGCGGTGGTGGTTTTTAGTCCCGAACGAGCACTGCTTCCGCTGCTTCCAGCAGCGCGTAGATCATCAACGCGTCATGTCGCGGAGAGTGGAATTGAGACTCGGGGATAAAGAATGGAGAGATATATAAAGAGAAAAAAGAGAAAGAGAGAAGAGAGACAGATAAAGAGAGATAAAGAGAAATTACGAGGGGAAAGGAGAGACCGCGGGGGAGAAGAGGAGAGGGACGAGACGAGGGAACGAGAGGGCACAGTACGAGAAAGCACTCCAACGTGCCAGTTGGAAAGCCAGGCTGCGAGTCGACTGCTGGCACGAAAACTCGGAACGTGCGGCTGGCTTAACCGCCGTCCGCCGATCGGAGCTGCGGCGGGTCGAAGCTTGCGCAAGCTCTCTGGCGTTCTCTTTCCCGCTGTCTTTCTCCCACGACGTCGGCATGGCGGAACGCTCTCTCCCGTTCTCTACCCTCCACCCGTTCTCTCTCTCTCTCTCTCCGTTCCCTCTGATGTGTGCCCCGTTTCGCAGTTCCGCTCCCCTTCCGTTTACGATGACTTTCATTGAACTGCTCGCTGTCCCCCCTCGTTATTCCTCCACGCTGTCCCTCCACGCTTGGCCCCCCCCTCCACCCTTCTCGCATCCCCTCGAGTCGCCCTGCGATGACCTATTGCACCTATTGCCGTTGGCCCTCCGTCCTGTCGCGCTTATCCCCGACCCTTCTTCTACCTCTCGAGGCTTCTGTTTGTCGCCCCGTTTTTTCTCATCTTACCGCCTACGGCCGTCTTCTTATGCCCTCTCACGCGGGCCGGGGGCAATCGATAGGCATGTTAACGCGCGTAGCGTGCTTATCGCGCGAATTTAGCGCTTCCGCTCCGTGAACGCGCACGCGAGAGCACACGAGAGCCGCTATTAAAAATAAAAGCCGTCGCATCGCCGCCGCCGCCGCCGCTGCCACGACGCTGCGACGCGTCGCAATTCACACCTGACGTATCGATTTACGACGAGCGCGCCGGTTATCCTGGTGCGCGCGCGAGTTCAGCCGAACGTTAAGGGGGATGGGAGGCCGTTTCTCCGTTTAGCTCGCGTTTACCCAACTGTCCGAATCCACGTGCGACCTCGACGAATTCGCAGGCTGCGCGTGTCCTCCCCCGTGCGAATAAATCGCAACCGCACGTCCTTCCCTCCGATACGTTGAAATTCGGCAAGCCCCCAACGGCGAAGTTACCTCTCTCCGTCTTCGAGACCCTTTTATCTCGCTCCGGCAAGGTCGTTCTCGAGAGAGCCACGAACACCGCGTGCGCCGGCAATCCTACATTAATCAGCGTCGAAATAAACTTAAGATATAGCACGGGGGTAGCTGCCATAACTTAAACCGTATTTATGGCCCCGCGCCGTTGTGGTCCGGGAGGTACACGGATGCGATCCCGTGGCCGCGCGCGCTAACGTGCTTCACGCACCGTAATTCGGCCGATACTGCTAAGTCTAGCGGCGAGCGAGGGATTATCGAGCCGCATTATATTGTACTCGGGGAACGTATAATAAGCCGCGGGTATAAAGGAAGGTAATTAAGGCCGCGTCCGGGCATAACGCACGAAAAACTGATAATGGAGCATGGAGCGCCTCCGGTCTCGCGGATGAAGCTAAAAGGGAACAATAAGCCCCACGATAATCTGTCCGAAAATCGGAAAGGCCCTTCCCCTTCCTCCCCTTACAGAGACGTTTGTAGATTGTTACAATCTGATAAAGTCCGTTAATTGATACCTTCGGATAATTGAAATTATATGGAATACTTTTCCGATGATAAAAGAGTAATCATTTGTCTCTTCGTGGTTTCCTGATGACTATTAAATGAACGCTCGTTAATGTAATATATAATTTTATGGCAATTATTTACTCGATTATATATATTGGAAATTTATTACGACGTGCCATTTACGCGGTGTCCTCACTTTCCCCACTTGTACGAATATCTCCATCATTAATTTGTGAAATAAAATCAGTAGATGTACCATAATGATTATATTTATTCCAGCTCGTTATGCGGCACTCCACGGATGAGGTGTTTAAAGCAAGCTTTAAAGACTAGTATCGAGTGGCACATTCACGTCACTCAAAGACTCGAGATCTCGCGCAGCGTTGTAGATCTGTCTGTTACAACAGCGTAACGGATAATGGTCCGACTCAATCGCCAGTGCTCCGAATTATTGACGGAGAATATCGCCATCGGAGAAGGACTCGCTCGCGCGGGCTACGAAGCGAACGGATTTTCGATTTTCCAATGTTATAGTTTCGCGTTCATTTAAACATATGACAATATTTCTTGCGTAGTTTATAATCGGACACTTTAGCTGAAATGCACAAGAAAAGATGAGCAAGCATGAAGCATTGTTAAAAAAATGAGATACATCTCGCCGGAGAGAGAATCGTCTTGCCTCTCGCGTCGCTGGAGAAAGACTCGCGTTCTCGTTAATCTAAGCTGTCTAACGATATTCCAGCTTCGTTTACACCGTCGGTATACTTTTACCGAAACCCTGCCCGACTTTTCCGACAGCCGCGGAATAATTACGGGGCAATTTGTTTGCGGCGGGGAAACAGAGACGCCTCGTCGTTGGGCTCCGCCGCAAACCGGCTGTATAATTAAGGCCCGATGCCTCGGCGCAGCGTCGTCGTCTCCGTCCGACAACACGAGCGGGGGCAAGGCGGGCGTCATTTACGGGTTGATTAATTGCGTACCAGCCCGCCGCGATCGCATCCAGCCGCAATCAGTGGGAGCTGTCTGCCGGGAAGAAAGCGAATTGAGCTGAGACGGCGGCGCGGGCGTGAAACGGAATGATCCCAGATCCCGGGAAGTTCCGATAACCCGTTCTCCATGGTCCGCGGACTAAGGAAATAAAGAATCAAAATCAGGAGAATCTCGCGTGGAAATCGGACTCGATATCTCACCACGGGAATCCATCGAGTTTCGACGAGCGAAGCTTCTCTCTCTCTCTCTCTCTGTCTCTATAGGAAATTTCTCTCGTGAAATTTAATTAAAGCTAACGAGTAATTATGAATGCAACGAACGCACCGGTAAATGGCCGGTTAAGAGGACTATCACTGGATAATTCAAACCTTTTTGCTAGACAGAGACATAATTTTTGTCGGCTATCTCTCTCATCATTCCCTTCTATTTTGCGTTTATTAAACTTAACGAGCTTATCGGTATATAAAGCCCGATAATGAATCTGCCCGAGATATGCTCCGGAGTAAGATCAATAATTTGCGAACATACACCGAACGACGTAAACACGGCCCCCTTTGTTACCAATATATATCGGCCTATATAAGACGCGGAGCATACCAGATAAATTTCCCTTTGTCTCTCTCGCTCGCCCTTTTCTTTCTTTTTCATTATATAGAATCTTTGGTCGATACGAAATCGATTTTCCTTGAATGTCAAAAGTTAACCGCCGATGATGAACTTAGCCCCGACGGGGAAAATTGTTACTTCAATTGAATCAGAAAGTTTGAGATTTAATTATACGGGGACGCGATTACCTCTCTCGTCGATATTTTTACCGAGAAGAAAAAAATCTACTCCAAATTGACTAAAGCAACTACGGTTAACAGGGACGTCGAGTTTACACGGAGGGGCGAGGGAGAGGGGGATATAAAAAGGATGTTTTTATTAGAATAGACCAGCCTCGAGCTTCTATTAAAAACCAGCGATCCGATCGATTCCGTTCGACCTCGCCGACGATGCTAATTGTATAAGCAGCAGCGGCAGCGGCGACGGCGACGGCGGCAACAGCAGCATCTCGCGCGGCGGGAGAGATGCCGTGTCCGAGATATTAATTAGCACGGAGATACCGGATGTATATGCACACGGACGGGCGATACATATCTACCCAGGGGCTCTGGCGCGTCTCTGTCTGGCTACACCTGAAAAGCCATGCCTAAACCTACCCGCCGACGACGCTGAGAAGGTCTCAGCAACGCGATATATTGATTACGCCGTAGGGAAAGAGAACGAGAGAGCGAGAGAGAGAAGGAGAATATGTCGGAGTAGAACCAGAGTAACGCGGGGCGCGCCAAGCACGTCGGAGTAGAACAGCAGAATTCGTCGAGGTGCGCCGGGATATACGCCGAAATATGCGAATATATCACCCACCCCCTCCCCCCCCCTCCCCCTTATCGATCGCGCATAATCGTGGAGTTCGGAGGCAACAGCGTGGTCGGGGGCCGCTCCTTCGCGAAAATCCGAGAGAATTGAATTCAGATTAATCTGCAAATACTTATATGCGCGACGCGATCCCGTATATACGCGGCGGTATATCTTTGTCGAGCACTTGGGCGGCTAAACGGGGAGCACGATAATGGAACCGAGGAGCGCTGACCGATTCATCAGATTCATCGATCCCCAGAGAGAGAGAGAGCGAGAGTCGGTCTAATCGGGTTGTTAAAAAGATCACTGCTCTATTAAACGAATTAAATGAGATAGAGCTCGTCGACCGGGACGCGCGTATCTATGCCACTTGACGAAGTGGTGGACGTCGGACGAGGCACTTTCTGGTGTTCCATCCTGACCACAGTTTCGGCCGACGCAGCGCGAACACGGACGGGCTTGTTTGCGGCGGCGGGCAGGCTTGTGTTCCCTGGTTAGGTTCGATAATCAGGATGCGGGTAATCAGCCGTCTGCGCGAGAAGTGCGCGAATTGATCTTCGTTCTTCCCCCGGCCGACGCGCCGGTCTATATATAACATCCTTTTTTCAACACCCGACGGAAAATATAACGTAGCGGCTTCGATTAATCTCGTTAATTGAGCAGCCCATTTTGCATATATCAATATTATCGCATTGCCTCCATTCTTTCTTCCTAAAAAAAAAAGATGAAGACAGTTTAATTTCTATAATCGCGATAGCGTTACCGCGCGCTTCCAGAAAATCCAAGGGTACCCGTCGTCCTTCGGGGCGACATCAGGAACACGGAAAAGTACGCTTCGCTGATCAGCGCGACGACGCGACCGAGCTTGGCCGCGCGTAATCTCGTGAAAACTGGTACATCGGACTCGGTGCTCCTTCCGAGGCGTATAATTGCATTAAGCATCTATCTGATCGCCGCGCGGCGGCGGCGTGTATCCCATCTGGAGAGCGGCAGGATTTATGCACGACAAACCAAACCAACCCCCTCGGCTCGCCCGGTCTGGTTGCGCGGAAGAAGGGCGACGGGGGGTGCGGTAGCGCCGGCACGAAAGACGGTGGCGGAGCGCGCGCGTGAGACCCCGCGGGCTGCATTGGATATAATAAATTTCCACTATCGCGAGTTTGCCAACTAATCGGCCGCTTTTACCATTTAATTAAGGCTACCCGCCCGGCTCATCTATTGTCCGTGTCGCGTCAGCTCGGCGTGGCGCGCGCGCGCGCTTAATTACGCCCGCTGAAAATCAAGAGAAATTTCTCGCGCCCCGAATTCACCTGGGGCCTGGTGGCCTGATATATAAGCACAGGAAGAAACACAAGAAAAATTGTTTGAATCTCGTCCCCCGAATGCGTTCTTTCGTCGAATCTCGTTAGCTCTAAACTGTATATTGTCGAAGCTTTTTAATAAGAATGCTTGTACAACTCGAACGCGATGTATAACTCGGATGTAATTTATAAGAACAAAATTTCAGGGGAAGAGAAATAATAAAGTTTGAACCTTCTGCTTGCAATATATTATATATACTTAGCGCATACAACAATATGAAATATATAAATACAAAGCAAAACACAATACAAAATCTATAAATACCAAAACAAGCGCAGCTTTTTATTCAGCGTTGAAAAAATGTCTAAGAAACATCGTCGTTACTACAACGAAAATTGCGTTCCCCAATGAGTGCAGACGAAAAGTGACTTATTATTACAATAAAGTATATATCAATTGGGCGTATCAAAGCTTTATACACGAAGGAAAACATTTATATCTAGCGTTAAATGGTAATTAAATTTTGAATAAAAATTTTCAACGAGCATTGTGAGTAAATTTCTCGCAGAATTTTCATGAGCTTTGATAGATTTCTAATGAGATTGTAGTGTAAAGATATCAATCACGCGTCTAATATAAAAGAGGCATATTTCATCCTTTACGTAAATATAATTTAATAAGAGACATAAAATAACGTTACATATTCTTCGACCAACATTTCATTACTGTTTTCTTATGTTTAATTTTAATTATCTCTGACCTATTAATAAAACTAATGTTAATTAATTGCTATTAATGTTAATTGATATTATTAATTATTAATAATAAAAATTAATATTATCAATTAAATAATGCAACTATTAAAATATTTTAATATATAATATTAATATTAACGGTTAATATTATTATTTTTGACTTAACACAAATGCGTATTTTTATAGCTAAAATCTATTAACGTATGCAATATATTAATTATACAGAAAATATTATACAAAAGCCTATTTTTTTCCATGACTCGCATTTTTGTTGCAATAAAGTTATCTTTATAATGTTGATATTCACTTGCTCATATTGTTGATTTGCTAGAGAGTTGGTTCATTTCTCACTCCTTTGCAATTTAATTTGGTTATCTCGGCGGTGAAATTATGCAACTTATATGCGTTTACGATGGGATCGATGTGTGCGTCTGGGCTGTCCGGGGACAGTAAAATGAACGCGTATCCACCTCCACCATTATTTGCAAGCTTCCCCGCAAATGAAATTGACAAAAGCGGCGTAATAACATTACAAATAACGTCTAGGTTTGGATGCGACATGCCTAATGCACGTAGCAATTCTTGGTTCATGCGGATAAGTTTCTGCAAAGTATACGTTAAGAGATGAATAAAGTTTTCAGCTTATAATTATGTACGGCATTGTCTAAGAGATAGCACAATATATAGATAATATCGAAGTTTGCAGAATAAAGTTTACCGCTAATTGTACGTAGCCGTCCTTCAGGTAATCTAGTTTTTGAACTTTTAACAGATCTCTCTGACCTATCATTAGCTCCGTGTCGTCTAACGTAACTTTAATCTTGTTCACTACATTGTCGATGTTACTCTGGATGGACTTGATGAACGGAAACGATTGCTTCATACTCTCCATTTGTTTGTTTTGCTCGGATATAAGTTTATGGACATTCGAGTAAACCAGCGCGATCTTCATGCCCGGAATTCCTTTACCAATTCTTTCAATATTATAATACCGCAAACGTTCATTCGTCGGCCATGCGTTCTCGAATACATATATCGAACCGTACACGGATATGACGGAGTCGATCAGTCTAGTCGGGGACTTGAATATAATGCGTTCACACTTTTGAACGTAATAACGAATTCTTGACAAATCGCGTTGGTTAAAAACATCTTTCCGAAACAACCAACGATAAAAGCACGCCGCGAGGCATGTCGCGAATGATGCGGAGCCACCCAGGCCCCCTCCAATCGGCAATTTCGTCGATATTTTCACGCTCCAGGATGATTGTGTATAAACCCATATTTGATCACCACGGGAGACAAGAATGAGAAGTAAAAAGAACGCTTGTAAGCTTAACAGGTGCGCGCGATCGTTGCAGTCGTAATTATCACTACGTCCGAATACCTCCCGTGATAATTGGTCAACAAAATTTCTTACGAGGTTACGCAAGTTAGCCTCAGTGAGTTGATTGTTACACCCCAGCTCAAAAAAGCTCTCCGTTGCGCTTAAAGGTATCCGCGCATATAACCGGATACTCGTGAAATTTATTTCTATGTGACCTTCATTTTGAGCTTTTGGAGTTAAAGAGAATATGAGTTTGGTACGTTGGTCTAAGCTGGCTGCTATGCACAGTTTGTTATATCTCATAGGATCTCCGCTTAAGAACACCCTGCCCGGTGCGGATATGGTAAACTTGTACATGCTTCGCGCGAAAAAAAAACTTTCCAGTATCCAGAAAATTGTCCGAATGTGATAGATTATGGAAAATTGGATCGCGCGTCAGATTGCGCGTCTCTCTCGAAGATGATCAGAATGAGGATATCGGCCACAAATAATATTTATCACTCTTTCGTGGTTGACTGTGGCAGAGGTAACTCGTCACCAATTCGTTATCGCGCTCCTCTGTCCACAAAGGAAATTTAATAAGATTCAACAGTTGGTTTCTCAACTTTTCCCATTTTCCTGTCGATGTTAGCGAGACAGCGTAAATTTTCTTCACTTCTTTCTATACGCACGACCCTAGATTACATACTTTGCGGTTATTGAAACTCACGAAGTTTTCGTTAATGTCGTCGTGAGAAGACATTAGGACGTATACATAATTTAAATCTCACACTATTTTATATATAATTCGAGAGTGATATATTACTTACGATGTAAAACAACAAAGGCTTTCCTTAAAACAAATCCACGACAACGATTAAAGTTTAGCAATTAGAAATTTAGTAACTGCCAAATTGATTTGTCACCTTTGATATGTTGCAGACAATATTTTTCAGAGTGATGGCTAAAGGAACGTGGATAATAACGACTTCTTTCTCAGCATCAGTTTAACGGACTATGAAAATGACACGCGCGGAACATACATAAACATAAACAATATAAACATAAACACAATTTCTGACATTGTTAGGCTTGTCTATCAAGAAGCGACAGTTAAGTTAAATGTCATTGAATAAATATAACAATTAATATACTAATTTATAATAAATATAATAATACACTAAATAATTCACAATGTAATATAATGATATTAAACACATATGACATTTTGTTCTGTTAACAGTAAAGAATATCGTTTTTTACTTTTGTTACTATCTAAAATGTATAAAACATATCCACCGGTATTTTGTCTTTGAATACTACTACTATATCGAGGAAGCAACTAATAACAACAACATACCGCGAGCTATCCAAATCTTCGCCGATCGCCAATTCCGTCGACATTTTTACGTTAAAAAATAATTTCATACTAATGTTTTTATCACGTGATAAGAATGAGGAGCGAAAAGGACACTTGTTAGTAGGTCAACTGGTGTGCGCGATTGCTGGGTTCGTATATACTGCTGTATTCCTTTAACGAGTTGATAGGTATAATCTCTTTATTGTCTCACACAATTCAATACCAATGTACGCGTAATTAGCATTATCGTCATAGAAATGCATGGAAAATTTCAGGTAGCGAAGTGAATGCAAGTGTGGTGCGCACATCTATAAGCTGGCTGCAAGTTTTGTTAAACATCAACATGAATTCTCCGTGTAAGAACACTGGTACCGATATCCCAAGTAGCACAGCAAGTCACAATAAAGTCAAAATGATGTCAAAATGACTGCAAAATGACGATTTTTGATCATTTTACCATCATCTTACCATCATTTTGACGTCATTTTGATTTTATTGTGACTTGCTGTGCTACTTGGGATGTTAAATTTATACTTGCTTTTCACAAAAAAAAATTCTAGTATTTAGAAAACTAGGGTAATGACGAGTGATAGATGGTAGGAAATCGGATTTTGTGTCAGATTACATGTCACTTTGTGAATGTACGGAATCGATAGCCCGCGGATTATTATATTTATCATGTTAAAGAAATTAAAAACGCTGATAAATAATGCCGACTGCCGACAAAAATAACTCGTCACCAACTTATTATCGATCCTCTATTTATATGTGAAGGAGATCTAGTGAGATTCGATAGTTCTCGACTTCTCCGAATTTTCTGGTTCTTTTAGCGAGACAGCCTGAGTTTTTTTTATTTTTTTTATGCTTGAATTGTACATATATTTTTTATTATTGAAGCTCTTTATTGAAATCTATATGAATGTATATACATCTGAGTATGTATGACATATTACTTGTAATAGCAAGGGCTTGAAACAGATCGGAGACGACGACTAATTTAGCAATTCTAATTTAGCAATTAGAGATTCAGCAACAGTCAGATTAATCTGTCACCTGTAAAATACGACGTACTGCTAATATCTTGCCAGAGTTTAAAGGAACATGGAAAATAATGATCTTTTTTCATAGTATCAAAACATAGCAAACAATATTAAGATATATAACACACGTAGAACATTCATAAAGATAATTATAAGCTCTTAACTTACGATCGAGACATCGATGTATTATAAAACAAGTGATTTATAAAACAAGAACTTTTCTGTACTTCATTAAGAGTAGCAAAAATATACAAAGTATAAATAATTAAAGTAGGATTTGAAGATCTACCAAGAAGGATTTGAAGATCTCATGAAAGAAATATCGATAGCCCGTAACATCGATAGCTCGCCGTATTTAAAAGCAAACCTCGTGTGTCGCACATGCGTGTGACGTCGACGGGATTGTGGCATTTAAAAATGGCGTAACAGATCCGGCTGAGAAAGCTGAGGTTAGGATAATAAAACGAAGTGTCTTTTTGTATATGAATTATGTCCGTACTTAGCGCGAGAATGAGGCGATTGTTTAAGACGAGCGGGTTCACCCTGCGGACTTACGCAGAATTCTGCCGCGCGATGTGGCTGAGGGGCATGAAGAGCGCCGCGAAGCAGAGCTATACGAAAACCGTGCTGCTACCGCAGACCAATTTCCCGGCGCGACTCAGCGGCAGCAAACGGGTGGAGATGGACAGTTATTTGCTAGAGGTGGATTTTTCGTCTATCTACCTTTTTTTTCCACTCCAAATTAGAACCTCTGTCCTGCGACAGAAGATCGCTAAATGTTTGCATGTCTGCAGTGGCTCCCTGTGTTTTTAAATAGAATTTTGTATCTAGCGTTGCTCGCAATTTAAATAACGTCACCGTGTAAATTCTGCAGTTATGATTTAACTGTACAAAACAATTCAAGCATAATTTTGCATTTTGCGTTAAGAATATAATTAAGCTTTTTGTAGCATAATTTTCATGCTATAATCTTTTGGCATTTTTATGACAGAAATGTGGCTTCTTGGAATTGTACAACTGGCAGAGGAAGAATCTTGAGGGGCCGGACTTTATTTTGCACGACGGACCGCCGTATGCAAACGGAGAGCCGCACATGGGTCATGTTATTAACAAGGTTTTTATTAATAAAGAATTTTAGGTGGTACATTCTTTTTTGTTACACCGATATTTAGAAATTATTTTTATTCACTTAGGTCCTTAAGGATATTACACTGAGAAGCAAGATTATAACAGGCAGAAGGGTGCATTACGTCCCAGGTTGGGATTGTCATGGCTTACCAATTGAACAGAAAGTGCTTAGTGACATAAAAGACGACAGTCCCTTAGAGATTCGCCGCAGAGGTATGTCGAAACATAAACGTCGCAAGACGTCGTATTTCCTGTTGCTTTAAAATTTGCTATATCGCAGCTAGAAGATATGCAAGCGACGCTATAGCGAAGCAACGACAAGCTTTTACGTCGTGGGGCGTTGTGGCTGACTGGAACGAATCGGGATGTTATTTCACGAATCATACCTCGTACGTGAAGAACCAGATGCAACAGTTTATAAATCTGTACGACAAGGGGCTCGTGTTCAGAGCCTTCAAGCCAGTGCACTGGTCACCGTCCTCCAGGTACAAATTAGGAATATCCGTAGATCCATTCTAAAAAGATTCCTTCAGTCTTTAAATGTTTTTTCTTTCTGATAATCGTAGAACGGCGTTAGCAGAATCAGAATTGGAATACGAGTCTCACGTGAGCAAGAGCGTTATTGTTCGCATGCGACTTGACACACATGCATTAGCCTCGAGATTAAAGAACTTTGAAAATAAACCACTTTACGCTCTTATTTGGACTACTACTCCATGGTCATTGCTGGCTAATCAAGCTATAGCTTTCTCCAGTGACATTGTATACTGCATTGTGGAAGACAATTCGAAAAATCTGTATATTCTTGCACAAGAGTGCTTACCATATATTGAGCAGAAGCTTGGTCTATTAAAATTAATTACAACTATTACGGGTAATATTTGGCTACATTCGAACACTTTATCTTCATAAATATGTAGCGACTGTGTAATAAATGAAAGATGATTTATTAACAGGGCAGGACTTAAGCGAAGCCAAATATCTTCATCCCATTACAAAACAACGTTTGCCATTCTTACCTGGACAACACGTTACAACCAGTGTCGGTACTGGATTAGTTCACACAGCACCCGCACACGGTCCCGAGGACTTTCTCATTGCAATTGAGAATAATATACCAGTGGTAAGGCATCTTTCATCGGTGACAATGTAATTTATATTCTAATCAGTCGTATTATAACGATTTTAACGGGTCAATCCGCGTCGTTGTTTTAGTTATCTTTGATAGACGAAGAAGGATGTTTCACCAAAGAAGCGGGCGACGAGTTCTCCGGCTTAGATGTCCTAAACGATGGCGCTAATAAGATCTTGCAGCATATCGGTGAAGACGTGTTGCATGCTGACACGATTACGCACAGCTATCCGTACGATTGGCGAACCAAGAAGCCCGTGATTATCCGCGCGAGTCACCAATGGTTCATAGACATAAGGTCTATCAAGGAGAAGGCGATTGTAAGTTTGCCGGGTCTTTCTGAAAACAAGCATGTTACTACGAATTCATCACTCGTGTGCTTATGTCTTTTTTACGCAAGGACAGCATCGCGAATATAAGGATATACCCGGAGCAAAATCAGGCGTCGTATTTGAACGCGTTGATCGCACAAGTTAAGCAACGACCCTATTGGTGTATTTCTCGACAACGGTCCTGGGGAACGCCGATACCAGTGTTGCACAATAAACGAACCGGTGATACGTATACGAGCAGGTGATTGCTGATTGGCAATACAATTGATTGAAGTTTTGCGATATGGGAACAGGATTGCTTACAGGATACTTTTGTATTGCAGAAAATGGGTCGAGAGACTGTGCAGACTGATGGAGCGACACGGTACCGACTACTGGTGGGAGCTATCGACCGAAAAATTAATTGGTCGCGAGCTTCGGCAAGAATTGAATGACGATATACAAGATTTGGAGAGGGGAACCGTATGTACAAAACTAATTATCTCTTTTAGGCTGCCGTCCACTTGACGCTACAAATGCTTTGGAGCGTTCTTCTCCTTCTTTCTTCATTGAAAGAAAAGAGAAGAGGAATGCTTCGAAGCATTTGTAGCGTCAAGTGGACCGCAGCCTTAATGGAATTTAGAATGTCAGTAATGCATGACTGCATGATTACATTTCTTGAAGGATATCATGGATATCTGGTTGGATAGCGGTCTCTCGTGGTCGGCCGTTTTGCCGGAACATAAAGCAGATTTGTATTTAGAAGGAATGGATCAATTTCGCGGTTGGTTTCAGTCATCATTACTAACATCCATTGCTCTTCAAGATCGTTCTCCCTACAGGTAGCTCATGCAACGTGAAATTAAATATCGGCTCTCATATATACTTATATATTCATATTGTTCTTTTCAAAGCGCGCTATTCGTGCACGGATTTGCTGTGGACGATAAAGCCTCGAAAATGTCGAAATCAGTTGGGAACGTCGTAAATCCAGAGATAATTATCAAAGGTGGAGAAAATTTGAGTAAAGATCCGGCGTATGGCATCGATACTCTAAGGTCAGTTAAAAATATTCACTGATTTGATAGCGATCGTCAAAAATAAAATATGTTGAGTTAATAAAAAAAATTTTTTTATAGATGGTGGGTGGCTAGTCACGGATGCCAACACAGTCAGGTTCCGGTCACGACCGCGTTGTTGCGCGAGAGTCATGAAACTGTACAAAAATTGCGCTTAGTCTTACGATTCCTGTTAGGCGTTTTACATTCGTACAGCGAAGGAATCACAGTCGAACCGGAATATCTCTATCTTGACAAGTATATGCTACACGCTCTGCATGAATATAATAAAAAGGTAAGGTTGTAAGCTATATTTAAGAAGTATTCACGTTATTCATGATATCGATCCTCTGTCTTACAGATTCAAAACTTGTATGACAATTATTTGTATCATCACGCGTGTAAATTGGTAACGAATTTTCTGGCGAACACCGTGTCGCCGGTATACTGTCACTTGATTAAAGACAGACTTTACTGCGACGAAGCAGCATCCCCGACGCGTCTGGCCGCGGTAGAGGTGACGCGCGCAACCCTGACCGTATTTGCAAGGTCCATTGCGCCGATCGTGCCACATTTAGCAGAAGAAGTGTGGCTGTACCATCCTGAAAACTTGGGTAAGCGACTTAACAAAAAAGCGTTTTCCACATTGTATTACCGTTCGCATATTATTTACAGCGTCAGTGCCATTGTATCATACTGAATATAAAGTATCGGAAACTTGGCATCGACCAGAAATTGCTAGACACGTAGAAACAGCTTTAAACTTGAGAAGCAAGGTGAACATATTGGCTGATCGTAACACGTGGGAATTGTCGGCCACCTTAACAGCTTCAAAGGATGACTATGAATCGCTCTCGGTTAGGAACTTTCTATAAATCATAAATTATATTAGTCTCCGAGTCGCAATAATAATGATCAAACGTGACTACTATAAATCGTATCTGCTTATTCTTGCAGATTCTCCAAAAAGATCGAGAATCCTCTACGTCAGAATTATGCGACATTTTGCAACTGTCGTCAATTACATTGATAGAATCACCCACGGAAACCGAGACGCAGGTTGAGTTACATAATATTGAAAAAATACTCTGTCAAAGGTGCAGGAGACATCCTGAATTAGATAAAAACGGTCTCTGTGGACGTTGCGTTAAGGTACTCGACGTGGCGAATGTATCATCGATATCCGTGTAAGCGTAGTGGTCGGCTATTTCTTAACTATCGCCCATTTTGCTAAATAAACAAATATAAAAGCGTATGTCTTTTTTTTTCGAAAATTAAATTACTTTTAATGAATCCCGATACCTACGACAGAGAGATTACTGATATTCTTTTACATTCAATACAACGATAATAAAAGAAGACACGACGGAATTTAATCACAGTGCTATTGTTGCTTTGTCGTTAAATCGTACATGTGATTTATATTCAAAGCATTGAGAAAATGCGTTAGATGCGGCTGGTACCCGCTGGTGGCCAACTTGTGCGCGACGTGTGCCATATATGTCCGCCACTCGCAGAACGACTGGTACATTTGCTCCAAGTTCTTGTAATTCGGATGGCTGTACCGACCCGCGCTGCCGACGGTCCAAGCTTGCGATCTCAAGCGATTGTGAAACTTCAATATGATTTTAAAAATGTTAATCAAGCAGACGCGCATCTTTTCTCCGCGCGTGTTGAGCATGCACCTGAAATCGGAACGCTGTAAGTTATATTTGTATTCGGTCTCGAGGAAAATCGATCGAATGACAAAGACTACCTTGAAAGTATCCTTTTAATGTAGCTCATGTGCGAAAGATAGATCTGATCTATTGTCCGGGAATTCTGCAGATCTTTCTCGAACTCATTCCAACTCGAGTTCAGGACGCTACACGTCAAATAATTGTGAAGAGCATTCGTGAATTGTGTCATCGAGTGCCTGTATAACTGTAACTGCATCCAAAAACGAACAAACTCAGTAAGAACAATTTCTTAACGTTATCTCCACAATATCCACGATAAACGGTCTACCTTGTGATACTGCTCTGAATTAACTGCGTTACGCTGCACCTTCATTATATTAAAGTCTTCCTGTAGTACCCACGACATTCTGCCAATCATGATTAAAAACTTGAACACCTTACTGTATTGCAGCATCATAGTGTCATCCAAGATAATATTCAACGGCCATGATATTTTGTAGTTGAGGCAAAGGCATTCCAAGACATTCGGATCTGAAATCTGCGAGAAACACTATTATTAATATCGGAGCAAGTATCATCATAACAGTTTTAAACAAATGATTGCGCTTACGTATAACTGACACGGTTTGTCGACGGCGGAAAGGCTCAAAAGTTCCGAATTGGCGTAATTATTGCTGAGCGAATTCATCAGCGCTTTTTCTAAGAGATTCGTGAGGGTGGCGGAATTGAAGAGCTCGATCGGCGCGGATATCGCATAAAGCCGCGAATAAAGCGAGTCCGTCAGACTCTTCGCGAATTCGCCGTTCAACAGAAAGAAATAACTGCGTAGACTGTGCAAGTGCGAAAGCATGTTGTGTTCGTTCACCAGGTATTTAATAATCGCGTTGTTAACCAGCCGGCTTTGTATCTGCAGGGGAATGATGATGGATTTTTCCAAATACACTTTGAGAGATGTATGATCGATCATCTCGACATCCGCTATGGTCAGAGATGAGGGTGCGACCGACGATTTCGCGTCGAAACCACCGCCGAATAGATTCGGCAGCTTGAAATTAGTGCTCATCGGAGATTCGAAGCACGTTTCTTCCGTGATCGATTTTGTCATGTCGTCGGATAAAGACGAGACTTCCTGGCCGGCGTTTAAAGCGAATATATCGTCGCTATTCGGTATCTGCGACAAAGGAGTATGCATCGATGCCGTGGTGAAATTGTCGGTCGTACACGACATCGGTGTGTCTATATTATTCTGCTGCTGCGTATTATTCAATATCGGCTCGTGGGCTTCATTATTTGCATTATTCTTACTTGAACACTCTTCGTCATTCGTAGGCACGTTCGCCGTTTCTTTCGGCAATTCGATATTGGTTGTCGAAAGAACATTATTGTTCGCGTTTTCCTTCGTATTATCCGAACTTGATTCGCTACTGATATCAATTGATACCTGATTATTGCCGTTTGTATTTGCGCGATCAATAATTCCTTGATTGTCCGTGAGTATCGTACTGAGCTCATTGTTATTCGGAGTAGTCATACCGTACTCTTGCATCAAGACTTTAAGTTTGTTGGTTTGCGCAGTCGTCATATTATCTATCCTCCCGATAGCTAAAGACTTAGGCCTCTTAATAGCACCAATGATTCTCTCCGTCATCTCGTCGGTTTCTAAGATATCGTTTAAACGAGTATTGAGCGCACTCGTTTTTTTATCATCACCGTTCATTATAGTATGGATACTTTTCATTGCTTCGTCACGCAGAAAATCCTGTAAGTTACTCCTTTCGTTATTCTTCTTGTAGATCTTGTATTTTAATGGTAGAGATTCTTGCGGTAGATGTTCTGCGTTCTGCGTATCCGCTGTCACGAGGGAATCGTTATTTGTAATTTCTTCACTTGTAATTTCCTTGTCCGATACACCATCTTTATCGAGCTCACGATCTTCGACGGGCGAGACAGGCGGGACATCCGTGTCGACGCATTCGGCGGCCGATAGATTTTCTTTAGAATTGCTCTGATCGGAAACGTCTGTCGCAGCTACATCCAACGGTCCGTTTTCCGCAAAGTTGCTATTTTCATCTTGGCTGGACACCTCGGACGTGGTATTTTCATTTTGTTCGTCGACGACCGTATTTTCATTGGAACTTAGTGTGGCGGGATTTTCCGATATTTCTCTATCGAGTCTCTTTACAGATTTCAAATATTCCACTCGTCTTTCGAAATGACTCATTCTCGCCTTTCGCCAGATGGATCGTGCACGCTTGCTCTCTATATCGGCAGTTAACGTGTCATAGTAGTTTATAAGATTTTCCCTGAAACAAGCAACAATTAATGCCATAAATATTTGAAACTAAAACCAGCGATCATTTTCCAGTGACTTTTATTTAAGATATTAAATCTCACCGCTCGGCCCGTTGTTGCTCCCGTATTTCTTCCTGCTCTCGATTAATCTGTTCGAGCAACAATTTATCAGCTAGCATTTCGTTCACCTTTTCCCTTTCTTTACTCAAGGCGCTCGCTTCCGCCTGTTGCTTCAATTCTTGCAGCAACTCCCGTTTACTTTGCGCGGCCTTCATTGAAAGTTCCTTGCGTTGCTCTAAAGGAAACAATTATCACGGTAGTTAAATACGTACATTCTTTAATTTAGAACGCGATAAAAACTGAAGATGTAAGAATATTACTGTCCAGCCTCGACAACGTTTCCTGTTGCGCACGTATGACGAGCTCAGCCGTTTCCCTCTCGGCTTTCTTCTCGTCCTGAATCGCGGACAAAAGTGATACGATTGGTCCCAATGCCGCCTCGCCTTTACGCTCGTATTCCTGACACCTCAACAACTGCTCTCGCAGCATGGATACACTCAAGCAGACCCTCACTTCCGGTTGAGCATTGAGAGACGCGTTGCACACGGGATTCTAAAATGCAAACATCGAGAGATCTTTTTATTGATTGAAATCGATGAAAATTAACAAGCCTCGGGGTCATAAAAAATTACCTTTGGACTGCAAATTTTTAAGAGTCGCAACGTTTTCCCGCATTGCAGTATCGACTCCGACAATTCGGATAAGAACCCGGGTACCGATTCGGTATCGATCGCGAAACTCTCCGTCCAAAATTTACGTCCTCTCTTTCGCAGATAATGAGACCGTGCTTGAATCATAAATTCTCCGTAAACGTCATCGCACGTTCCCTCGAACAACCAATTTTGCAACAACCTACAAGAATAATTGGTAAATATTCGTCCGATTTAATATTCTTTTTGTGAAGAATAAAAAAAAAAGATGTGACGTTTTCTCACCGAAAGTAGACTTCGCAGCACGACTTTAATATGGAGTAAAGCACCAACGCGACCTTAGGATTGGTGACTTTGGCCACTTCTTTGTAAATGTGCGTCAAAATCCCACTACCGCCGCCCAAGGTGCACTGCGTATTCGCGTTACAACCGCATAGCTTTGCGACTTCCACAATTAAATGCGCCAACGGACGAATCTGTTTAAACAGGCTCAACAATCCATGAAATTCGCATCGGTTGAGAATCCTCTGCAACGCCGAGCGATAGTAAAGGAGTAGCTCTTTAACGCTGGCGCACATTGCCTGCAATTGTATCATATGTAATTTAAAAAGATGAACAGACACACGTCGTAGCGCGAAAAAATTGTATTACGCACCTTGAATATGAGACCATCTTGCTGCAATTTACCCGTTTGCGGATCGGGCACGACAAGGCGTGACAAGGACCTGAAACTGTTGCCCCAACAAACCGCCTCTTGGCAAGTAATCCCCAGCGCCTCGGAGCTTATTCCGTGCACAGTGATGTTCTCCTCCAATTTAAATCCCGTCTGAAACAGGACTTATCATGACTTACAGGCATATAAAACGCGCGGTTGCGCTAGCGTGATTCATCAAATTCCACGTACCACGGTATCGTATCTAAAGGTATCCGAATCTATACCGAATAACAACAATTTGACGTCCGACAAAAATTTCTCGGACGAAACCTCCCGCATCAGGGATACGGAACGCATTGCCTATAACACAAAGGGAACAATTTTTGCATGATATATTTGCACAAGCATCGTCGTCTTTACCTTCTTTGGCAGCAGTGATAAAATACTTGTTTGTCTTATCCTCGCCAGGTGCAGCGCGGTCTCGGGCAGATCTGTGACAAATAGCGACTGCTTGGAAAGCTCCGGCGCTCCGAGGGATTCCCACGTTCGTAACTTGGAAATACGATCATCGGAAAATAATACCTCTTTCCATATTAAATCGGGAATACTTCCGATGCTTTTTGATTCGTTCGTAAAACTACGATCGGAATTGTCCGACGGCACAGCACAGAAACGATTTTGATTATCTACAGGCTTTATCCATTCGCAAGGTAAAGTCATGTTTGACATAAATCTTTGAGTAGACAAATATATCTTATTTGTTTGTTCAACCTGGTAAAAAAGATACAATTCACATATAATCGTAAAAAAAAAAACACATGTATCGAAAAATGCAAGATATATCCTACCATAATATGTGCTAAGAAGGGAGTAACCATGCTACCATGTTTTGTAGAATTCTCAGTACAGCTCGATATGCAGGGAGTCATTTGTATAGCATTATTATACCTAAAATAATATATCGAAAAATCCTTGAAAAATATATGTTACGTATATATAGAAAATAAGAAACGCTAAGACCATGTGATCGTACCTAATTGTTTGGATCCCTAGGATGGATTTTGATACACACTGATCTTCGAAAGATACTCTGCTAACAAAATTGGTTGCCGTATCCTGCCTGGTACAGGTTCTGCGTATGCCCAGCATCGCCTCAAACTTCTCTGGCAGGATAAAGGATTCCATGGGATATGTTTGAAACATTGGTACGCCATTTGTAGATATAACATCCTCAGGTAAGAAGGGATTGGTTTTTCCATAGTGAAATACGTCCTAAGCAAAATTCGATTCACGTTAGCTTTGGTATAAATCCTGAAAACCGATTACCTGACCAAATTAGAGCAAAATAGATACCAATGCAGCCCCCGTGTCGGTCTGAAAGTTCTTAAGCTCGATCAGCAGCCGTAAGGTGGAAATTACAGCGTCGGTGTTACCCTCCTGAGTATACAACTTGCTTATCAAACCTTCTAACTCTTTCGCCTCCGACGCACGTCTCAGGGACAGCCTGAGCACGAAGGCATGCTTCAGTATCTCCACCAGGGGATCAATCTCAGAATCTGCTGCGTTCTCTGCAATTGTGTTCGACAAAGCGCTATCATTTAAATACCTACATTGTTTTGTCTTTTCATTTAAACTTGTGCCATCGACCTGAGGCACATAAGTACCTTGATCATACGTCTTGTTACTCTTGTTTAACAATATCTCGTAAGCCTTCGAGCGAAAGCTCCTCACTATTTTGACGTCGCTCGTGGGTGGCACGTAGGCGCTCCCATTCTCGGGGCGATTCCTCCGCAACGTGTGCCTGACCAACTCCGTCACAAGCTCGTAGATACTGGCGTTGCCCCGTTCTGGATCCATGATCGAAGTACTCCGTCAGGCGATTGTTGATTAACCGTTGCGACGAGTCGCGGGAGACGGCGATTATTTTCATAGTGCCATAGTCAGCCATAACAACGCGACTCGCGCGGAGTAGAGAAGACATCTGGCGGCGAGCGTGAAACGGCTCGTAAAAAAAAAAAAAAGGGAGAGAAAGGGAGAGAGTAAAGATGTAATCAGTAATCAGTTAATTACTGGCGAGATATACGGGTCGAACAAAAAAAGTTGAGAACCGAAATCTCGATCGAGCGAGACACTCCAATCCCTCGGGGCAATCAAATTCAAAAACTGATTTAGGAAAAGACGAAGCACGTGGAGATACAAAAAAAAAACAATAAATAAACAAACACGACGGAATGACGACTTGTAATTAGTATTAATTTTATTGCGTTATTATACATATGCACACATACATGCACATCGTGACATCGAGAGGTGTGTGTATATATATGTGTATGTCGCGCACGTGTGCTTGTTACGCATATATCGATTGTTCGCGACACACGTGTACACGTGCGCGCGCGCACCATGCCGCGTGTACACGTATCTCGCACACGTATGCACGTATATGTATAATAATAGTTGACATACGTCGCTCGCGATACGTATGTATCAACACTGTACAGCGTGTAAATCCGTCTACCGGTAATCGTCCGAAAGCCACCCCCTTTTGTTGTGCCTCGTGTACACGTCCGACTAATAGAAAAATAAACGCTTCAGATAAGAACCGCCTTCGTACGCCTCGCTCTCGCGAAAGGTGCGAAAAATAAATTTCGTTTTTCCTTCCCTTTCTTTTTTTTTCCTTGCCTCTTTATTGCACCATGCTCCTCTCTTTCCGATCTCCGTTATATAACAACTACGCTCAATCCTGCTCGCCCCTCCTTGCCGCCCCGCCGTTAAGTCTAACGCTACTTATGTGTCGTTTTTCCTGTTTTTTTTTTTTTGTGTTTATTTTTATCTTGTCTAACGCCGATGTTCTAGGGGGATCGGCGAGTTTACGATTAACTACGATTGCACGAGAAAAAGTAAACCGATCGCTGGAGAAATCAGTAATCGAGTTTGGCATCATTATCGTCGACCGCAGCTACATCCCCTCCGACATCGCTCCGCGACTATCTCACTTAAATTTTCAATCCAATCTTCCTTCTCCATTTTATATATGTATATATAATATGTATATTATTTATATAATATATTATTATATACATATATCTTGTCTTTTTCTTTTAATTCCTTCAGAAACAATTTCTTCCAATATTAAAAACGAAAAGACTATTATAGATGATCGATTTAGGTGAACCGTCCTGTTGCGACAATCGCCCATTCGAAAGGCCGCGAGAACTTTGGAAAATTGAAAAAATCCTCGACGCGGAAGATATCTCTCTCCCTCTCATTCGCCCGACTTGTGAACGCGCACGTGAGGGAAATAGCGTTTATAAAATAAGTGTTCCTGTGTTCAGCCGCGCGATCAGCTAGAATTAGGTTCCACTACACCATAAAATCGCGTCCCTACTTTTACACAATGTAAAATATTATAAGGCTCTATTTTTGTTTTCTCTGGCTCTGGTAACAATCTCTAACAGAGACCATCGCGTCAACGCTACAGAAGCTCGTCATGATTCGTCCGCCCGTTTCTTTATCGGTCTTCTCGTTGTCGCACTGATAGCATTTCGTGTCTTATCTTGCCCTCAGATAAAACGATTGAGCGTCTTAAAGAGCGCTAATTGTAATAATAATAATCTATTTTTTTTTCTCGCTCTTCTTATCACTTTGCCTATCGTTAATCTGCAGTCTAGTCGCGATGACGACGCCAAGCCGGTGCAAGCAATAATACGAAAAACAGAAATCGCGCGAGTGAAATGGATGTCGGTCAGCGGATTCAGCTATATGGATAAATCGCTATGGATAAAACACTTTTTTTCTCGCTCCATTCGGTTGGATTACACTGAATAACACTCTCGTTTCTTCCTCTCCTCTCTTGTCTATTTTATATATCGGCTAAACGCTGAATGGCACACGTTACCGCATCACATTATTGCAATTTGATGTGTCAGCGCAACAGCTGATGTTACTATTTTGGATGACCTTCGATCAAATAAGCTCCATATACATATATACTATATCTTCTGCCGAAGTTAACAAGTCATAAAGAGAAAGCATTTAATAAAGTATATATATCTTATGTACATTGACTGTTGTTGAGGAAATCATGTCGAGAACATGAAGCCTAGGACAGGAAAAGTGTCTTCTGCGCTCGTCGTTCTTTCTCTCAGTGGTTGATTTTCTTTTACGGACTCGTACACACAACAGTTTTCTCGTAATTCTCGCGAGAACATAGAACTGACGCTCGATCTCGATTATGTGCAGTCTAAAGCGGGTTATGCGGTTAAAATAAAATGAAGTTTGCAGTGTGTGTGTTCGACGACAGGCAAATAATGTAAATGTAATGTTCTACGTAACAGGATGCTAGATATATCAGTTCAATGATCATCCATTTCGTGGATACGTTGACGTTTCGATTGCGATGGCTGGTGTTCAGGAGGCTCGGGGCTCTCGACGATCGCGAGCGGGGCCGGTGAACCTGGCGAGCTGTCCGATTCTTCATGAGTGCGTTTGCTAATCCCCCCAATGCCAGCATCGGGGCTGATAAAATTTCCACTGTTGCGAAACAAAAAATACACACGAAATTGTAAATGAAGTACGTCGATAAAGCCGCGGGTATCGGTGCAAATTGAATAATTCGTAACGTAACGCCTTTCTAACGCAAATCGTACCTGTAATTATATGTTGTTTGTACAATAACAGGAGCTGGACTGTATTGGCCAGCTGGAGATAAAGAATGGTCCTCTACAGCGTTCCCAGGCACCAAATATTTTTCTGTTCCAAGAAACGAACCGTAAGGTATCTTAGCGATAGAAAAAAAAAAAGAAATCTTTTAGATTAAACGACGGAAAGAAATTCACCTTCTCTTCCTGTGGCATCGCCACTGACACCATTTGTTACCACTGTTTGCACCAGGCGTCCCTTGTGAGTTGTCTGAGACGATGTATACGGATGTCCAGGAGAGCCAGGCGCCGATTGACTCGTCGCGAGTTGCCCAGCCGGAGAGGATACCGAGCTGTCCGGATAAGATTCGGGTCCTGGGGAAGCCTCTCTGCTTAGACACTCGGGCGTGATTAATCCACTAATTCCTACGTGGGACGGCGAAGCCGGGGCACTTCTGCTGAAAACAGGTGATAATATATTAAACGATTTATCGATCGATACAGACAATTCACAATACGGGACTTTTTTTCAACATTACCTTGATGATAACGTCCCGAAGGGCGCGCGGAAACAAGGTACACCACGTTGCCGTCTTCGTCTGAATGCCTGCTCGATAAGTTTGGTTTCCGATTGGGGATCTATCTTCCAGAACGACCCTTTCCCCGGTTCTTCCTGACTTCTGGGTACTTTGATGAAATATCGATTCAACGACAAATTGTGCCGTATAGAATTTTGCCAGCCCTTATCCGCGGTTCTGTAGTAGGGATAATGCTTGGTGATGTACGAATAGATCCCTGACAAGGTGAGCTGTTTATCGGGCGCCGAAGCGATCGCCTGGACGATCAATTGCGCGTAGGAATACGGCGGTTTCGAGTCGTCCTTCGGTGGACTGTATCGCGGCGCTGTGCCGTTCGGTCCTGAACTGTTACCACCTCGATAACGCGCGTCGGCACCGGGCTCCGGGCTTATCTGCCTGCTAGAGCTCTGCCCGCCGTCGTGCCTCTCCAAGTTGTGCCTATCCAAGGCGGAGCTCTGCGAATCGTTCGCCACGGCAGCGGCGGCGTACACCGCGGCCATCTGTAAGTCCGCCGAGATGTTTCTCCTGCCCTGGCCGGCACGCGGACTCGCTGGACACGAATTAGCGGCGCTTATCGTGCCCGTGGGCGACGGGAACGGGCTGCTATATCCGGCGTCCGGGATGTTTATTCGCAGGGGAGGCAGCGGTGCCCGCTGCTTCGGCGGCGACGGCACGCGAATGTTACTTTGTTCCTGCTCGTCGACAAGCGACTGGAACATCAGCTTTATCGTTGTACTTGGAAATCTGAATGTACATCTGCAACACCATCAAAAAGCCAATCGTCGTCACAAAAAATATCTCGAATAAGTATTGTCATTAATTTATATATCAACTCAATTGTAACTACATTAATACGAAATTGTGAAACAAGTTTTCCTGCCTGAAAAAGCACGCATAATTTGTATCTTACTGTAGCGCTGCAAATTATTATTTATATTTATGGCGTGCTCATTAGTATCAGAATCCAGAATCTCTATTCATGCTTTTGTAAAGACTAATTATTTGCGTTACAGAAACAATCGTCACGCTCGTCGCCCGTCCATTTTTACATAATCATCAGGGTCATGGCTACCTGTGCAGTTACTAGGGTCTGTCCCTTTCTCACTCCAATGACGAGCAAGGAAAATTCCAAAGCAAAAGACAGCTAGCGATCCTAGGCCATAACAACGCGACGTCGAGTCGCGTCGCGTCGAGGCCAAAATACCGGCCACCCGGCGAAAACAATAATAAATAAATAAACGCTTCGCGGGACTCACGTCTTTGGCAGTTGAAAGACCGGGGCGCCCTTGCGCTGGAACACCCCGTCGACGAACACGCCGTTCTTGCCGTTGCAGACCATGAAGAAGAACGGGTGCTCGTAGAAGATCTCGAGGTGCCGGCGCGAGATGAAGCTGGAGTGGCCCATGTTGACGTCGACCTCACCCTTGCTGCTGTTGCGGCCGATCGTGATGCGCCGTTGCCTAACCATGTACTCGAACTCGCGAGCCTCGAGCCGCGCGATCGGCGCCCCGCTCGACTCCGGGTTCCACTGCATCTTCGACGGGCTCGCCGGCGCCGACTTGAGTGCCAGGAGGGCCCACGCGTCGCTCTCCTGGGTACGAGAGTACGTAGACATAGCACCGAGAGCGAATGAGCCGTCGTGTAGCCGAGAGAGCAGGCACGGGAAAGGAAAGGAAAGGTGAGGAGAGGAGAGGAAGACAGTCGGGCGGAGAGAGAAAGAGAGAGAGAAGAAACGCGCGTGCGGAGGGGGCACCCAGGGGGACGGAGACGGCGCGCGCGCGAGAGAAAGAGAGAAGGAACGAAAAACGGAGATATAGACGGTCGCTGGATCGACGGACAGAGATGGAGATAAATTCACGGACGTTCGCGCGATTCAGATACGCTAGATAAATAGATAACGCGACGGCGGACGGCGAACGGACGCGAGATAGACCGGCGAAGGTGGAGAAGCACGGGCGTCTCGGGGATACGAGTATAGATGACGAAAATTAGACGCGAGACGGAGACGGAGCGGCGGGTGTGCGTGCGCGCCGTGACGGCCGGGAGCGGGCAGGGGAGTCAGGGGGGCGGCAGAGGGTGGCACGCGGGAGGAGGGAGATGAAGAAAAACGAGAGGGCAAGAAAATCGGAGCGCCCGGGAGACGAGGGAGAGACTTCGGCGGCGAGACGAGAGTCGGAACTCGGGCACGCGCGTGTAACGAACGCGGGGGAGGGGGGAGAGAGAAAAAGAGAGAGAGAAACGCGGGGGGACACGTATGACGAGACACGACACGACACGGCACTGGCGACGCGATGCGTATACGAACGCGCGTGTACCCGCGCGAAATAATGGCCGGCTCGGCTCTCGTCTCGAAACGCTCCTTTCTCCGCGCGCCGAGTGCGTTCGTTCGTTCGTTATTCGTGCGTGCGGGGCACGATGCCGCGTTCTCTCTCTCTTTCTCCTTCTTTCTCTTTCGCTCATGCGCGCTCGCGCATTCGTCGCGAGCGGCGTAGTCAAACGCCTTCTAAGTTCGCTCCTGTCTCCGCGGTCGTGGTCGCCGAGCCGCCTCGTTACCGCGCTCTCACCTCGCCTCCTCGTGTCGGCGATCCTGTCCTCCTTGTGCCGCCTCGGCACTGCGAAAACTGACGGCGGACGACGCCGGCAGCGATTGGCAATTGGCACACGATGACGATGACAGGCGGCCCTTGAGCGCGCGCTCGCTCCCGGCGAACACGATCGCACGATGACGATTGTGCACACACGCGCGCGCTAATATTTTCTTCTCTTCCTCTTGTTTACCGACAATCCGAAACGTGGACGGTGCCACCACGTGACGCGGCAATCGCGCGAATCGGCCGGCCGCCCGGTTCGAACGCGGCCACGAGCGCGCCGGAACGCTGAGGGAAGGGAGGGACCCCCGCGGTCTACGTCACTGGTCGCGGTTGCCTCTCAGCCTCCTCCTCGACGAGCGCGTTCTCGAAACCTCTCGAGGGAGAATTCTCGGAAACGCGAACGCGATTCGCGATGATCAAATACAGATGACGAGATCGATTCGTAAAATGACTGTGGAGCACCCGATTCAATCCCAGCAAACACCAACGTTGTATCAATATTACAATTTCTTATTGAATGAATAAACTTTTACAACAATGAAACTTGTGCAATATATATTACGTGACATTTATATTGTTGAATAGGAAATTATAATATTGATGTAAACGTCACTGCTAGTTGGCGTTTGCTAGAATTGAATCGGATCCTAGTATGAGATTCAAAATAAAAAAATCCATTTTGCAGGATCTGTTAAAAAAAACCTTCAAAACGTTAAAGGAGGATCAAAAGTTTCACCACGTCCTCGTCGTTGATCCCGCAGTAAAAACTAAAGCGTAATCCTGAAAAAAATATCAAAATTATCAAACCATACAATTTTGCCTAAACACTCCCATTATCAGTATCCACTACTTGTCTTCCCCATTCTCTCGAAACAGAAAAAAAATTTTCCCCGGGAGAAGCTATACTTCCTTAAGTCAACGTTCCCCAGTTCTGTTATCGTCGATCACGCCGAGGGGGGTGGGGAGAGGGAGGTACAAGTGATAACTTCAATCTTCGATCCACTTCGATCGAAGCCGCGCGGCGCGTTATCCAACTTCAACAGAGACAACAGAAACGCGGCTGCCAATTGTTTCATTCGATTACGAGGCTCCCAGCCAATCCGACCGCCTCCTCCTCGCGTCATCCGCCGCGTAATCACGCGAATGGAAACGCGCCCGAGGCTCGGCCCTCGGCCGGCGGGGCGCCGATATCACGAACGCACCCGACCTTCGCGGATCTCTCGCGCGACTCGCGACGTCGCGACAGCGCGCAGTCTCGATGCGCGGTGTCACGCGAGGGGGTCTCTATCCGGCGCGGTGCGGGGAAGGATTAGCGCGACGACAACAGCGGGGAAAGCGCGTCGAGGTCGAGGTAGAAACGAGAGAACGAGCCGCGCGACACACCGTTCCCTTTGTTATGATACGCGTCCGCGGTGTCGGGGTCCGTGTCCCGGTCGCGTAGAGACGGTGGCCGCGAACGCGAACGGACAGGCAGGCGATCTCGATCGACGCGGCCGAGAGGATCCATGAGAGAGTCGACGCGACGTGCCAGCGATAGCGCACCGCGGTACGATGCGATAGCTTTCACCGGCGGGGTGCCCGACGAGGAGGTCGCCGTCGTGGTGGCGGACGAGGCGGTGTCCGCGCGCCGCGAACACGGGGGGAAGCGTGACAGCGGCAGGGCGTGCGTGCTCGCCCCGTCGGTCGCCCGCAGTATGCTCAGGGTCTGCGACAGTAGGATATTATGGCTGCGGGTGAGGCCAGCACGGCGAGGCCTCGTCAAGAGAAGCAGTACGACTACCTGCTCAAGTTCCTGCTGGTGGGCGACAGCGACGTCGGCAAGCAAGAGATCTTGAGCGGCCTCGAGGACGGCGCCGCGGAGTCGCCGTTCTGCAGCGGCAGCGGCAGCGGTGAGGACTTTTCGGAATGTTCATCAAACATCTCCTCGATCACGTGTAACGAGACATTATAAGTTGTATTATTTGTAATCGAGCAACTATATGGCTCTCCATATGATTCTCTTTTCTTTGAAATAATTCTTTTTTTTTCCCCCTGTTTACTTGAGGTTTAAAGCTGACTGTTTGTTACCTCTTCAGCTTACAAGACTACCACTATCCTGCTAGATGGGAAACGAGTGAAGCTACAATTGTGGGACACGTCAGGCCAGGGTAGATTCTGCACCATCATACGGTCTTACTCCAGGGGTGCGCAAGGTATACTCCTGGTGTACGACATCACCAATAAGTGGTCCTTCGACGGCATCGACAGGTGGCTGAAAGAAGTTGAGGAGGTCAGGGTCGATCTAAGATTTTATCCAATTATTGATCCGTCTTATCCGTCTAATCTCAATGTGTAACTTTGCAGCACGCTCCGGGCGTGCCGAAGGTCTTGGTCGGCAATCGCCTGCACTTGGCTTTCAAGAGACAAGTGGGCGAACGAGATGCCGAGGCTTACGCGGCCAAGAATCGAATGGCGTTCTTCGAGGTCTCGCCTCTCTGCGATTTCAATATCCGCGAGAGCTTCTCGGAACTCTCTCGGATGGCGCTACACAGGAACGGCATGGAGAGATTGTGGCGATCCAATAAAGGTATCGATCTATCGGAAATTCTTTAAAACCTGTTCTTCTTAGCTCAACTACTCGCACGCTCCATCTTTTCTTTCTTTCTTTTTTTTTGCACGTTGGAGAGAAAAAGAGAAAAGATGACCCGTACAAGAAGTTCAGCTAAAAGGAACAGACCTCTAGATACTCTAAATTGAAGATCAGAACGATGAAAAATGTAATTCGCTTTGCAGTGCTCAGCCTGCAGGAACTGGCGTGCCGCGCGATAGTGGCCCGAACGACGGTTTATGGGATCGACCAGCTGCCGCTGCCCAAGTCGATCAAGTCGCATCTCAAGTCGTACGCGATGACGACCACGTCCCAACTGGCCCAATTGCGTTATGGCAACCGCTCGTTGAGCTCCAGCAAGAGCCTCGGGTCGCATCACCGGAAGCTACGCTTCGTCGGGGTGGGCCACAACAACGGCGGACTGTCGACGCCCGGCAGCTCGCCCGGCAGCATCGCCGACTCCCGCACAAGTTGCGTCGGTCGCAATTCCTGCACGGTGTCTTGAGAGCGACGGCGAACAGAGAAGTTCAGGGTAGCGATTTACTTACAGAAGCGTTGCGCAGCAATCAGCGTTCTTCCTTCCCCTCCCCGTTCTGTCGAGGATGCAAACGCGTTTACGGTGTTGTTTCCACGATTCATAGTGATTACCGTTTAGACCGTTACGAGATGGTATAAATAATATGAAATTCCGATTTGCCACTTGCCAACGTTGACGGATATACTTGTTTATATATCACGAGATACATATTCGCATATATTTTCACGTTTGCACGTACAATTCCACGATTAAAGGGAGACGAGCTGTCGCGTACCCGTGCCATCCGTTGTACGAGATTTAAAAAGGAAAGCGGCGCAATGTCGCGTAAGCCAGGGAAAGTGCTTGAACATTACAGAGTGTTATCATCGATTGTAAAGCTCGCGTGGATTTTTCCATCGCGAGAAGGGAACGCGTCAGGATTTACGGAGGTTTATAAGGTATATCGCCACATGATATATATCGACCGACATTACATTACGCGACTCGAGTGTGCCCATACTTTTAAAGCCCTTGTAAGCCGCTTCGTTTCTTTTGGCCGTTGTTGGAAAAGCATCCCTCTTCCCACAAACGTATCTCTCTGTGCGGAATGTTCTTTCTTCGTGCGTAAGCTTACGAGAGCAGCGAGTAATGAACTGAAAAGTACAAGTTCGCTAAGTCTACGGTGGTTGTGGTGTAGACTAATGATGATATAGCGTAAGTGTAGAAAGTTTAGAGCAGCTAACTCGAGATATATATTAGCGACATATATGTATGTATATATATACATATATGCATATATACATATATATATTTTCAATTGCTTGCGACGCGAAAGCCGTTTTATCGGAAACTACCGGTTACCGAGCGCGAAAGAGCTATATATTTTTTAAGGAGACGGTTTTATAAAGAGCAATAAAATTGACTCTTTCTACGGCACGAGTTTTTACATTTCATTACGTTGATCGATCGAGATCGCATGATGATCTCCTCGATGTTTTCTCTTTCTCTACCCCGTACGAATCACGCAAGACGATATCGATCTTTATTCCCCTTCGTATTTAACGAAATCTGGAAAATCTCCCCCGAATAAACGCTATTTAAGAGTATCGTCTTATTTCACGTTACCTAAATGTATGTTACTAAATCCACAGTGTACAGTGTAAGATTGCAGGAGATGCGTTTGTGTGTAATATAGATAGAATAGATAGAAACACACTCGATCTCTAACGATATGTCTGTAACAAATCACTCGATGCCAGGAAAGCACATGAGATGTATATTTACATTACGTTAGACTTAACTAAATTATATTCTGTGTATATAAAGAAAGAACTATATTATATTATAATATTGTTTTATATGAATATAACACGATGTGCTTACTTGTCTGTGAGATGTACTAAGTAAACTTAACTTCACATTAACGCATTATGCAGTGCATGTAATCGGTAAAGACTTCAAGACGGACTTCCTACTTCGAATACCAAATTTTCTTTAATAAATAGTCCACACGTTAATTATATATACATATTTTGTTACAAGATAATAACATCTTTCACATGCGAAGGAGTATCCACTTAAAGGGGGCCACGTGTTAAGGGAAGAATGGAAAATGCCGTCCCGTTTGCCAAAATGCTTCTCATTTAATAGCGAAACGCTAATTTCGATGGATGACGGAGGATAGAGAGCCTGTTTTTCACACACTTGCTGTACATAATAAACACATTCTAATTTTTTTTTTTTAACTACTGTTTTAGTTACAACTAATTAATCGGTTTAATCGAGTTCCTCACTGGATTCAATCGCTGGAATTGGCAAAATTTTCTCCCTGGCAACTTTGTAATACTACTTTCTTGTTAATTTGAGCACTGTAACTTTCATCGATGTATTCCATCTACACAGTGGTTCTATTTGTATAATAGCGATTCCAATTTATATTCAATTATAATTATGTGTTCCAGTTTAAAGCACATGCGGTTGTATAGTGAAAATAAATCGAATATTTATGAACCTATGGACGTCTTGTAAAACAAACCTTCCTTTTGTCAACTGTGCGGTAAATGCGCCGATTATCGTAAATAAATGTTATATTTCATTGTGTATTGTTTAAGCAAGAATTCCGTTAGCGCTCGGGATTGACAAATTTCGCAGCTTGCAAAGAAAGCTAAAAAAAAAAAAAAAAAAACTACGGATTGATATGTGACACTTTGCACGGCATGGTCATGTATAAAATTGGTACCAATAACTGGTAATATAAAGATACTTTTCTTAAAGAAACACAACAACATATAACTTACAAATAAGGATGTGACAACAGTAGATTGTTTCGTTTTTTTTTATATATAATAAAGGTCGGCTTAACATAATCAACAATATCAGTGTACTCTTAAGGTATCTGATATATTATATTAAATATGTATCTCTTATACGTACGCAGCTACGTTTTTCCAATATCCAAAGTGACTGTTACACTTATCGATTCGGTACGCGTTTTTTTATTGCAAACAGCATATGTACTGTTTTATCGGTTTGAGTATTTAGGTAGATTATTAGCACAAATATAAAAAGAAAAACAAAAATTATTAGTATTTAACAACACTAAATAAAAGTAATATCGAAAATAATATACCATGTGGTATGCCATTTGAAACATCAATATCACTGGGCGATCGAGAACTGGGTTCCATAAACGTCACACGCGCAAATGAAAGCTGTAGTATGCCAATATAAATCTCGGATAAGCTACGCGATTACCTATTACAGCTTGTTAACTTATATACATTCGTATATATATTTATATATATATTTATGCATATATTATGGTAATGCTTATCACAACAGTGTACTATTTTTTTCCCCTAAGAGAATCGATATATTTAACTCGATTAAAAACATGAAGACAAGTTTTATGAACAGCCAACATGTGTCTAATGCCTATTCTTAAAATCAGGTATACATATATTTCATATATGTATGTATAAAACATTAGAGTCGAATAAAGTTCGTTCGCGCATAAAATAAATAAATAAATGTTTTTTTCAATATAAGCTACAGATCAAACCTCGATATAACTCTTTCGCAATTACCATTTACCGTTTGTTCTTTCTTTTGCGACATACGTACAGCTTCATTCAAACAACAATTACACTTGATCTTTTCCAATGTAGCAAACAGATCTCATAAATATCATAATGTAAAACGAAAAAAAATCTTGCTCGTAAATATTATTTTTATCATGGTTAGTAAATTCCTAAAACCGTAATTCAATAGATCTTACCACGTTATGCATACAAATATATTTACTATGCTTCAGTCAATAAACCAAATATCGAAATATTAAATACACTTGAATCGCACACCCACAATGACAATGAACACAAACAAGAATCCTGAAGCCTTTATCAGATTACTGAATAACGAAACACCAATAATTTAAAATGATATGCATCAGGTAATTTATTTCGATCAAAAATCGTTATACAATCAATCAGGTGGAAGTAATTATTCCGCAGTCGATCACTTACTAAATAGGCACTCCAATTCTCGTGACAGTCAACTAGTCAAGAGAAGGATATCGTGAGTGAAATCCTGAGTTCTTTTTACTGCAAATCTCCCTCAGAACTGCGGAGTGTGTGTCACGAATAATAAACAGACTCATTACTTCTAATAAAATTTACAGGACGAATCTTTATGAGATCTGTATGCTAGAAAGGAAAAGACGCGAATATCGTGAAACTTTTCAGCAAAGGTATCGACTTCACCTGAACTCGTATATCTGTATACTGTGCTCTGGGACATGTCTCAGATTCAAGGATTGATACCTGAAACAACGTTCATATTGTCGTTTTAATTATTCCATATCGTATCGTATATGTTCGTGATACGCAAATTTTTTTTTTTAAATACAACCGGTGCATTCAGAAATCAAATATCACCAGTTAGGTCTCTAGTGTTATAATTAATGTCTCTAACTTATAGTTAGCGTTTTTTACCATTCAGAACTACGATGATAATAAAAGCCTTCTATCGTGGCGGCGGATTTCTGGAAGCAAATATAGTAAAATCCTGCAAAGGAGGCACCGTTGATATCTTTGATTGTATGATCGGGTACCAGGAAGTGCTCCTTCCACCTCATAAATACAAAGTCCGTTCCCTTCAGTGCCTCGTAATCGAACGTGTCGGAATTGAACGTTTTGGCGTATTGGCAGAACGACGCAAATTTACTCTACAATAAGAACGAAGGAGAAGATACAGACAAAATACCGATGATGACGATGTGGATGACGATAGTTCGAGCGATTAAAGCATCGATACGAACCCAATGTTTCTTATCAACATCCTCGTCGGCGTCCCACTTGCGAGTCAAAAAGGGATACTTCTTGGAGATGATCTCGCCGTCGAAGAACGTCGTCAGCGTCGGAAACTCCTCCGTGAGACCCTTGATCTTCAAGTATCCACACAGGTAACTGTTTTCCTCGTCCACGTGCTGCAACGGGACAAACGCAAGGTAAGGAATCCTATCCAGGAACCGATCTCCCGCGTTCCGGTGTACCGTCAACAACCCAGTGCCAGCTTACATCAACTTAGGTCGCACGCGGAGAACCGTCCGCTGCAAAGAGGAAGGGAGAGAGAAACGAACGAGGGAGGAAACCGTGCATCCTCTCGCCGTCGACGAGGACGTCCTCCCCTTGTCCGCCGCGTACGTCCCGGCGGGACGCGCGGCGTTCGCCAACTTGTGGCGCAATTTCCGAAAAGTGACGACACAACGGCGGGGAGAGGGAGAAGGCCGCGACGAGGGAGAGGGCACCCGACGACCCGGACTAACCTGCAAAACCACCTCCACGTCGTAGCTGTTGCCTTTGGACTTCTGCGAGCCCTGGAAGCGCGAACCGTTGTACAGCAGGGACTTGGTGACACCCGGCTGTTTCGAGTTGGCGGGCGGCGGCGGCACCACGTCGACCTTCACCGGCATCTTCGCGCGGCGTTGCCCCGAGCCTGCGTGCAGCGCGACGTTCAATCGTTGTCCACAACGGCGGGGACGATGACGAGGGGGGCGAGGGCGACGACGACGATGACGGCGGCGGCGGCGACGGCGACGGTGACGACGCGCGACGCGGCGCCCCGCATATCACGATAGGGTTGACGGTGTCGCAATGACTGCCGGTAATCCGCGGGGGTACGGACGTTTTTATGTACCGAGCCTCGAACCCAGACCGCCGAGAGCGGTCCCAGAGCCCAGAGCGCGCTCCGACGACGGTTCCCCCCTCCAGCGGGGGGATTCTCTCGGGGGTTTTCTAGGGTACCGCGACTGCGAAGGGCCCGGGGCCGCGGCGTTCACCCCTCGCCCTTTCTTTCTCCTTCGCGCGGGACGATAACGAGAGGAACTCGAGCGAGAGGGTCGAGCGTCCGAAGGTGCCCGCTCCGAGGCGACGAGCGCCGGAAACTTCACGCCGGAAGCCGGAAGCTCCGCTCGGCAACATGGCGACGGTTCGAATCCGAATGAACGTGTACGAATAAGCAATAATTAAATAATAAAATCTGAATAAGCTTCGTTATTTTGTACTTTATTGTCAAATTATTTTATCGTATCCATTTAATTGTATTTTGTATTTTATATTGTCAATTTATTTTATTATATTTAACGGTATTTTGTATTTTGTTATTAATTTATCTTATTGTATTTTATTATTGTTAAATAAAGCGATAGGATGATTAATTAATATTTTAATTAGCAATTGCCAAACTAATATTAATAACGGTTAACAAAATAAGAACAAAATCAGTAATAATTTATTTTATTTCTCGCGTGCTTCAAAATTGTACGATTATTCTAAAATTATCAGGCGAAACGTAAATCGGACGTTGTTTTATTTGTTTTGCAACCGTTAATAATCCCCCTGGTTCTCGCGGACAACTTCGCGGGGCGGATTTAAGACGCTGCACTGACTAGTCGTCCCCCCGGGCCCCCGCGGTGGCCCCAACGCGACCCAACCTGACCCGGGCCTCCTTTTAATGTCAATTGATGCCAATGCAAGTATGGCGGACTTCAGCGACACGAACTCGCACGAGATGACAGAGAATCATGTCGGCAAGCGGTGCAATAATCAGTGGGTGCGACTGAACGTGGGCGGGACGTATTTCCTGACGGCGAAGACCACCCTGGCGAGGGACCCGAACTCGTTTCTGTATCGGCTGTGCCAGGAGGACTCGGACCTTATTTCGGACAGGGTTAGTTGACACCGTTTCCTACCGGGAATTTCAAACGGGACGCCCGACCGCGTGCGCCCGTCGCGTCTCGTCGTCCAGGTCGAGGACGACGACGACGAGTCCCCCTCTCCCCTGCCCCGTGGCTGGGACCCCTCGCGCCGCCCCCACCGTGCGCGGTGAATGACCTCCCTCCGTTTTGTTTTGCTTTCCGAAGGACGAGACGGGAGCGTACCTGATAGACCGCGACCCCACGTACTTCAGTCCGGTCCTCAATTACCTGCGCCACGGCAAGCTGGTCATCAACAAGGATCTGACGGAGGAGGGTGTGCTGGAGGAGGCGGAGTTTTATAATATCACCGAGCTCATACGGCTAGTCAAAGAAAGGATTATCCTGAGGGACACCCGGCCACAGAGGGACTCCAAGAAGCATGTCTACAGGGTTCTCCAGTGTCACGAGGACGAGCTGACGCAGATGGTGTCCACCATGTCGGACGGCTGGAGATTTGAACAGGTATTTGTGAGGATTTACGTATCCGTTTATTTTATATCTCATTAACGTTATTTGTGTGGTTCCTTCTTGTGTTGGCGACTCGTGGCGTTTCCTCTCTCTAAATATATACATTCTTTTCCTTCTGTTTTTATAGCTAATCAACATAGGTTCTCAATATAACTACGGTAATGACGATCACGCGGAATTTTTATGTGTGGTAAGCCGAGAATACGGACCTAGTCAGCTCAGCAGTAAAGAAGAGGAATCTACGGATCGCGTCAAGGTACCGCTATCCTATTCGACTGTTTCCCATCCTTATTTGAGTAGCCAAAGTAGCCACGGCTAATGCGATCATTTTTATGTTTTTGTCCGTATCCAAAGTTGATACATAATAGACACAGGTTTATTAGCCAAGATTCAATCACGTTTTTACCAAGTACCTTCACCACTTTTAAATAAAACCATGTATTCTAAGTAATCTGTGTGTTAGTATTATTGTTTTCCATGTTGGATCGCATGAGATATTTGTTGAGGCAACAAACGTCTAGCTGCTTCTTCAGCTGGAAACGCGGGCACGGTCCTGTTTGGAAAAAAAAAAAAGATTTAGGTTTACGATTACAAATTTTCAAAAGAATTCCTGAAATCTGCTCTTGCAATCCAACATTGAGTTTTCTTAATTTCTAACACTATTGTGAAATCAAATAACACACTTTTTTATCAGTTCTAATGAGATGAAATTAAAAACGAAAGAGCAGTATTATTTTTTGGTATTAACAATTCGCCTATACTGACGGTTGGATTTGGGTTGGGTAGAAAACCAAAGAATGAGCTTTATCACTATATACGTGATAAATATGATTTATACATACACATTTATTACGAGATTGAATTTTATCTCACGTCTTATCACTTTACGCTTAATTCAGCAATACATTCCTCTATACATTTTTTCTGCAATATTCTTGACGGTTGCTTAGAATTATTTTGCTTAATTTGTTTTTCCCCGAGGGAACAAAAATACGAAAAGGAAAAGAATCTTGTTGTAGACGTGAAATGTTCAGCAACAGATCTTATCAGGTGGCTAAATTTTTTCTTCAAGTCAAACTTGTGGATAAAAATCTGTCGGTCAGATTTTTATTTTGTCATATATACATATATATACGTATGCATTTTTTAAATATATATTTCTATACGTATAGGCTTTAAATATACACATTTACTTATTATATTTTAAAATAAAAAGAAAAAGTTAAAAAAAAAAAAGAAAACCACCTAATAATCTGTAAAGCTCAGAGGCCTGTTCGCATGAGCATGTTCTGCCTCTGATATTTGTTGTATGTACCATATTATTATTATTATTATTGTACCGCATGCCGTTCGTTGAATAAAGAATTTTTTCTTTCATTGGTTTGTGGTTATATATACTTTATGCCCAGTGACCTGCATGAATCATTATTGCATGCCAAATTATTCATCATACATTACGACATAAAAGTGAAGTTGTCCACAGTGTATATTTTACCACCAGTAGCTTATGTACGATTTATTTATACGAATATAGAAAATATAGTCTTTAAATTTATATGTGTACTAATACCGTATGGGTTTGCTTTTGGGGAGCAGAGTAGCTATAATTAGATTTGCGTAATTGGTATTTCTTATTTTATTGGCAACAATGTAACAGAGGCGGAACAACTTTTTTTTTCCTAATAATAAAGTACAACTTTAATTGCCGTTATAGAACCTGTTATTAATTAGTGTTAAGTATTATAATTATAAGCAAAGTGAGACTAATATGTTTTTATTAAGCTTAGATTATTGGATTACATTCTAGGTTTTGCAGCAGAAGGGTTCACGCATGTAATGTCTAGATCCGTCCTTGTTTTCCCTTGCCTCCCTTAGTTTGATCAGCTGCGCTGCTACAAGATGAAGACTGTTTTCGTTTTTACATTTAAAGTATTATATTAAATTGTAAAAAAAACCCGTACTCTCTTTTTTCCATTATATTCTCTCTCCGCCTCTATTCCTAGATAATGTTAATCTACAGGGACATTACAGTGCAAAGGATAAAGAAAATTTTATAGATATGTATTTATTACATAGCGAGATTGTACATGAAGCTTTAAAGACCGAAAGTAACACGTTATTATTAATTTATTCCTCCTTTATTAACAGTGCCCAAAAAGGTGAAAAGAATAATGTCGATCTCACGAATGGAATAGTTTAATAATTTCATACAGTTTATACAGATAATCGCTATACAGACACAAAGTAAAAAAAAACCTTCCTTTTTCTATAAGCACATTTGTCTGCTTTAAAAGCAGGTATGTTATATATATAAATATAAATATATATATATATAGATAACAATAGTTATATTTATTAATAAATGACGTTGTTCCATAATGGCTGCAGTTATATTTTAGCTTTATCGAATACTTTTAATGAATGAATGGCATTTGTGGAGGCAATCGGTTTCATACAAATTTTTAATGATAAACGGTAGTTTTTATCTCCGGTAGTGATACGTAGTAGAGATTGCCATTTTGTACTAAATTGTACAAAAGTTCTTTTTCCTATCCGTATCCTTATCGTAAGATGTCTAAATTACTTACCTTCGCACTGCCGCTATAAAACATAAAATGATATTTGTATACCTAACGTGATAATTTTGAAAACCCAGGAGACGCGCGTACTAAATAACTAATGAATATGTAAAGCTGAATTTATACATATATTGTTAATACGGGAAAGGAATTTTTTTCTAAACGAAGCAATTGTATTACTACTTATTAAGGATACAGATCTGAGATACATAAGAGAAGTAAGGGTTTAAATTCTCGAAAAATTTGCAAGAGACATTTTAGAGAACGAGACAAGCGTGCACAATTTAAAAGCGTATCGTCGCATATCTCACGCGCAATGTGAAAGTTTAAGAAAAGACGCGGAATAATACGATTACATTATCGCGAATCAGTGAGATATGTATTATTGGGGGGGAAAAAAAAATTGAATTACACTTTCTTTTCGCGAATTATCTGCAATTGCAATATGATCCCCTACATCCGTGGTGATAAGTGTTACTTGCAACAGATGTAGGTTTTCAATTGTCGGCCTATTAAAAGGGGAGAAAAAAAGAGAGAAGAGTGTCCTAGACAATATATGTAAAATGTTAAATGGAAGCATATGTAATATTGGCTTGTTATAGACGCCATTAGGACTATTGTACACATGCGTAATTATTAATCTCACGATATTTACACGATATTTTTCTTTGTCAAGAGAACACGGTTCAACAATACAAATAATCAATTGCGTTTTGCGCCATTAGTGTTTGCTATTTCGACACAGCCAAGAGAGACACTCGTCATCGAAAGGAATCTATACATATACATTATAAATTATAACTTGTAACTATATCGAGTATATCGGATATTTACGCAAGCAGTAAGGAATATGCGAACATGATGTACAATTTCGGCTGGCAACAATTCATTTTTGGTACTGCGAAATTTGAGAAAACTTTAGGACCAATATTGTTAATCCCACGTGCTATGTACAGTGTTGTTGTAGGCTAATATAAGACATTATTTTCTAGCTCAAGCCCTCATGTATACTATTCATTAATTTAGTCGGCGTTAACGTTCATTACTGTCATATTACACACGCGGAGATACACGTCCTCCTCTTTACTCGTGTAAAATTTGTACTTTCATAGGTAGGGATTTTTAACGATAGATAAACTTATTCGGTGTTTGGCGTTAAGAGACGAGGTAGCGTTTATATTTATTGAAGACTAAAGTTACAAATGTTAGAGAAGATATATCGAGGTAGGCGACGTAAAGAAGGTTGTCGTGTATGGAAGTATTTACACCATTTGCACGTACGGCTATTACTTTACATGAATTTCATTTTTCATCGAGTTTCATCAATTCGGAAATTTGCCGCTGTAAGATATACGTCAAGTAATTACGACAGAAGTGCGCTTCTAAATGATTTTGCATTGCTTTTACCGCATCTCGACTGGCGTCTCGGGCTTCTGAAACAAGCTGCGCTGACTTGTTTGCAGAAACCAAGGATGTATATTAAACTGCGAGAAGAGATATATATGTATTCCCCGAGTGCTGAAGATATTTTAGTGGTATAGATCCCGCATGTGTGTACATACAAACATCTCCGTCGCGTCATTGTATGTACACGGATGTGCAACGCGAAAACGTAATCAAAATTTATTTAACGGTTTAACGTGTAAGTACTCTGGTACAATAAAGGTATAGAATTTTAGAAACTTTCTATGCAATAACTCTTTATCTCTAGTAGTGCAATTCGCGGTAAGTGACGAACGGGAACGTAGATATTTAACGCTGTTGATTTTTTTTTCGCCAGTCTGCAGTCGCGCAGTCGTAGTCTCTTATGTCCCGACGAATTATGAATTTGAGGCGAATTTGAACTTTTATGCGTTGAATAATAGCGATTCACACATGCGGCAACTACTGACATTACATTACCGATAGGGGTGAGCTTACATTAAGTAGTCCTTATGATCATAGTGTGTGATTTGTAAAGTGAGATAAAATGCAAATTGTTTGTATTAACTGTAACTTATATGAAATAAAAGATTTATTATATACATTAAAGAGCAGCTCATCTATTTATATATTATTGTATTAATTATATTTATAACTCTCTCTATATATATATTCACTTAGAATTGTATATAAATACACGTATTATATAAAAATGGAAACACGCACGCATGTCGACATCTAGAATTAATAAAAAATATATTTATACATATACGGGGCAGCTTACAAATTCTTACAAACAATAAATAAGTATCATAAGGTAAATTCGTAATCTTTCTCGAGTACGACAGACTTCTTGAGAACAGATCGATGATCGTGATTCCTGACCGTTCAAGGCATGTTCGCTATCGTTTTTAAGGGTTGATCGAGATACTGGGCCAATGCCTGCGCCTTCTCGCGCAGCAATCCGAATCCCACGCTCTCCTTCGCGTACAGACACAAGAGCAAATTGGCTACCTCTGTGATAACGACCTTTCCTTCCTGGAAATAAGAGTATAACAAATTCTTGGCTCGTGTGAGACAATTGGAGAAATTTTGCTTAATCTGTTACTACCATGCAATCCATGAGAACGAACTGCAGCTCGTCTTCCTTAAAGGCGTTTCGTCCATTCTTCTCGTAAGCTGTCCAAATGTTGCTCGTGATTGCGGCCGTCACCCTGGCGTCCTTATCCCCGTAACCACTGTACGCTAACAATCCACCGTCTCTGTTGAGCAATCTGAAATATGTATGTGAAGGTGTAAGGAGATATGATCAATATAACGACATAAAACAATTGTAGCGTAATGAAATATGAGATCTTAGAATCTTCCAATAACTCATATCTCTAACAATTCACACAGTGCTACAGTTTATATTATTAATCTTCTAATTCTCAACACACTGCGCGGACACCATGGGCCTTTTAAGGCACAGTCAACTTTTCATTTATAATTCCTACAGGAATGGGAAAAAAATTGCAACAGTTCTGGGGCCTATGTAAGTACAGAAATCACTTTTTGAAATCTAAAGATAATACATGAATTTTTCTAGATTTTTTTTAAATAAAAAAACACTTTCAAGAACCCTTTGAACATAAAAGTCCCAGGGTGTCCAGGTGTGAATGCTCCAAAAACAGTGTCCACGCAGTAGTGTTAACAATAACTCGTATCTCCAGCAATTCACAGTGCTATCGTTTATATTATTAATCTTCAGATTCTTAAATATATCACGCACGAAGGTGACTAAAAAAGAAAGATAAGTATATAGATTTCCACTTTGTGCAAAGTTACTCCTGTACAAACGATGGGAACGTGTATTAGGGTAAAACCCGAAATACTGCAGGTGAATTTATATTGAAAAGAAATCGCTCGGCTTGTAGGTGACACCTCGCCGCGAGATTCTTTACTCACAGGGTATTCTCCACGCCCCCGGTGTTCGCCTGACTGAGAACCTGCGTGAGCGCCTTCGGCTTCAGCATAATTTCCCTCTTTTAACGGATTCCACTTAATTATTATACACACATATGCACGCGCAAATGTATATTATTGCGACGTGTGCGTGGGAGTTTGTTCAAGTTTATATTTCGACTTCCTGCGCTCCGCGATCAGCTGTTATCGCCGAATCAACAAACTGATGGCGAACGAGAGGGAGGGGGCGGCCGAACGAACCGCGCGGCGAAAGAGGAGGAGGGAGAATACAGTCATACAATTGACATTTCTCGAGATGCGCGATCTTCGTCTTCCTCGTGACGCGTGTCACGGAGCGATCAATATGGAGCGCGACCAATCGTGACGCTCGATCCGCGAAACGCGGTGCCACGTGAATTTCCAAGCTCGTGAGAATGCCAGAAAGTCTCGTGGATCGATTTATTAATAGCGCGATATATTTTTAGATAAAGAAAGTCACGGGTCCCCGTCCGCGTCGTCGACGAGGGCGGAAATTTCGAGAAACGTCCCCTCGTGGCGCTCCGCGTCTCCGATTGCGCAATCTGACTCATGAATCGCGACAGATTGCGCAGCGTCTACTCTAGTTAAGTCCGCCGTGGCCGAGCGATCAGGTGCAATCAGCAGAGTCAGCTGCAGAGCGAAGTTTCGCCAAGTCTTCCTTGTATTTTCGTAACGTGGTGAAGAAAGCGAAAGAGAAGTACTAAGAAAAATGCCGCGACGTGGACGAGCCGCCGCCCCTCCGCCGAGAACGTGAGTAAATTAATTCTCGACGAAGTCACGTTGTGACGAGAATTGTCGTCAATACTCTCCCCGTTACATCATGGTTGCGAAGTTCACCATCTTCGGCGTAGAACCTCAAACGTCGCCCTTTCCCTCCTCGAAAACGTGATGTTGAACGAATCCCCTAAAAAAGACCTCGTTTCCAGGGTCAGAAGGGCTTCTGCCCCCGCGCCTGCCCCAGCCCCGTCTCGATTGCCAGCCCAGGCCCAGGCCCCACCGGCGTCACCCATGGTCGCCCAGCCGCAGCAGCCGTCCCTCATGGGCCAGATGGCCGCCACCGCTGGCGGTGTTGCTATAGGATCCGCCGTGGGACACACCATCGGTCATGCCATGACTGGACTCTTCAGCGGAGGCGGCGAGACCGCTGTTGCTGCTCCCGCAGAGGCGCCGCAGACATTTGCCCAGAGTGCTCCTGCGGCACCGGCCACCGGCACCTGTTCCTGGGAGATGAAGCAGTTCTTGGAATGCGCTCAGAACCAGTCCGACCTGAGCCTCTGCGAAGGCTTCAACGAGGCGCTCCGTCAATGCAAGATGGCCAACAGTCAGTAGAGCTTGCTCCCTTTGTTGTTGTCGCTTATCTTATCTTTGTATATCCTAGTCATGGATCGTGTAAAAGGACTGTCTTCTAATTGTCTCGTGTATTTCCTGCTTTCAGATATTATGTAAATTGAGATGGGGCAGATCTAGAAATCTCTAGGCAAAACTATGAAGTACGTGCTGTATGATCCTATAGACCGTTTAACGAAATTTTGGTTTATTTTTACTGTTGTTACACACTGATATTGTGAGGTAAAATAGTCCCAAATAGATCCACACATGTTTTAGAAGAATAAATTTGTTTGTTTAAATCCTGTAGTTGGCAGCTGCCCTTGATCTTTTCCCGAATTTCCGTATGTATGTTACGACATAGTGTGGATTTCAATAAATTAAAACATGCACGCAATTGCAATTTATCTTCGTGTTAACGAAACAATTATTACTAATCACATCGATTTCCGGAGAATTCGCAAACATTAAATTTCCTTAAAGATTAAATAAGATGACAGATTGAGACGAGTAAGAGATAGGCGGTGCCTCACATTTCTTTCACTTTATATTACAATACATTAAACAAATAATTTATTACAGAAGATGAAAATAGCTTTTACATGATGATACATTGGGATGGGGATTCAGCAAATAAAAACTTTGATATTTTGACCAGAACCAAGTAAGCGCGCCTCTACACGACAGTATTTGCACTTTATCATATATGTTTTCTCTAATACTTAGCTATTGTGTATCTCGAAAATTAGTGTGTGATTTATGAATATATATATATATATATATAATATATATTATATTTATAATATATATATAATATATTTATAATATATATAATAAAATATTTATATATATATAATATATATTATATATTTATGAATATAATATATAATAGGTATATATTCATCCTATGTAACGCGGTTATCTATAATACGGCTTTCTCTTTCTTTATTCGACGAGGAGAGGCAGTTAAAACACGCACAAGTAGCACGAATATGGTAGACTATCTTTTCTCCGTGTTCAATACGCGCATCATCACGTAGCCGGCGATCGTGGCGATCGCGATTCCTATCCCTGCTTTCCACCAGACCAGGGAGTCCCCTTGCATTAGGCCGAATTGATTTATGTGCCTGAAATGTCGATTTCACAAGATTCGCTGTTATTCTCGCTGCGTGAGAAACTCCAAATATTCTAGCGTGATAAAACCTCAATGTCGTACTCTCGAAAACGGCTTGATTATATACAGCGAGCGATACAGAGACACAAATACCGAAATCAAATTTCGGTCAAACTGACAATGAGGTCTTATCATACGAGTGACATTAAATCGGAAGGGAAATCTTTCCTGTTAGGGTGTCTACGCATAGAAAAGCGGTGACTGAATCGACAGAAAAATCGTGAGAGATTCGTTGCGTGTCGCATGCTCATGCTTGAACGAAAGTAACGAAACCAAAAAAAAAAAAAGCGGTGTTTACGCTATTAAGCTTAATGACATTGACTTAATGACACTGTGGGCTTCGCGTGGGAGGAAACGCAAGCAGTAATGTGAAATAAAACCTTGTGAAAGAACTCCACCACGGAGGAGGTAAGGAATCGACAAGCAACATGTGGATTGTGCGCCTCATATGGCTGAAAAGAGCCAATTACACTGTAACGTACGTTTTTTTTCCGTGCGATGACATATTTTAATATGAGCAAATCGCCCGGCACATTTAACACGAGAAGAATGGAGTTAAACCCCGTGAGCACATGCATCGAGAGGAATGTAAAATGTACGATGACGATGATTGAATGCAGTTTTCACGATTTGTTCAAGCTTCTAGATTTTTACAGTGTGAAATTGAAATTCGGACCAACCTGTCTCGGTAAAATAATACCCACGCTCCTTGAAAGCGGCTAAACACGAAATATCTTATCGTTAATACCGAATTATCTCCTTTTCCTTTCTTTTTTTTTTTTTAATATTACGCTATCTTTCCTTAAATTAAATTATAGGAAAAGAACGAGGAAAAGGTGCGGCGTGAAACGTAAAAAATCTATTGTCTGAAAGTAACTTTACGATGGAAAATATCGTACGAAGGAAGAAATAAGCGAAAAAGCTTTAAGAGCCTCGACGCGTAATCTATACTTTCAGCTACAAAGGAAAATTATCATCTACTGCCTGTAAATCGAGGAAGCCCGAGATCCCCGTCCGGCGGTTTCCGTTTAATACCGTTCTTTAAACTGTGATAACTGAACTTACGGGAAGGCTGCCATCGTAGCTAGCTTGACGAAGATCTCACGCCGGATCGTACGTGAGATGCTGTACGGCTGCGGAGGCATCAGTTTGTACTTGCTGCAGAAGGCGGCCGGTTGCAACAGATAGCTCTGCTTCACCTCGGAAAGGTCACTTTTATTCGCTACTATCAGAACAGGAATCTTACTGTCGGCGAAGTATTTCTGCAAAGACATACGTATCGTTCGTCGTTGTGAATACATTAAGAATACGTTATGATGCGCGCGAAGAAAAGATACGGTGGTGCGCTTACGATGTAGATACGCGCTATATACTCAAACGACTTCGGATTACTGGCGTCGTAGACGAGAGCAGCCGCGTCGCATTGTATTTCCGCCGGCGTTAAAGCGTCCTGAACGTTCAGCACGTTTATATCCTTCAACATTATCGTCTTCTCCTGCCCGTACACGTGCAACGTGTTCACAGTGACGTGGGCGTTCGACGGTACCACTTTGTCGTTCAGTTTCTGCAATTTCGTACAAGTAGATATAACCGCGGACAGTTTGACTGAGATAATCCCGAAGAACAATTGCAATCAGCGAGTTTACCTCGAGTTTGGGGTCGATCAGAGTTCTACACAACGTAGTCTTCCCGCTACTCTTCGGTCCTATGACGTGACAAGTGTAAACATTCCTGCTGGACTGCTTCTTCGCCAGATCCACCTTCTTCTCGCGAGTAACGACAATGGAGCTCGTCTGACACTCGTTGTGGTACATGTTGTATCCCAGATACGCCATGTATTCCAAGGTTTTGCGCACGTTCGTCAATGTGAGCAGTGCCCACTGACACATGTATCCTTGAAACGTAATCCATCCCTGTGGAAATATTCCACGCCACATATTATGCCAGATTAAGTTACTTTTAAATATATATTGCTTATACATGATATTTTTCTGTTTCTCAATACAGGTTTCACATAGGTTTCTTGTCGTTCAATATTCTATATCAATTTATTCTATAGTTCAAAGTTCTAAAAATAACAATTGCAAGCGTTAACCTTCTCATTCGTGGGTACAGTGTACTTGTATTCGTCGCCCCACGGCGGGAAGAGACATCGCGAGAACAACGATTCCATTTCCAAGGGCGAGAGAGCTCCGTCGCGATCGCGATCGTGCTGCATAAACAGTAACGTTAGGAATTCCTGTCCCTTGTGCGATAATTCCGTGCTACAGCCAAGCGGGACCTTTAATCTAAAAGCCGGAGTGAGTCATAATCAGTGGCATATTGAAAGAACTCTAAGTAGCCCCGTGACCTTTATACGTACGAAGGATGGACATATTCTTTTGACATTTGCAGCTCGTTGTCGTATCCGAATTTCCTTAGCACAGCCCAAGTTGTCTCGTTTCTCCCGCGTTGTATGAATAAACATTGTAAGTACATAAAACCTGCAAGTGTAATTGCAATTAATAAAAGTTCGCGTTCTTGTATTTCTCCCCGGGTTTGATACCGGAATAACTGGAAATGCCCACCTTTCATCGTGACACACCCGTTACATATGCCGTCGCAAATGTTCTTTGACAGCACAGCTTTCACATCCTCCAGCACTTGCGGTTGTAACGGAGTGTTGAAGCACCACTGCTGAAACGCGTTCAGCTCCATATCGTTTAAAAGTCCGTCGTTATCTACATCGCATATCTGCATTGGGGAAAAAAAAAAACAATATAGTTTATATCGTAATATTGATTCTCGTTGTATATCTTACATAGTTAGTACATACTCACTTTAAAAATTCGCTGTAGGGCAGTTTTGCACTCCTCTGTGAGCTGGAACAAAAATGAACGAATTAAAAAAAAAAACCTGGGACATCAAATTAAAGGGAAACACGGCAGATATCCTCACCTCCTGGGTGTCATAATTGTACAAAGGTGTAGTCGGATGCAGAACTGCCTTTTGTGCATAATAAAACGTTTCCGAGACATTCTGAAGTGTTTTCGCCGAGCACTGAAAAAAGATACGTTTTTTTAACATAACAGTCCTCCCATTTTTCTTGTCTATCGAGCAAACGTCATCTCACCTCTATGCAGCTTTCAATCTCCGTGAATTCTTTCATGATGGGATATACAGCCTGCAAATTGCGAAATGCGAGTCATTAATACAGCGTAAAACGAGGACGCTACTTAAACCACCTTAAGAGAACTGCAAACCTCTATGGTGGAATAATCCACGAGATCAATCTTGTTGCCCACGAGCACAACCGGACACCGATTGTCGGGTGAGCATCTTCTGATTAACGGCAGCCAGTAGCTGGCAGCTCTATCCAAAGTATCCTCGTCGTCCACGGAGTAAACGACGCATATCACGTGCGCCTTCTGGATCTCCTCTGCCAGTTGATCCTCCGTTTGTTCTACAGCTGTAAACACACGACGCCAAGTTATCATTTCTTTCCAATGTGAGATAGTCAGGAAGAGATATAACAAATTCTCTGACAACTTATTCAACCGTGTCAGGTGTCTTAATTATCTTTGAGGACCGAATAAGCTTGGCGAAAAGATAGAGAGGCACACGGGGATGCTGTCACAAGTCACAAATACCTGAGTAATCGACTATGTGTGTCGGCACTTGCTCCGGCGTGACGTCCGCCGGTATCGTGATCTCCTCGGCCTTACTCGGCACCTCTTCCGCGTACTCCTCGCTCACCAAGGACAGTATCAGGGAGGTCTTGCCGACGCCGCGCTCGCCGATCAACAGTATCCTGACGTTGCGCCGAGGCGCGACCGGGCGCTGCACCATGCTGACACCTCCCCCGCGATACCGTCGCTCGCTGTCGACTTCAACGATACGTCGCTCAATCCCTCGCGGACGGCATCCTCGCGCCGCACCTCCCGGGAGATATAACCTGCAAACGCTGCCGCCCGCGTAAACGCACCAACAACGCGCGGCACTGTTTCACGATGACATTTTTTTTATTTAACGACGGAGACGACGGTCAACGATGCGCACCACACTCTCTGCTCCTCTCTCTCGCTCTTTCTCTGCCTGTGGAATTTTGCGGCGCGTGTATCGTGCCGTAAAAAGGAATCGTCCCGCACTTTGCGACTTAACGCTCCATCGAGAAAGACCGGGCTCCGATCGTCGCCGCTGGAGACCAAGTAAACCCCGGCGGACTAAAGTAGTAGCGCTCCGAGGGTGGCCTTTTCAAGGTTACCTATGCCACCGCAATGAATGGTGCCCGCGTATACACACGAGCGTGCCGTGCGCGTAGTAGTACGTGAGCGCGGTGTGTGTGTGTGTGTGTGTAAAAAATCCGTTCGTTTGCGCTTCGTTTCTCTCTAACATACGGCGGGTAAGGAAGGTATTTCCATACGTCACATTTTGCGGAATTCGAAACGTTCGAGAGATCGTCGGCAGAAATAAAGCATTTCCCGGAGAAGGGAAATGCTTTTCGTCTTCCTAAGAATTTCGACAAGTCAATCGGAGATGAGGGAAACTTTTGGAAATTGCAATTTCGAAGCCAGTTACGGGACGCCCGAACGAGCTCGTCGCTTTATTTCATTGATTATGTAACGTTGATTAAGGAATTAAAGTAAAGGTGATTACTTTTTGACAATCCTTTCGGGCGATTTTGACTAAACTCTGATTAATTTGATCGGTGATTAACCTAATGTCAATTATTATTTCTAAAGATGCAGATAGGAAAGGAGATCGAAGAGATATGGAAATGAATGAAAGAAATCAATATATGCGCGAAAGCCAGCCAGCCTTTTAAGAACAGCCAGTACCCTGGTAACCATTCCTTTGCAATTCTGCTGTAAAACTGCACGAAAAGTCGTGCACTAACTTTCGGGCAGATAATGCGTTTTCTATTTCCAACTTTGACTATTTTTCTGTTGGCAGAAACTTGCTCTCGTCGTAGTGCAACAGAATTGTGGAAGATATGTGTATGCATTTACATATAGCAGAATAGTGCAAGAAATGTGGCAGATGCTTGCACAAATCGCAGTGCAACATAATCGCGCCAGATTTGTAGCAGCGCCTACTGCTACCCATAGAACACAAAATATTTTTAAAATATTTTTTAGATAGATTAAAATAATTTACAAAAATATTTTTTATATTTATAGCACCGCAGTGGTGTTGGGTAAGCCTTGCGTTGTATTGCTAGTGAAGATTGTCGCAAATGTCATGATTTTGCTTTGCACTTCGCCGGAGGCCTGCTTATATTAGATCCCAACTGAAATTTACTTGCGAGTTAGTTTTACTATTATGCGCCGCCTAGCGGCATTGTTGCAAACTAGCACATACAGCAGAATTCAACAAGAATTACGGCAGATGCTTGCGTAAGAAGTAGAGCAGCAGAAATACAAATGATTTTGGTAGAAATAAACAAAACAAGGCAAATGAGAGCTCGTTCGCGACGATGGACGGGCGACAGTAATAAAATATTACAAATTCAACAAATTGAATAAAATATATATAATAAAGTAAACGTTTCGGTCTTTGGTTTGGACCCTAGCTCCTCAGTACATATAGCTGGTCGAGTGAAATGCAGTGGTCACAAGTAGTCAAAAATGCAGTTATTCCGCTCTCCGATTATGAGAGTGTGGATCTCGTATCCTCAACGTGACTATTACCTTAATTCCATAAAAAGAAATAAATTAAACAAATATATATAGTCATACCTTAAAAAGTGATCACAAGAGTTACCTGACAGTCAAATTTATAAGATATACGACACCATCTCTTGTAATACAATAAGTATTACGCGGCATTTTTTACTACTTGTGACCACTGCATTTCACTCGACCAGCTATATGTACTGAGGAGGGTCCAAATCAAGAACCGAAACGTTTACTTTATTATATATATTTTATTCAATTTGTAATATTTTATTACTGTCGCCCGTCCATCGTCGCGAACAAGCTCTCATTTGCCTTGTTTTGTTTATTTATCGTTATTGAGAGCGTTATCGTTATTTTGGTAGAATATACCGTACATCTGATTTATCAATCAAACATTTTTCGAAATTCGTAACGCCAAAATGGACCGTACGTATAACCTACATCTCACAGCACGAAGCTATAACAGTTTCATAATCTCCACTTAACTTACAGTAATTATTTCTATAAATATTTATATAACATAAATTAAAAACAACTTTAATAATATTGATGATAATTATTTACACTTTATTTTAAAATATTTTTTATAATCTTTTAGATACTTTTATTTTCCGGACATTATAATATTTACAAAATATTCAACGTATATATTTTCAAAATATTTAATCTTTTTTATAAATATTTTATAAATATTTTATAAATATTTTGTGTTGTCTGGGAGTTTAGCGCGCTCGTCTGTTCTCTTTCTGACGGGCAGATGCTTACACGCTTTTTTCGCATTTCTGTCACTCGAATCTATACGGCAAAAACAACAATTTAAGCGACATTATACACTTGTGAAATTTTGCTGCAAATATGTTTCAAGAGTTTAACACACTCGACTGCTCTTTTTCTCACGGGCAGATGATTGCACGTTCTTTTCACGTTTCTGCCGGTCGGATCTGTACGGCAAAAACAACAATTTAAGTGACATACACTTGTGAAATTTTGCTGCAAATATGTTTCAAGCGTCTAGCACACTCGACTGCTCTTTTTCTTACGGGTAGATGCTTGCACGTTCTTTTCACGTTTCTGCCGGTTGGATCTGTACTCAAAAGATACTTCCATATTGTTTTCACATTTCTGCTACATGTTTACTTTTAACAAATAGTATAAAATTTCACAGTAGCTTCTTACAGCAGACTACTGCAATAGTACAGTAAGTACTCGTTCAATCACAGATATTATGCACTTTTGTCGCAATTTTGGACTGTTTTCTTGCGCACTTTTTCGGGACGCATCTGAACTAGCAAACTGGTTACCAGGGTATACTTATACAAGTTTATTGCAATGATTGGGAAAGTGCTGAAAAAGATAATAAGAAACAAAATAGAACAAAGATAAGAAGAGTATAGTTGATCTGGATAGAAAAACTGGAGTTTATTCCAGTTGGAGACACACGGCGATTATATAAATTCAGGCGTATATCCCGATCACTTTAAAAAGAATCTACCAACTACCAACGCGAATTATCAAGTATAAAAACCATACATACGTATGGGAAAAAGAGGATTAGAACGTCGAACTACATAAATATTAATTATGTAAAAAATTTAAGCAATTCTGCCTGCTGCACGGTCTTTGCTATTTATGTTTATCTAATTCATCTGTTACAACGTGAATCTTGGAGGATCTCAGAAAGAGAATAACTTGCTCGACATAAACCGTATACTTTATAATTCCTTAATTTCCGACGGAACGCGAGTCTTCGGGGCTCACGCTTCCGCGACAAATCTGTTTCTAAATTTTATTTACGTATACAACAGGCGCCGTGTAAACCTACGCACGTGGACACTATTTGCGTTTCCCGTCTACGTTATCGATCGTTCGTACATACGAGATCCGAGATCCGACGAGGACGACGACTCGAGGTGTCAACCGGCTTTCCGCTGAGTTTCCGACAGGCGAACGACTGGCAATTGGCAAATGTACGTGACGCGATCCTCTGCTCTCGTGACCGTGTTGATGCTGCTTTGCATAGCGAGGAGTATCCGCGCCCAGGTTTATCAGAACATGTCGAGTTTCGCCGGGATGCATTCCGTGGCGTACGTCACGGTGCCGGACGACGCGGTTGCGAAGAGATTAGCACGGTAAAGAGTTAACTGGCTGGATAAAAACGCGCTCATTAAGACGAATTATCGTTAACGCTTTCTCTCTCCTGTTCCATCAAGTGGTCTGGTCGAGAACAAGCTCGCCGCCTGCGTCAACATCATCCCGCAACTTACCTCCATGTAAGTTTCTATCGCTGTGTTCAGATATTTATCTTATATCAATCTATGAAGTACTTTTTGACTGAAGAACGAGTTTTTTTTTTCACAGATACGAATGGGAAGGGAAGATACAGGAGGAACCTGAACTTCTGCTGGTAGGAAAACGATCTGTCGAGCTTAATTATACACGTTGAATTACATGCATAGAAATGGAATTGTTATTGACCGTCTGTCTATATGCGTAAATTACAGATGATAAAAACCAGGACGGAAAGAGTAGATGCTCTAACGAAATATGTCAAGTGAGTTAAACAAGGCTGGATTATATCTGTTTTGGAATTATGTCGACTTTTTGTAACTCTCTCTTGATCTTCTTTTGCAGAGAGAATCATCCGTACACGGTTTGCGAAGTGATTTCCCTGCCTGTAAGTTAACTTGCGTATCTTAATTCTGATGGAAGAGCTCTACGTGACATTTTTAAAACAACCTGGGAAAGATAAGACATAATTATACCATATACTAGTATATACTGACACTAAAACTTTTTAAACCTTTACGTTTCAGATACAAAACGGAAACGACGATTACCTAAAGTGGATCAGCGAGGTGGTGCCACCGCTTGATAAAAGCGCTTAAAATAATTAAGATACATGAGTAAGATTCTCTCAACGATTCGTCGGAAAAATCATTTTACTTCGCTTATATCCTTATGAAGCTATCTTACGTTAGAATAAAAAAGCTATGATTACTTGTAAGTATACAATTAGACACAATCTCTGTAAAGTGTGAGGTTTGCATTGAAAGTTCAAATTCTTCACTTAATTATTGAAACACACTAAGGCATGCCAAGTGATATCGATCAATCAGTCTTACAGTGTTATTCGCACGTATATTTATATTCTTAAACTCACATTTGTTTATGCAATAAAACGTAAAGGTTTAATTTTCAACACAGTATTTTTAAAGTAAAACACATCGAACCTTTCTACATGATAATAAATAAGAGTCTTACAATAATGATATATAAATACCTTTTTACTTTTATATAAAACGTTTGCTAATTTATTTGCTATTCTGCTCAC